CTCGTTCTGCGGCGAGGCAAACATTACCTTGTGGCGACAGAGTCGGCAGAAAAAGGTCAGAGCGGGCCGGGACAGGACAGAAGGGTTGTCTGTTTTCTCGGTTACGCAAACCAGGACTGAGACTCACCGAAGACACACACACACACACACACACACGCACAGTGAGAGGCGGGATGTTTGGAGTGTGCTTACTTTATGGTTTATGGCTACAGGGCTGCCGGAGAGACCCGGCTGCTCACCGGGGTCCCAAACAGACGAGGTGCGCTTCCTTTACGCCCTCTTGACGCGTTGGCAGGGCGCTCGTTGTCTGCGTTTTCCTCTCTTGGCGGGTTCGTCTGCTCCGTTTTCAGTGCACTAAAGGCGCAGTACACAGAGGATTTTAGCAGTTTGTGTCTTTCTTGGAAGATCTTTCCAGTGGATTTACAGCACTTGGAGAACGAAGCAGCGGAGAGATGCTGCTGAGTTTTATTGAGTACATATTGCTCTGCCGAAATAATTTTTAGCTGTGGTAGATAAATAGTTTTGTCCCATTGCAGCATTGAAATTGCATTATTGAGTTGAGTATATTCTTCCTTCTACTGGTTTTAAGTTCTTTCTTGTCCCCTGTTTTACCTTAAAACCCTGTATTAATTAAACCAGCTTTTTGTTTTACACACTTTTTTCCAGTTTCTCAAAAAGATATTCACAATTATCCCCTAAACAAAACAACAACCTTTGCAAAATGCACTTATTGTGGGATTTTTTGCAAACCATTCTAAAATGTTGCCGTGTTGGACCTATTAATTTAATTTGCCGTTGGATACGAGGGAATTTAGGAAATTGCATTTACTTTGAAAGAACATACCTTACCTCCAAGTGGCCTCGCTCTCAGACATATGACCATAAATCTTTTCTTGCTAAACTTTAATATTAAGAAAGTGAGTAAGATTTTATGGGACGAGAAAAATGTGGAAAATATTTCACATCCGGCTTGTTAAATCCTCTTTTACATACTGCAGCAGTCTTAAGGTGATTTTAGTTTCATGGGAACGAGATGCATTTCAGCGCGCCAAAACACTTTCAAAGAAAATCCACCCAAGTTTTATTGAATGTACTTTTGAAGACCACAAATAACCAAAAATACACAGTTGGCAACTTGCGCAGTGGAGGAAGGGATGAGGCTGACATCTCTCCCAGTGATTCAGCTCCGAGGCCACGGACCAGAATAACAGAGCTCTTTTAACTCTGACCCCTCCCGCTGACCTCTGCTCACCTCGACCCTGCGAGATGCTTCTAAAAGAAGAATTCTGTCCAAATGACATATTTCCATTCCTTGAAAGTCAGCCACATGGGAGAATGAGGCGGGGTTGGCTGGGTACTAACCCATCGATTTTTTTTTTTTTTCTTATCCAATATGAGTTCTTGAGAATGATGCTTGCTATTGATACCAGATCACGGTTTGCGTCTTTGTGTATGTTTGTTGTTTGCACGCGTGTCCATAGATAAGGAATCGGGCCGCACTGACCCGGCACTCGCTGGGCTGTATCGCGTTGGGGGGGGGGGGTCTTTGCCTTTTAGAGCACTGGACAACATCCAGGCGGTCGAAGCGGAGCGTGCGCGTGGCGGTGAGAGGCGATGTCAGCCCCTGAGCATTTGAGTGCACGCAGCGGGCCGGCGACATCAAAGGACAGCGGTCCGGGGGCGGTTGGATTTCAGGGCGATGGCGTCGGCCTTTGCAGCTCACCGCACGCCCGTTCAGGGCCGGTGCGATGCACATGACGGCCCGAGTCCGAGTGCCTCTGCGCGTCCGGATTTGAGCGAGCGAGCGTGCGCGCGTGTTCGTCTGTGCATTCCAGATCAAAGTTCAGCGGATCTGCGCGGTGCCCCCCTGCTAAGCCTTTCCCAGAAGGGCTGTTGCTGGGCAAAGAAATTACCTCACGGGGCGCTAATGGGACTTTGTGGTAGTAGTTGCATGGGCTGTTTGGCAGTAATATGAAAGTCAAAGCTTGTATATTGGCGTAGCATGTCTATAAATACCATTTTTATTTCCGATATGACAGGTTTTGTCCCCATCGCTGAGAAACACAGTGGTTTGAGCTTTTTAAGTAGCAGAAAGTCTCAAAATAGTATTCGTTTTCATAGAAGGTATAAAGAAATCTGTCTAAAGTTGTGTTTAGAAAGAACATATTTTGCAAAATAAAATTGGTTTAAATTTTTTTTTTTTTTTATATACACGTTACTTGATTAGCAATACGGCTAATAACATGTGCTCTTCTTTACAAGTTCTATGCACCACTTGTAACACAGTCATTGTCATCGTTACAGACCAGGACCGTCCACAGTACAGTACATCATTTATTAAAGAGACGCAGTATTCTGGGAGTAACCCTGGCTTGTTGCAAGTGGAGCTCCATCAGTTCAGCTGTCTGTGGCACTTAGAAGTTACCTTCACTGAGCTTAAGACATATTGGAACATGAGAAACCGAGTTGTGCCACTTTCCTCATATAGAAATGGCTCACAGGCTGAATGTTAAGATGAGTACTAGTGTAAGAAGAACAACACAATGAGGATGTTGGTATTGGCCGAGCTTAATCCTGTGTAATGGAGCTGCGATGCAGTTACTGTCTCTGTGCCCGATGACACCGTGGCTTCGTCATACAAAAGAGTCCTCTGTGTCTTTTGTCCCTGCAAATCTACATTAAACCTGGTGATTGGGAAAAACCGTGAGTGAAACCCAACAAATACCATTAATTTATGGATTTATTATTGTTGGAACCTCCCCCCCTCTCACTCTTCCACACCTTTCATCCCTCGTGCCTTTCATTTCAACAAGTGCTTGTTATTTATGGATTCGCTTGTCTTGGGACATCTGTGAAAGCTGAGAAGAGAAACTTGTTATTCATAAACAGTCTCTCGCTCTTTTCAACCTTTAAATACCTCTGACGCCCATTTTATTTTTTGGAAGTCGGTCCGCGTGTCCGTGTTTGTTTGCGCGGAGGTTTGAAGATGCAATTTTTTTGTTTCTGCACCTGAGTGAGGAGGTGAGCAGCTGCTTTGTGTCCTTAAAAAGCAGCACCACCCCCCCCAGCTTCCTTTCAAGTCAGGCTGTCTGCAACACGTACACATGCAAAGCGCTTTCCCTGCTTCGCCGGTCACATCTTTTACTCTTCATCAGCGGGCTAAAGAAGAATTAGCATTCCGAGTCAGAGGAGATGAAATGTTAATATTTCCGGTCCGTTGGTCTAATTGTTGCTGCGTGTTTTTTTAAAGTGGGATCAAATAACTTGAGTGATGACGACGGGTCCCGGTAGACGTTCTACTCCTCCTCGGCTCTGACAAATGGCAGCGTGACCCCCCGTCATTGAGCTTGGTCAGTCTGCAAGGAGGACCGTGGGTTCCGTTTGGTGGATATCGGCCTCCAACGTCATAGGAACACACCACATTTGATGCACATTTTTGCATTGTTTAACATCGCTGGTACGCTGGGAGGTTATTAACTGTAACTCTGGTATCAAGCATTTCCATGGGAAATGTATTCTGGGGAATTATTACAATGATTTTGTGTAATTATGTTTTCAAAAGAAGGATCTGTGATGGTAACATTGAAACTTGGTTTAGACATTTGTCCTTTTTTTATAGTTGCCATTAAAATGTCGAACCGCCAAAACTGATGTCGTAACCCGGACAGCTTGGAGCGAGATGGAGGCTACGTAGGACACGAATGAGACGTGTTGTATTTCTTGGCTCAGGCGGAGTATTGGTTTGGAAACATGAGTACAACGTTTACAGCTTTGACACTCAGCACTGAAATATTCAAGCAATGTGAAATAATCCTTTTGGGTTTTATTTGTTATATTTGTTATGGGGAAAAGTGCCGTTTTGTTAACTGAGAACCTGAATGCAGGCTTTTAACTCTGTGTCACATGTGGAGAAAAAAACCCTTATAATTAATGTAGCAGACTTTGTGTCTGTTCAGTGGACATGCACAGTCTCTAGAGGCTGATTGAAAGAAACAAATGGGCCTTTTGCCACAAATGTGAGTCAGTGAACTGGAGAAAGAAAAAAAGATACAACATCAGAGGCGCTGTTTGTGTAAATGTTTTTGATCTGATTTCATCACCCTTTTCCCCCTCAATGCAGTACGGCTAACATACCCAGGAAGAAGTGTGTGCGTGTGTGTGTGTGCTCCGTGTCTCACCCTTTCTCCCCTTCTCCCTCCTGCTCTCTCGCAAACGCGCACGCTGGTATGTCTCCTTTCCCTCGGGAGGGCCCTGATCTGACCGCCGCAAGTTCTACACCCCATGCACAGGAAACCCGTCCCACTGAGACAACAGGCCACTTACTGTGTGCGTGCGTGCGTGCGTGCGTGCGCAGGACATGTTGTGAGCAGTAAATGCAGATTCATTTAATTATGAGAATGTACAGTGTGAACCCGGTGGATGAGTCGAGGCACACATCTTCTTATTGACAACCTAACCCAACCCATTTTCTATTTAAACCTTTTATTGCCCCCCCACCGCCCACTTTGTCACCAGTATCGATTTTGTCCGGTTTTGCAACGTCCACCCCTGCTGGAGGCATAAGTGCCCACTTAAAGTTGCCGTAATGGTTTTTCTCTGAAAATGGTGCCAGAAGAGCTCTTCTGCAGGTCCGTCAAGGACAAAGTGCGAGTCGGTGGTTTTGGATGATGGATGTTTTTCTTCCGTGTCCTGTGAAGAGGGAAGAGCGCAAAGTGAAGGAGGGAGGAGGCTTTTCTCCGAGGTCTCTATTTATCCCTGCGTGCACATTAGTCAGTGTCACTCTGCTTTCTATCCCGATCCTTCCCATCTCTCATGTGTCTCCATGAACATGCTTTTGTGTCTGTTCCTCCGCGAGGAAATTGCTTCCTGTAGTGAGCACAGCAGAGGAGCTGATGGCGTTGGTTACGCAATAGTCTGAAAGGTGTCTTATAAGTGTGATTTTTATAAGTCTTCTATTTTTACTCACTAAATGACACATCTGCCGACGACTCCCTCAACAGGTCAACAGCTACGTGCAGGAGGGAGAGGAGCTCAACCTGAATCACCCCGCCAAACGGCTCCTTCTCGGACCCGACCCGAACCCCTGCCTCCCCCCCCGGCGCCGCCGCCCCTCTCACCCGCCGAGGTCCGTGGCAGATTTTAGTTTTTTTTTCTCAGTTTAACGCTCACCAAATTGTCGGCGCCGACTTCACCGCGTCGTCTCCCTCTCGCCTCCGCCTGCCGTGCGTCTCTAGGTTTTATCGGGCCTGTCGTCAGAGGACGTCGGTGTGTTCGGTGCTGACCGGAGCCCTGCTGGAGGCCACCGCCGCTCTCGGCTCCCGCTCCGCTCTGCCGTACCTGTTGCCCCAGAGCCCGAGCGGCCACGCCGTGCTGAAAGGTGAGTGTTGCACCAAAGTGTGTATTGAAATGTTCTCCCTGTCTCTCTTTCGCCTTCTCCACTCCGTTCTCCATGCACACAATGTGGACGTGGGGAAAGAAGAAAGGGAGAAGGAGGAAAGGCCTTTTTTACATTACAGGGTCCACACAACACTGATGCACACACGCAAAAAGTGCACCGCCACACTATTTACCTACTTTAAATTACACTTCCTGAAATACTTTGAGGAAAAAACACCAAAGTAATGAACGCAAATTCCCATCATGCACCTCGCGTCTCTCCTTCGTTTGTCTCTCTCTCTCTTACCGTCGACGTGACTTCCTCTTCCCAACCAGCCGGGTAGTTAGTGGGTTGCTCAGCTGTTTATCCGCCTTCTCCGCAGTGATGTGTGCGGATGACATGAATGCAAGCCGATCCCCACATTCATTTCCACTGGCTTCGGTCCAAGGGACAGGCCGTCTCTCGCAAGATCAAGGAGTCGCACGCACGCACTCATGCATCCACGCACTCACTCACACACGAAATCGTTTGTTATCAACATGATGATTACTAAAGCAAGTCGAAAACAAACTTTTTTTAAAATTTCGTTGGTCAGGTTTTGGGTGGAGAAAAAACACACACTCACTGGTATGCACACCTACACATGCGCTCATACAGCACATACCTTCAACATGACACTGTGTTATGTTCTAATGTGGGTTGCAGGAAACAGAATCAAGCCAGACGCGTGCACACATAGCAGCTCAGAAGTCTTGGCAGGAATAGAATTTAATAGGCGCGCACACACACAGACACACACACACAGCATGAAAGACTCCCCGTCTAACTATGTCTTTCTCTGTAACTCTGTACCAGAGCTACCCAGATATTGCTCATGAACATTTTACCTCGGAGGAGAGTCGCAGACACAAGGAAAGAAAAGCTCTGGTTCACCGTTCACCTGCATGGAAACTATCTGTGTCGCTGTGACATTTAAATCATTTGACATTTATTCTATTCTATATCTGCCTCCGGAGAAGATAATGACCCTCTTAACAGAAACATATACGTTTTGATTCATTTCCTCAGCGCAATGCTATGCGCTTAATCATGAAAATAATCAAAGAAAGTGTTGCTCTAGAAAATCGTTTTCTTTTCTGCAAAAAAACTGAATACTAGGATGAGGCTTATTATGTCTTCCAAGAGATGTCAATTTCCTGAAGGTTATACTAAGTTATAGCCCTCTGAACACTTGACACAGTACTGGTCCTCTTTTCAGTGTTTCGACGTTTAAAATGAACATGTGCAAATGGTAAATATGGTACGCTTTCGTAACACTTTACAATCGTAATAGAAAAAGCTCATGCCTGTTTTTTTTTTTTTTTAGTGTACCACTTTGGCACCAGGATGTCTATTGTGCATTTTGAATAAATACATCTGTTATGCCTTTTGGGGTCAGTCTTTTCAGTCTTTACCAGCCTGTGGTACCTTTTTTTTTAATACTAAATGTAGGCAGGAACTTGTGACACAAAACTGACTTTTTGAAATAGACATTGAATTGAGCTTTAGAAACACGGTGACCACTGTTAAAGTGGTCCACCCCATCTGGGCATTGCATTCATTTTCCATTGTCCTCTATGGTGAGCGTCCCCTTCATGTCATCTCCATAGAAAGAGTTGTTTTGTTCTCTCTTCATACATTTCCTCTCCTTATTTCTTTTTGCCTTCGTCCTCTTGAAAATGCACCTGTCTAACAAGGGAACAAATCAAGAATGTAAGGTTCATATTTATGACACAATAACAACAACTAAGCGATATGGAGGTTGTTGCTTTGTCTTGTGGTTATATATTATGATTTCTATCCAATCCTGTACTCATAAGGTATTTGATATTGATTCAGAAAAGCGGCAGCAAAACTGAAGTTTAACTTAACAAACTTAACTTCAACTCTCAAGGATTTCCAGGTTAATCGCCTGGCAAACCTTGTTTGAAATGTTTTTCTAGACCTTCTGCAGGGGCCTCATCCCCGGTAATGATCTGAGAGCATTTAGCTGGTTCCTCTGATGCACGTGGAAGACGTGCATCTTTCTGTGGCATTGCAATAATTTGGTTTTAGTGGCAGGTCAACCGGAACGTTGTGGAGATGAGTCCGCACATATCTGGGTCAGTGCGACAGCCGTTTGTCGTCAGAGTAAACGTACAAAGACAAATACTCGACAAAAAGTTGTTTGATTGTTTCCTGCTTGTGGTTCACGGATCACTCATCATCGTTTAGATTTTTACTGTTGGAGGAAATATTTGTTTCAACAGTCACAGACTTGAGTACCTCGCCCACCAAATCTGGAGTTCAACTGGATCTGAAATGAACAGCGAATGATTTGTCGTTCTTGTCGGTCATTTTAAAGCAGTACTTAAGGAAAAAATGTCCAAAGCTTCTGAGAGGAAGTGCCGTCATTGGTGAATGTCAGTTTAGGATCATTCTAATACACACTGAGAAAACCACCAAACAAAACAATTAACCCTTGGTGAAACACAGCTGTTATTAACTAAGCTTATACATTCATGCCATACAAATAGTAGAAATCTAATGTCCGTATTAAACGTCTGTATCATCTGTTGGTAAAAGTGAAGCTCCACTGTGATTTAGTTCATTTGAGCAGTTGGTGGTTAAAGGGCTTTTCTTGACCTTGTTTCCTCTACAGCACAATTTGCTGCACTGTTAAAACGGAAGTGGGCTGCTCAGTAATCAGCCGCCATCCACCTCGATATTGGTGTTTCTTTCTTTTTTTCCTCTTCCTCTCAGTTGACAATGTACGTAGTGTTTTCTGCCAGGGGGAAGAGGAGGATGAGGGAGGGCAAGTTTAACCATTATTGCTAAAAAAAAAAAAATCCCCTGTGATGCTTGTGGGTTATTAAAACTTTCCAGTAAATATTGCACAATGATGTCTTCTTCATCAGGTAAAATCAAAGTTGATAACGATTTATCCTCACAGAAGCGTAGCGGGCGTTTTGTGATGACGTCGTGTCTCGGGGCGGCGACGTCCCTCATTCTGTGATGAGCCACAGAAGCGCTGATTGAAATCTATTGATTATAATTAAGTGATTCATCATTTTCACTCGGATGTTAACGCCGCGGTGACAACCTGCACTTTACTGTGATTTATATCATTTCCCATTTTATGATTCGGAGGGGGAAATGTTTTTTTGGACACATTGTTATTGCTTGTATTGTATGTGCATATGAGTTTGTGTGTGGTCCTGCTGGTGTGGGGGGGGGGGGGCTGGTGTAACTTCTAGAACATGGCTGTGAGCTATGTATGGTGTCAGTAAAGAGTGGGCGGGGGAGAAAGAGAGAGAGAGAGAGAGAGAGAGAGAGGGGGGGAGAAAGTGAACGTGGTCCGGAGAGAGCGAGGTCTCTGTTTGCTGCTGAGGGAGGAGGGAAACCACGCGAGTGCACAGAGAGAAATAGACAAAGATACAGCGGGAGTTGGAGAGATCGCAAGTGAGAGAGAGGGTGAGGGAGAGGGAGAGCAGCTGCAGGAGAGAGAGAGAGCGAGAGAGACGTCTCCAATGTGGACAAGTGCACTTGGGTGTCCTCTGCACTGAGCTGTCAGTGTGGCAGCGGAGCGGCCAGCTGTATCCGGCTCCCATGAAGCCCTCTCACAGAGCCGAGTGCAAGCTGACCGGTGAGTAGAGGAGACGCGAGACCCGGCGCTACGGACGCCCGCCGGTTAAACCCGCGGAGGAACCGCGTCCGTTTGTTCCACGCGGGTCTTTGTAATGTGGGGTATTTGTGGATGTGGTGATTGGAACTGTTGCGTGTTCGGCACTCAGCCCCAAATCAAAGGGGGGCTTAATTCATTTAACAAGAGCACTCGAAGCATTTGTTTACATGCTAATCCGGGGTCTGATTATGAGCATCTTGTTTCAGTATTTATTACACATTCAGTGATTTTGGTTTCATCTTTGCTGCAGATGTAAAGTTTGTATATGATGTCTTTAGTTTTCTTGCTTGATTTCTTGATTCTCAAAATTGGACATATAAAGCTGCTTATTGGCAGAAACCTGAAACAATGAAAATGATTCAAAATGTTTCTGAGATGAGACTGTTTTATCTTTTTATTGCTCCACTGAAGTCAAATGCATCGTTTGCATGAATATGTGCTCATTATTTGCTCTTTGTCAGATTTTGCTTTTATCAATGAGCCTACTTGGCAATATTTGCATTGCTTCCTCTCAAGCAAACTCAAAATGTGCCAAATACTGATGATTGGAAACCCACCTGCTGCAAGTCTATTTTTTTTAGTGGCACGTGTATTAATCTTGCATTGCTGCGATTTATCAACATGCCCTTTTGCGGTTTGTGTGGTTTCCTTTTATATTTTCCTCCTGAATTGCTTGATTTCTTCAAATTCAAGGGGATTGTTTGCGTCTTAATAAGTGAACTACATTTGGCAGTGACTTTGCGAACCAATTTGGAACTTTCACCACGTGACATAGATGTGTGATGGATGATGCAGCGGTTGAGAACCTGTCAGAATGACGGCCAGGAATGTCGGCGCCACTGGTCGGCTTCGCACCGAGTAGACCCCCAACAACTAAGGCCACACGTAGCTTTAGACGTATCTGGTGTCTGAGGATACAGTAACACGCCTGACAGTAGAAAACCAAACCACCAGAAGGGCCCACGTGTCGTCAGGTCACCGCGAGGTCATTTACCTTCACCTGACTGAGTTATCTGACTTGAACAATGCTTTAATTTGACCTTTAGGACTCATAACAAGGAGCCTTTTGCTCAATGAGTCTGAACTTCTTATCCACTAATGAAGTAAGGTCAGAAAAAGCCGCGTGCTGTATTAATGTGTGCACGTGGTTCCTGTGTGCACACAGTGTACGTATATAATCCGTGTCAGAACTGCGTGTTCTTATCAGATCAATGTGTCCTGCTGTGTGTGTGTGTGTGTGTGTGTGTGTGTGTGTGTGCGCACGCACATATTTGTGGTTGTGCGTGTTAGTCTCGGTGCTCCTAGTTGTCGATTTTTATTTACGAGTACAACCATTTTTTGTGTCATTTCATTAATAATAATAAAGTAATCATAAAGCGGAGGATGGTTTTAATATTCCACGCAAAAATGGAAAATAGAATAAGATGGTTGTTTTTCAATAGAACTGTTTCTTTATGATTTATATGTTCCTGGCTGATTCGCTCAGAGTCCTTTGACTGGAGCTGTTTTTAATGCACCCGTTTGAGTTGCATTCATTCTGCAGTGGGGAAGTTGTCATCAGCTCTAAACGTGGTTGTGGGAACGATGACGGTCTCCGTTCAAGGTTCTGCTCCTTTGGTCGGTGTCATAACTTAATTTACTGAGTGAACAAACCTCAAATCACTGCTGAAAGATTTTCTCTTTTTCACCTTTTTATAACACACCTACAGCACCAGTCAAAAGTTTGCCCTTTCACGCCTTCTCATTTAATTGAATAGGAAAGTGTTTTGAATGCAGCTGTGTAGTTTCATTTGTCTCATCTTAAGTGTGATTTCTGCATGCATTACAGATGTGTAGAACCATGCGCAAACCTCACAGAGACCCCGGTCAACTACTGGTGGGTCTCATTCGTTTATCCCACTTTGTGGAAGTGTGGATTTTGGACAGCTCTGGGCCAGAGATGACAAATGTTGCGAATCAGAGCTCCGTTTCTTCTCCATTATTTGTACCACAGCACCGACAGCACGATTTCCTGGAGTGTGCGACTTAGCAGTCCCTATATTCTGCAGTGTCATGACACCAGGCTCTCTGAAACACTTTATTTCCCAGTCTAATGTAATGCAAATATGGCAATGAGAGATGTGTCTCAGGTTGGGGGGGGATGCGTGAACCATCGTTCATAACCCGAGGTCCGTCTCCGTGTCGGACATTTAGAGGACTTTGAGGATTACGCTGTCTCCGACTGTAAGATCGCTCTCACCTGCTGCGTAGGATAAACAATCAAATCTGCTCTTCCGCTGTGAGTCAGTATACACAAATCAAAGTGTGTAAATAAGCAATATGCTCCCGCGGAGCAGCCATTGCTGTTGCCACGGCTACCTGTTGCACATCTCAAGTGGCGCCAAGGACAACCTTTTAGAGTGTGTCCTCGTGTGCGCTTTCAGCGCACCATTCAGGATGTGTGTGGTGGGCCATGTGCAGAGAACGTGCTGACAAAATATGCTGCAACGCCTTCCTTTTCCATCCCTGTTGTTTTACTGATAGCAGCTGAGCACTTCTGTCGGAATCAATGCCGTTGGGTTCGACCGGTCAGAATCCTCACCTCAGAGGAGGGGAAGCAGCAATCTCCTGGTGACCAAAAATGCCCTTTTCAATATCCTGCTCGTCCCTCTGACGGCTCCTGAAAAAGCTCCTGCAGCGGAAAAGTCCTGTTTAGTTTATGTGGCTTTCATCCCAACAATGTACAGTATGTCCACCTGGCAGCTCCAGCGCCGGTTCAGAAGCCGTCCATTAGTCCTCTTGTTAGCGGACATGAGAACAGGTTTGCGCGCGCTCGCGTGTGTAAACAGACAGACTAATGGACCCGACTGAAATCCAAACACAGGAAGCTGGCAGGTGATCAATGCTGTTTGCTTCTGGAAGGGGGGGGTTGCAGACTTCTCTGGGATGGCGGAGAAGGTGTATGTGGAATGCCGGGATGGATGGAACGGAAGACTTGGGACATTCAGGTTAATCTTTTTTAATTTCGTCTTTCGATTCCTGTTTAAGAAACGGCGGCCGCTTCACGCGACCTTGATACCAGTGGAGGCCATGCAAGCTGAAGCGTCTGCCAGTTTTTAATACGGCACGCCAACAAGATGGACGAAGTAATGCAAAAGTCCTAATGTGTCTGTCCTTCTGTTTGCTCCTCTTTACCCGTCCATGCAGAGCGGCAGCTGGCCAGCAGCATGACCAGCGGGGGCTCTCTTCAGCCCAGCGCCAGTGGGGTCAGCAAGGAGCTGGCGGAGGTGCGTCACCTCGTTCAGTTCCCCGAGGAGATCGCCTGCATCCTCACGGGGCAAGAGCAGGAGCTTTACCAACGGGTGGGCGGAGGGCGCGCACACAAGAACACACCCCACAACCGTTTTGTCGTATCCGTGCTCAATCCCAACAGAGCGAGTAATAACAATTCAGTCGTCTTGTTCTTTCCCCGCAGGTGTTTCCCCTGGACTATCTGTGTTTCCTCACCCGAGACGTGGGCAGTCCTGAGAGTCGGACCAAACGGCACCACCATCTCAAGGCCTCGCTGTCCGTGCCCGCCATACCTACCCAGAGTGCTCAGCGAAGCAACGCTGTGGAGGACCTGGTGGCGCGCTTCAACGAGGTGAGGGGGGTCTGGAACTGGAGTCCAGTTCAAATCAATTGCAAATCTGTGATGCCAACATGCAAACTATGTGAAATATTTTAATGCTGCACCTTCGGAATGCCTTTGACTGATGCACACGCCGCGTGCACAAAAGTGTGTTTTGTGTGTGTGTGTGTGTGTGTGTGTGTGTGTGTGTGTGTGTGCTCGCGGTGGTGTAATTTGGCTTTGCAGAGACCTTGTTTCTTTCACGGTGAGCGACATTGAGAACACGCGCAATCACAACGGTTGTGCTGCTGCGACAGAGAAAGCAAGCAAGGGAGGGGAGGGATTGATTGGAAATGATGATGTCACCTGGCTCACATCAGCTGGTTTTCATTTGAAGTCGGCGAGAAGAGAGAGACACGGCAAAAGTCAAATGTGCACTGAGGCCTTATATGGGCGCAGTGGAACGAGAGTCGGATGACAGCAGGGGTTCTCCCGATGAAGCTGCTGATAATCGCGGGTCTCTCCGAAGATGATGAGATATCGTTGGTGTTATTCTTTTCGGCTGTGACTCGGCAACACAGTTTACATGTGGTGTTGTGTCAACCTCGGGTTGTATTCTATTTTTGAACGACTCCAACAAATCATCATTGGCACCTTTTGCAGACCAAGTTTACAGGAACCAAGCTTTTTTTTCAAATAGGCAAATGAATAAATAGATATTTTCCACAACTTGCTGGCCTGTATTCACAGTAAATCCACATTTTTTTGATTCGCGGTCTGATTCCTTTCCTCACACGTGAGAGAAAACGTTTTGTACATTTTAATCCAAATTTTCCCAAAGGTATTTAATGGTTTCCATCCTGTTCTCGTTCGAGCCATGTATGGGAGTGAGAGATTATGCGGTTAAAATGGTGAATATTTGGAGGCAACGCCGAGTGAGAAGTTTGGGCCCCCTTTGTGTTTGTTTCGGAGTGTTTAGCTTAGACCAGTATTTGTTTGTGTTATTGACTTTGTCATAGTTCCCTGTCAACCTTGGTTATGTAATTCATGTATCAAGGAGAAACCGACCCTCATAGCTAAACTAATAACACGCCAACACATGGAGACCGGCCGGCTGACGGACAGTCAAAGGAGGGATCAGTTTGCACGTAGCGCCGGTTCGATGTGTGTCAGTTTAAAATCGGGTCAAGTTGCTGATCATAACAATTGTGTCACGGAGGCTGAATCTTTTTTTTGCACCAAATAAGTTGGTTTTAGTGTAGTTTAGTGTTTTTCCGATCTCCTTTGCCACTCTACATATCTCTTCGTATCCTATTTCATTATCGTTCAAACACTTTTGCTCTGTGGAACTCCTCCTCGCCAGCTCCGGTGGAGGCTTTTCTGTAACTGACCATCAGAAATGTGGAGAAATGGAAATAGATGATATGTCCGATATCCAGCAAAAGGCTCAGCAAATAGACCCTGTGCTGGGGTTTGTTGTGCTGTTTTCATTGTCCCGACTCGACCAAGTTTTAGTTCTGCTGAACTGCATGAATACGTGTTGTATGATTTGTAGGAAAACTGGTGCAACTTTGACTTCAAGCTTCTTAATTTGAGCGAGCGGGACCAGTTTAGAGGAAATCAAATAATATGGTTTTTAAACGTGTGTGTAAAGCTTCAACAGAAAGACCATAAGAGCAAAAAACCGCCAGATTGGATCTTTTCCTGTATTCTTGGTGAGAGAGTGTGTGTGTGTGTGTGTGTGTGTGTGTGTGTGTGTGTGTGTGTGTGTGTGTGTGTGTGTGTGTGTGTGTGTGTGTGTGTGTGTGTGTGTGTGTGTGTGTGTGTCATTCTCAAAAAATGTGAAAGGAAGCTGACCCTGATACATATCTGCTTCTTCCATCATGTATTTTCGCGCACGCTGGAGAGCAGTCAGCTTGATGCATTACTGATCTCAACCTTGTGTGTGTGTGTGTGTGTGCGCGCGTGTCAGTGTGTGGCCAGCTGGCATAGTCTTGCGCATGCATTATCACTTTAGTAACTTGCCATCACAGACTTTAAAAGAAAGGATATGAGCACAATTAAGACGCACACGCAAGAGTTTCTGTACCTGCTTGTAACAACAGGCCGACACACAGGCAACATCGATGTACACATACGTATGCGTGTTTTTGGGGAACAAGAAAATGAAAGAATAAAAACAACATGAAAAAATCTGTGGGCAGCACAGACATAAATACTATCACTCGATGTTGCTCATGTTTCTTTTGTGTATTTAAATTTCCCAGGTGAGTTCGTGGGTGACGTGGCTTATCCTAACGGCGGGCTCCATGGAGGAGAAGAGGGAAGTGTTCTCCTATTTGGTCCACGTTGCGAAATGCTGCTGGAATATGGGAAACTACAACGGCGTCATGGAGTTCCTGGCCGGACTCAGGTTGGGAGACACGGACACAACTCAGAGGATCATTCTTTCACCCTGCTCAACCTGAAACACCGAAACGCATTTTGTCCCCCAGGTCCCGTAAAGTGCTGAAGATGTGGCAGTTCATGGACCCGTCGGACATCGAGACCATGAGGAGCCTGAAGGACGCCATGGCTCAGCACGAATCCTCTTCCGAGTACAAGAAGGTCGTGACAAGAGCTCTCAACATCCCCGGATTCAAGGTGGGCTGCTGTCAATTCAGGTTTGGTTTCATTTGTCACGAAAATAGCTCACATCACAGCGAGGAAACAGTGCAGTACCGGACTGCTTTTCTGCCCCCAAGGTGGTGCCATTCTGTGGGGTTTTTCTGAAGGAGCTGAGTGACGCGTTGGATGGGACGGCGAGCATCATCAGCCTTAAACCTCCTCTGTACAACACAGAGGACTCAATAGAGGTGCGGTAAACACTGTACGTACGCGCAATAACGCGATCGCCTCAAGTGGTACGAATCCCCTTTTGCGTGTCGTCCTCTCTGCAGTTTGTGTCTGACTACAGCGGCCAGCACAACTTCATGTCGCGGTCGGGTCCAGATGGACTACACGTACCAGAGAAGGAAGCTACTGTCAGCAACATCCTCCAGATCATCAGGTACGCGACCGGCTTTTAAAACGTAACCACTGCCCTCTAATTTACGCACACTTCTGGTCACCACTTAACTTGATTCTCCTGTGCCTTTCCTCTCGTTGCTCCTCAGATCTTGCAATCGCAGCCTGGAGGCAGAAGATCCCGACGAGGCCTCGACCGATCCCTCTTCTACGTGTCCTGCGTCCGCCAATAACTCCTTCAGGGACCGCTGCCGCAATCAGTCAGTAGCCCTTGTTCCCCGACAAATTAGCAGCCCGCAGCTCAGAAGAGCTTAGAAGGGATCTATTGTTTCAAAATGTGACCTTTTCTCGCAAAAGTGTTTTTCCATATTCTCCTTTTCACAAACCACAGGACAAATAACTTCTTAAAATGAATAAGACGACCGCTTATTTTTCATTATCAATCAATTTAAATGTGAATGTTGTAGTGGCTGTATGCTAATTATCATCAGATTCATTAAATAACCTCGTCCCCGTCGTTCTTCTGCAGCACAGTCACGAGTTTTATCTCACAAATGGCACATTGAACATATTGCTGTTCAGACGCTGTCTTCGTCACACGCGCTTCTTTGTCTCAGAGACGGGAAGATAGCGGGTCGGTGTCCCGTCAGGACGGGAAGGAACGGAGCTCTGGCACCTTTCAGCGCGCTGGTGGCAGGCGGCTAACGACACCAGCTGGAGTTCGGACACGAACAGACAATGTCGTTAGAAAACTCATTTCATTCTGAACTCGGCCTGTGGTGTTTGTATTAAAGGCACCTGGAGACTGTTCGGTCTTTTTTTTTGACAGTTTTCTCTGACCCGTGAGTTATTATTTCAAGTTTGGAGCTCATGATAGCAGCTCTTATTTCCTCTTGGCTCGCGGTGTACTCTTCATTTTTCTGGACCGGTGTGGGATGTGGATAATTATTATTACTGTTTTATCTTTCACTCGAGAACTTCACCCTTCCTCTCCTCCTCTTGTGTCTCCTTTTTCGAATACTAGTTCCCATTCATTTAGGACACCGTCCGAGTCCCAGCGTGTTTTGTAAGTGGTTAGAGGAGGGTCGGGAGTGTCATTATCACCACCTGACATCAACATGGTCTGAGTTTGAGTAGACGCTTGTTTGGTAGTGAAGGAATGCGCAAAGACAAACGCATGATGCTTCTGCTTGTTCAACTGACTCACTACAGTACAGAGTCCTTGTTTGTCTCTTACTCGTGACGCAGGTCGTGTATTACTTTGCATTTTTTGGTTGAAATAAATGTAGAAATTGCCCGTAACTGAAACTTAAATGATCTGATCTCACACTGAATGTCCGCTCTTGTGACCCGACTTCGACCACCTCCAGGTTCATGGTGGGAGACCTGTCGGACTCGGAGGGCGACCTGGCGCCCGAGCCGCCGTCGAAAGACGTGGAGTTTCGCGGGACCGAAGAGACTCCCAGAGCTTTCGGCCACGGCACTGAGCTCATCCCCTGGTAAGGAGGACGCGATCGCACTCAAACGCACGTGGAAAAGCTCAACAGGCGGCGCCGCGGTACTTTTCTTCCGTTTTCTTTCCCAGGTACGTCCTGTCGCTGCAACCAGACGTCCACCAGTTCCTGCTGCAGGGAGCTACAGTCATCCACTACGACCAGGACAGCCACCTCACGGCGCGCTGCCTGCTGCGCCTCCAACCGGACAACGCAACGCTGACATGGGGTAAAAGAAATGAAAGTGCTGGTGAAAGTTTAGTGGTTTAGGGGTCGGGGGTTGTTTACATTTAGGGTCTTCAATGTATTCAGTGTCCTGCAGTGGGACAGTTAACCATTGTTCTTAAAGGATTATTTACGACGAGGGGGGGGATTTTGTTTAGGCGGATGTCTTAAGAAGAACTTTAAATCAGCTGCTTTAACGCGTGTGTATGTCTCAGGGAAACAAACCCCATTTCCTCTCTCCTCATTGCTCTTTAACAGCGGAGGCGTCCATGATTTAATATATTTCCTGTGTCATTGTTATGTTTAAAGCATTGTCTTATTATAATGTTTATCCAAAGTAAGTAGGAACTAATGTGTTTTGTAGCCAGTCAAATTTTAAACTGGATATAAATATTGCACCGGCTGCTCAATTTCCTACGCTTTTATTACATTTCAAACACATCGTAAATGTGGTGTGTTTTACGGCAGGTAAGCCTCAGAGCGGAGGGGCTTCCCCCACAGAGCAACCACTGGGATTAGGACAGGCCGTGGTGGCAGGACTAGCAGAGGGCCTTTTGGACCTGGGAGTGGTGAAGGTGTGTTGAAAAGAGTGTGTGTGTGTATCTTCACATTGAGCCTTAATCCACGTTGCAATGGCGCTCCGTAAAACGTTTAGTCTCAAGCTGCTGATTTGTCTTGTAGGACGAGGTGAGCGAGTTTTCTGTTGCACTCGTGACACTAATGTTCGTTTGCATATGCAGGCAGTGTTCCTGGGTCACCGCGGAGTAGACGTTCATGCCGTGTGTTTGCAAAACAAGTTGAGTCAGATGACGGTGGAGGAAAATGGCCTCAGCCTCCTCTATGGCCTCGGTACCACAGACAACAGGTTGGTGCCGTGTTGCCACTAGCGGCCTGCTTTAAAATACAATCTCTGAATATTTGCGCGTTAATACTTCTAGTACATCCGTGAAACGTTTCGATTTGTCTCCTTACTGCTGCCGCCAGACTCCTGCACTTTGTGGCCCCCAACCACACGGCGCAGATGCTCCATAAAGGCCTGTCGGAGTTGGTGAATGCGTCCAGAAAATTAAAGAGGTTTCCCGACCAAAGGTTGCAGTGGCTTAGGAAGCAGTACGTCAGCTTGTACCAGGTAAGCTCTGAATTTCTGGTGCATATTTTTGTCAAGACTGAAGATCGTGTGATTTTGAAAAAAGTTTAGTGGTATCATCGTGAGCGAGTTTGGTCGTCGATGGTGCTCAATTTATGTATTTCTTTATTTGATGTATTATAGGACCAGCTCAACCTCACCTCTTTTAAACCGCTGTGCTCTTGTGTTGCCTCTGTTAGGAGGACGGCAGGTACGAAGGCCCCACGCTACCTCACGCAATAGAGCTGTTCGGTGGACGCAGGTGGAACATGGGTACAGGTGGAGTGGAGAAATCTGCTGCCCAGAAGAACAGCCCGTTGAGCATCAACGATAAGGCCAAGAAGAAGAAGAAGGTTCTTGTCAGGGTCAGTACATCAAAAGAAAATGCGTTTCTTATACTGAATTGCGCCCCGTTTTTTTTAACATGAGACGTGTGTTCACGCACTCGACGCAGGGAGACAGTGGGGATGCCACGGATGACGAGATGGTTTCCAGGAAAACGCGGAGCTGTAAGGAGGGACTTTATCGGAACGGACTGGAGTCAGACGCTATCGAGCAGGAAGATCCAGGTGACTTTATTAAGAGCTTTTTAAAGTCAGTGAAAGAATCAAACGTCTGCAGATCTCTGCCAAGCAAATGTGTAACGTTAACAACTCAAAGGACTACAGAAAACCCGTTTTACTTCTTCTTTGCCTCTATAGAGGACAGCTTCCCTGGACCATTCGCACTCTCTACTAGTAAAAGCCCCGGATTGGTAGCCTCTTCCTCTTCCTCCTCCTCCTCCTCTTCCTCCAGCATGGCAGGGCCCAACCATTCACGCCCACAATCCTCTCCCATTCTCTCAGGAACGGCCAAGTCACAGCCGGGGTATGTAGTGTGCTTCACAAAATGATGTTCTAAGTCAAAAGAGCTGCATTCCTTATCGACGTTACGGTATTTTTCTTTCTCTTTTCTCTGCGGATTGCAGGGCATGGAGCAGCAGGTCGTGGCACGGCCGAGGGAAAAGCTGTTTCAAAGGCTTCCAGAATCTCATGATTTCTGACAGCACGATGAGCTTCATTGAGTTTGTCGAGCTCTTCAAGTCTTTCAGGTAAAAGATATCAAATACTGTGTTTTTGTTATTTGGGGTTCCCAGTAGTGAAACGGCAGAGTAAGCCGTTTTTGGGTTCATTTGACGTTCAGTAATGGCCTGTAGGCCTATATTGTATATGTATACATGTTCTGGTTATTTTCTGCTACCTCACTCCCTCACCATTCCCTTTTATTATATAATTGTTCTGCTGTTATCAATAATCGCTGAAGACCGTGTGATAAAACATTCAACAAATGCTTCTCCAGGTTATCGTGCCCAGGACAGTTTCCATGGCATCTTGTCCTTATAATATTTAGCTTCTATAATATGTTTCCCTGTCAAAATGAAAGGAAACAACGTTTTTCCTTGATAAGCAATGGATTATCCTCTGACCCGTCCTGCATTTCTTAGATTGTAGTGTGTCCTCTCATCTGCTGCCCAGCGGTTTCCTTTAAAATCCCCCCTGCTGTTCCACTAAAGTCAAGCAGAGAGATTGGAAGGGCAGAGCCTGCTTAATTTCTAGCCTTCAGCTCCTCTTTCTCTACTGATCCAAAACAATGCTTCTGCACACCCGTGTTCGTTGTGTAAAACTGGAATACAACCCTAAGGCGGCTGAAATGAGTAAATTCCGCTTTTTGGTTTTTCCCATCAGCATCCGAAGCAGGAAGGACCTGAAGGAGCTGTTTGACACCTACGCTGTCCCCTGCAGCCGCGCGAGTCCCGAGTCGGCTCCTCTCTACACCAACCTGAGCATAGACGACAAAGATACGGGGCTACAGCCCGACCTGGGTGAGACAACTAATCTATTCGTATGCTCCGAGCAGTCGGAGGTCTTTCTCTTTTTGTTTTTTCCCCCACGTTAATCTCCTCCTTCCCCCGCCCAGACTTGTTAACCCGCAACGGCTCCGATCTCGGCCTGTTCATCCGGACGAGGCAGCAGATGTCCGACAACCAGAGGCAGATCTCGGACGCCATCGCCGCAGCCAGCATCGTGACCAACGGGACGGGAGTGGAGAACGCGTCCCTCGGCGTCCTGGGGTTGGCCATCCCTCAGCTCAACGACTTCCTCGTCAACTGTCAGAGGGAGCACCGGAGCTACGACGAGATTCTCGGCATTATACAGGTACCGGAAGCAATGTGACGCCAGCGCTTTTTAACGTCCACCTGAATTGACTTGTGATCAATGTTGGTATTAATTGTTTTATGCTTTTCTCTTGCAGCAATTTGAGCCCTCATCAAGCATGAGGCAAATGGGTTGGATGTCGTTTGAAGGCTTTGCAAGGTATGACGGGAAATAAATCAAAATATTGTAATCGCAGGCTTGTAGGCTTGCGGATTGTAATCAGCGCAACGCCACCATTTGTTGATTGTACCGTCTCTCAATATCAGGTTCCTGATGGATAAGGAGAACTTTGCATCTCGTAATGAGGAATCCCAGATGAACCCAGAGGAGATGCAGTACCCGTTGTCCTACTACTACATTGAGTCTTCTCACAACACCTATCTGACTGGACACCAGCTCAAAGGAGAGTCATCCGTTGAGCTCTACAGTCAGGTAATTCAAAATGCGACGCCCACTCGTGCAAAAAAATAAAATAAAAATTAAAAAAGATTCCCGGACTCCCATTTGCACGTTTGTGTCTGATCATTGAATGCAATGTTTCACCAGGTGCTACTGCAAGGCTGCAGGAGTGTCGAGTTGGACTGTTGGGATGGAGATGACGGCATGCCAGTCATTTATCATGGACACACACTTACCACTAAAATACCCTTCAAGGTTAGAAATTCATGTGAATGATTGTATTCCAAAAAAGAGATGAACGATCCGTCACTCGCCGTCTTTGCTGCATTGTCTCACGTTTACATGTTCCTGAGAATAAGATTCCCTCCATAACCCTGCAGGATGTGGTGGAGGCCGTCAGCCGCTCCGCCTTTGTCAACTCGGACATGCCCGTCATCCTGTCCATAGAGAACCACTGCTCCCTTCCACAGCAGCGCAAGATGGCTGAAATCTTCAAGGTACAACCGCTGCCGTGTTTAAAAACGTGGACTCGGGACAAATATACAACACGCGACTGTCCTTCTCTGTGTTCTGTGTGTGTGTCAAATGTGATGTTGTTGGAATTTTATGATGACGAGTCCGCGGTGCGTGTAAAGACGGTCGTCATTCTTATTTACCACATTTAGCGATGCCACGCTTTTATATTTAGGAAATCACCGTTGTGTAGTTTAGTCTCTGGTACAATCACACTCCTGCAGGTGGACGTGGTTCCCTCAGTTGTCTCAGCACGTTTTGAGCTTCTCCACTGGTAACAAGAGGCTTTTATTTCTGATCATCAGGCTACAACCGTCCGCCTCTTCCTCTTTTTAAATTTTTTATTTTTTTTAAAGTTCTATTCTCAAGGCCAGTAGTCTCTTGGCACGACAGAAACATCATGGAACATCATGGGGCTTTTCATCTAATAAAACTTTCCAGGGTCCTTTCCTCCCTAGAGACGGACTTCCGTTGGCTCGATGAAAAACAAAAGTCTTAAACGCTGAGAACGCCCCGTTCCTCCCCGCCAGCTCACGTCACCACGGGCCTTTTTTTTTTATTATTTGCAATGTGTTGTATCCATAAAAGCATTTTTTTTGGTCTGTATGTTTTAGACGGTGTTCGGGGAACGCCTCGTGACGCGCTTCCTCTTTGAAAGCGACTTCAGCGACGACCCTCACCTGCCGTCGCCGCTGCAGCTGCGAGGGAGGATCCTCCTCAAGAACAAGAAGCTCAAGGCGCACCAGGCGCCGGTGGACATACTCAAACAGAAGGTGGGAAAGGAGACATCCATCTAAATACATAATTCATATTTAGCGGGCAGCATTAGTACAGCCAATGCTCAAAAGCAGTTTATTGTCACGTGAATAATGGATGTAAATGTGCTTAAATGTGCACCTCATCATCTGCACTCCACATAAAGTGCTGCTGTATAGAGCATCTATATATATATATATATATATATATATATATATATACACATGTTTACATATATTCTAACTTTTTTCATAGGCTCACCAGCTGGCGCACATGCACGCCCAGGCCAGCAACGGGTCACCCGGGGTTAATTCGCCCGGCAACCACACCAATGAGGAGGAAGAGGAGGATGAAGACGAGTACGACTACGACTACGAGTCTCTATCGGATGGTAAGGAGAACTGCAACTAGTCTAAAGACTAGTTGCACTTCAAAACTAACACAAAAACTCCCCAGAGGTCGCCTTGGATCTGAAGGCTGAATTACAACTGAAATTCTATGAAGATTCTTTTAAAGCACTTGAATCAGTTTCTGTTCTCAACCTTTGTTCTGTCTCTTGTCTCATTTCCGCTCGCACTTGTCTTTGTTTACGTTTTACTCTCTTCTCACTCTTCCTTTTCTATTGCCTGTTTTCCACTTAGCCGATGTCCTCACAGCCTCTACTGCCTCGTATGGCCTGGAAGGTAAATGCACGGGTCTGATGCGCCTCTCAAGCTGCCAGTGTTTCACTGTTTTTTGTCGTGCAGTGGTAGTTCGCTTATTCATTCAAACCACTTCTTAAAAATATGTATCATTCACTTTAAAAATGATAACCTCTGTTTCAAGATATCGTCCCGAGTAAAATCAAGCCAGAATGTGTGTCCTTCAGCACAGGCGTCATGACAACTTTGTAACTGCTTTCACTCATAATGCTTTTAGAATGTTTGTTACGGTGACAAAAAGTATTTAAGCTTGAGTGTGTCCTTGTACTTTCACGGTACACTTTTTAACGTTTTGGCCAGAAGCTGCAGTATATTTGCTACAACCTCATGGAATTATTTAGTATAAAACCAGGGAAGGATGAGACCACACCGTCTGCTTAAAGGCTGTTCTTGAAGCATATTTGTTATGAATGGCATTGAAATAAAGTGCAGCTTTGAGGGCAAAACAACTTTTGAGTCCTCGTTAACTTGATATTTTGTTTCTCACACAAACGCGCAACTTCCCTTCCTTCTTGCCTGCGTACTGTATTTATCTGTGACCTCGCCAGTAGCTGGGCAGGCTCGTCAGGGAAACACAACAAAGCCATCTGGTTTCTCAGGCCCCCGGCTGCCCCCTCGCTAAACAACAGACCAGGGGAAACTACCCCCGTCCCGGTTCGCGGTCCCAGCTCTCTCCAGATCCCTTCCTCCTGCTCCGGCCCCGTCGGAAGAACTCACCGGTCAAAGACCTTTCAATAAGATTTCTTCTCGTCTCTAGTCTAAGGATTAGCAACTTGGGGAGATATCGTGGGTAAACAAACTGCACTCCTTGCTCGGCTGTTTTTCATTCGACCCCCACGGGCTGAACATCAGCCGGGCCATGAAATACAAACACTCGAGCACTAATCTGCCAAGTCGGCAGCATCTTTTGTTTAATGGGAGCCGCGCCGGTCGCAATCTGGCCCGACTCGCTTCTCCCGCTCGGGTGATATTCACGGCCCTTTAGTGAAGCCTTGTTACAGGATTACATCACAAATGTCAGGGATATCTGCGATTTAAAAGCGTCTGCGTTTTCAGGCTGATTGGTTCCTTTCTGTGGTTTTGGCTGTGACGGATGCGTAGGAGGAATGAGAGCAAAGGGAAGAACTCCCTGCCGGTGCTCCTGTCACAGTTGATGGACAATACTTTGAATGTCAGCGAGTGGGTGGGCTTTGTAGGCTGCTCGGCGCTCTCGGACTCATCACTAACTTGAAACGTATGAAAAACCCAATTCCTGTGTTGAAAAGCGCAAGTTAATATTTGTTTATATGAGAAGGAACATTGTCAGATCCTTCTTTTAACATATATCCTACTGCTGATGAACCAAAAGCACAATTTCCGATTAGCCAACCTGGATTTTGAATCTAGGCGCGATCTTTGACAGGCCACGTTTTGCCTCAACTTTCTTGTATCAGATGTTGTCTGCTGTACTAATATGCACAAACACGTTTTTTTGGAGGTGGATATGTGCCCTTAGGGGTAGTATCTAAACCTGTCACACTATCAATTACTAACAATTAATAACTACCAATTTCATTTGCACTGCATATTTATCCGTTTGTCTTAGGCTCTTGTGTGAGGATGTGTGCTCTGTCAGACCCATCCTTCCACTCACAGTAATCCAGGTGTGCAGGATTACCCATTCCCATGGGAACGCCTGGAAACCACTGTAACGCGTTCTATCTCCTTAATAGATAACATTCTGGATGACAAGCCAGAGGGGAAGAGCTCGGCGGACAAAGAAGAGCAATCTGTTGACGAAATACCGAAGAGGATGAAGAAGTCTGAGAGCACCACGCAGAGCAAAGGAAAGGTAGATAACTACAATATCAACTACTGTAAGAAAAAGACCATTGTACCTTTTTGATGGTGGCAACGGACAGAAAATAATTTTTTTTAGATCTGCTGAGGAGGTGAAAGCAAGTAAATTGCAAACGGTGCTGTCCGTGTCCTATGTCCACCTTCCCCTGCAGGTGTTTGACATAGAGCTGGGCGAGGAGTTCTACCTGCCTCAGAACAAGAAGGAGAGTCGGCAGATCGCCCAGGAGCTGTCCGACCTCGTCATCTACTGCCAGGCCGTCAAGTTTCCTGGTAGGGAAAACACACACAAGTCGTTTGTCAGTGTTCCTTCCATTTGTCGTATCACTCACGCCGATTCAATGTCATTTGTTCTCTGTCACAACCTTCCTTTTTTACCTTTGGCATGCTACCGTTTTGGTTATTTCTTTTTTTTCGTCCCACTCTAATCTACTCCCTTTGTCATATTTGAGAGGTCAACGCTTTCCCGTGTTTTCTTTTCGTCTTCTTTTTCTATTGCACGATATTTCACATCCCCGTGTTGCACTTGGTTCCTCTCCCACACTGGACACCCACAGAGATGACGAATCCCCGTCTCCCCCCATGGGAGAGATTTTGTTTCAGTTCAGCGCCGTAAACCGCCGGGTTGTTAAAGGCCTTACATTAAGGAAATGGGTTTGGTAGATTCTAGTGTGGCTGGTTTTAATTTGACCCAGAGTCACACGACACTTCCCCTCTTTCATCTTTAATACGTCAAAGTTTTAACTCAATTTATTGATTCATTGGATTTCCTGAAAACGCTCCACATTCAGCAGTTCAATATGATACACTGCTTTCCTTATAAAACATCTCCTTTTTCCTCCTTACTGGAATATATCTTCATTCCGTGCAACCGTTTATCGCAAACAATTTGTCTCCTAAATATCAGTCTCTTATCTCCTCTTTCCTCCCTTAAGTATCTACTTCTCTGCTAATCTCCTCTATTCTTTACATGACATTTGCCCTTATAAACGTGCCTGTGTTTCCACTGGTATTTTATTTGTTTATTGTTTCCGTGGACCTGAGATCTGAGGATTCAAGGGAAAAAGACTTTGTTGTCTGAACTCATTCCAGATGTGTGTGTTTTTATATATATATATATATATATATATATATATACATATATATATATATATGTATATATATATATGAGACATTGTACTTCTAAGAATGTCTCTACTAACATTAAAATATTTAAAGAACCCTCAAACATTCAGAAAATGCCTCTCAAATCGTTATTTTGAATGGAGGCAGAAATTTGAACTAACTGGGAAATAGCTGAAGATCAGCAGTTTTAAATTAATTACACGCATCATTCGGAACCCCAACGATTTAACGATTAGTCGTTTTTGCAGATTGGAGGTTGGAGCAGATCTACCTGCTTCCGGGCTCCATTCTCTGTGCAATCATACAAAGAGATATTATCTCGTTGATTTCTTTACAGAACTAAAGTGCGTGTTTTTAAAGGAAAACGCATATTTTGCTGCCACTCTGCCAACAGTACACAGCTTAAAATGAGCGCTATTAGCTTCAATCTTCTGTGCTCTTTAAAGCAAATGCTCTTGGAGTGACGCCGCGTCGGGAGACATACTTCCTCATTATGTCAGAATGTTACTGCATTTAAAGAAACCAGATTGCGAGGTACTGATGTCGTTAGTGTGCCGTCTCCTGTCTGTCTGTCGCATTATTGACCGGTTTCCTCCTCTTGTGTGTGGGAACGCAGGCCTGTCCACCATGTCTCCTGTCGGCTCGGCCAGAGGGAAGGACCGAGGAAAGAGCAGAAAGTCCATATTTGGCACTGCTCCCGCTCGCTGCAGCGCAACAGGGGAGGTCGTGACCCAGAGCCGCATCCCTGCAAAAGGTACACAAGGCCTCGGTGGGGGGGCGACTGTATGGATGAGCGAAAATATATCAACATTCATGCATTTTTAATCCGAATCAGGCTTATAAAAACTGCTATATTAGGTCAGTAGGAAAATAGGAAATGTTGTTGAATAACACCTGAAGATTATTTTATTTGATACAACACTGTTGTTTTATGTTGTGATGATATCAATGCTAACTTAGTTTGTCCTGTTGTTGCCAGGAAAGTTCCCACTCTCCTCATATCAAAAGAATAACAGCTACCAAAACACTTTGGTGGCGATAAACTAAATCTTGAATCTCCTGAAAACGTGATGAAAAAAAGTCGTCGTACGCCCCTTTTAAATATTTAGGAATCACCAGCCAACGCTATCATCAGATCTGATTAGGAATATTGCTGGATCCCAAGCTGCTGTAACTCTTGCGCGAGGGCCACATCGTTCAAAGCCAGAGGTCGGATTGAGCAGATGGCACTTCAGTACCTTCACGCACGCCTCCGCTCTCTCTCTCCGTCCTCGATAAAGGTGGCGCTGAGCGCCTGAGCTGGGAAGAGCACCAGACCTCGCCTACCCTCAACCCCCCCACCTCCCTCAGCGCCATCATCCGCACGCCCAAGTGCTACCACATCTCCTCCGTCAACGAGAACGCCGCCAAGCGCCTGTGCCGGCGCTACTCCCAGAAGCTGATCCAGCACACGGCGTGCCAGCTGCTCCGGACGTACCCGGCGGCCACCCGGATCGACTCGACCAACCCCAACCCTCTGCTCTACTGGCTGCACGGTGTCCAGCTGGTGGCTCTGAACTATCAGACCGATGGTGAGGAGGCGCGCTGTTTCCCCTCCGCGTGCCAAGCTAAAGTAACACCGCCGCGTCGCAGTTAGTACCACAAGACGAAGGAGGGAGAACATTCCCGTCTTCCTGCCCCAGGCTTTCTCTGCATGACGCTGGATTTTAAAAGCAATGCAAACACCCACATAAGAAAATAACACATTTAAGATGGAACATAATTAACCTGTTATATCTTTAAAAAACGGATAAATGATCTGTTTTTTGCTGTTTTAAGGGATTTTGCATCCCAAGGTGCTCCAATGTTTGTTGTCTATTTCTTGATTGTTTTTGTTTCTGTGTCCCATTTCATTCTTGCCTTTCCTTTTCCGGAGGTTCTTAGCTGTCTAAGTTCGCCGTCTAAACTCTTGTCAGATGAAGTTATTTTTCTCAGATTACATCAAAACAATCCTCTAAATCTCTGTCGGATTTTTCTTTTGATCCTTGTTTCACTCCCTTCCTTATGTTTTTTATCTTCTTTCTTAAACTATGTTTTCATTAGCTAGAATGAGCCTAGTTATATCTACACTGTCTGCTATAGTAACGCAGAACGGACAAACCAAACAATGGCTTCAATCGGCAACCCGGGCGCTAAATGCCACTAAAACCTTCACATTGGCACTTTGGGAATTCAACTTTACTAAACATGAGCACACAGCTGCATGAAAGAAGACACTCGCATGCACTCAGACATGCAATTGCTGTTTATAGGACAATCTTTTCGAGGGAACAGCCAATACGAAACCCAAACGGAAAGGCAATGGCAGAAATCGTTAACAATTCAGTTTTTGCCCTGATTCCTCAGATTTGCCCATGCAGTTGAACACGGCCGTGTTTGAGTCCAACGGCGGCTGTGGCTACGTCCTGAAGCCGGCGGTGCTGTGGGATCGTAGCTGTCCGCTCTATCAGCAGTTCTGTCCGATGGAGAGAGACGTGGAGAAAATGAGCCCGGCCGTCTATTCCCTCACCGTGAGTTACGCTGACGCGTGGAGCTCAACGGGACATTTATCCGGCTGAGTTTCCGCTCCGCGCTTTAGTCCTCACCACTTTCTGCGTCGTATTTTTCCCTCTTTTCTACCGCTTATTTGTTTTACACTGATTTGCGTTCTTGCAGTTTCTGCACTCTCACGGTGCACTTTCTATTGTGTGTACTTCATCGACGTACCGCAATTGACTGCACGGACGTTATAACTGGACACCAAAACATACACTCTTAAGTTCTCATATACGCACCGTCAAGGTGTGTTTAGACAGTTTTATTGCCTAGTGATCTGTGTAGGCTGTCTTTATTTGACAGTCATGAAGGCCATTTCATACAAAAGTGAATAAGAACAGATCCTCATAAAATCCCCTCTGTGTCTGCTTACTGTACAAATCAGATTTAGAAGTTCTCTATTTGTCTTTGTGTCCTTTTTTTAACATTGTCACTCAAAAGACAAGAGTCGACTACGTTGAGAGTGGAATTAAAATAAAAATACTTAATTATAAATGTAATGTTACGTCATCATTGTTGTTGTGGCTGTTGGCATGAAAAGGGGAACATGTCATGTTAACAGGGAAGAGCCGGCACACATAAACCCGTGTGTCTCTTTATCAGTGCGTGTGTGTTTGATACAGTGCGACTGGTCCGAGTAACAATGCAAAGCTTTAAAATAATCTAAACTGACAGTATTGTTCATATAGTGTGTCTATTCTAACGTATTAAAATATCACCCCTTTTCCCCTCTGTTCTTTCAGATTGTTTCCGGTCAGAACGTCTGTCCCACTAACAGCGCTGGCAGTCCGTGCATCGAGGTGGACGTCCTGGGCGTGCCCATCGACAGCTGCCACTTCCGTACCAAACCCATCCACCGCAACACCCTCAACCCCATGTGGAGCGAGCACTTCCAGTTCATCGTGCACTTTGAAGACATGTGCTTCCTCCGCCTGGCGGTGGTGGAGAACAACAGTTCCCAGACTACCGCCCAGAGGACGCTGCCCCTGAAGGCCCTCAAGCCAGGTGAGGCATTTGTCTAAAACACGTCGGACCCAAACTGGCTTTTTGTCATTATTGGTATCTTTGTTTATCTTTATTTTAAATTGTGTAAGATGTTTTCTCTAATTGTGCTTGCATACTTCCAAATAAAGACGTTCTACTCTTAAGATTAAACTGTAAATTTAAAATCAATGTATTACACACTATTCGAATATTTCCCATTTAGGATTAGATGCATACTAGTGAATGAACATAAATCCGTCTTGTGTGGCGTTAAATTGACCCACTCTGTCCCCGTGTGGTCAACATATCCCTGCTGTGTGCTTCAGGTTACAGACACGTCCAGTTGAGGACACAACATAATGAACCTCTCGAAGTGTCGAGCCTATTTATCTACAGCCGCAGGATAGAGGAGGTTCCCACAGGGGGCGCCACTCCCTCATCACTTGTAAGACAGCCCTTCAAATTCTTCAAGATTTCCAAGAGGGTCTTTCGGGGGTTACATTTGATTTCGATGCCTCCCGTGACTAAAAGACTTTTAACGTGGTGTTTTTTACCTTCCACACGCAGCTGTTCAGCTCGGAGGAGAGACGGGCGCCGCGGCAGCACCGGGTGACGGTGTACGGAGCTCCCGGCCCGGAGCTCTTCACTGTGTTCCGTATCACAGAACAGACCACCGCTAAACAGCTGCTGGACACGGTGGGTGCCGAAGAAATACGACCACCCCCCCACCCCCGTTCTGCTCGGGTAATGGGGGTTGGAAGCCCTAAGAGGTTTTTGGTCCTCATCGCGTGTCGCGCACATCTGCACAGGTCGTGGCGTCCACGGGGAACCCGTCGGACTACTTCCTGTGCGAGGAGAAGGTTCCCCTGCTGAAGGAGCGCAGCGAGGCCAAGCGATGCTCTCAGCACCGTCCCCTGGCGCCCGAGGAGGAGGTGGTCAGACTGGTGTCCAGCTGGAGCTCTGAGGAGGGATACGTGGGGAGGATCTGCCTCAAAACAAGAGACGAGGTACAGACGCCGACAAAACAAGATATCAATTATCAATTAGTGGCAATTATCAGCAATGGAGGAATGTAATGATTTGGCTTTATTTATATTTACTTTGTCTTTACTTTTCAACATACCTGTTACATGATTTAAGAGTATGATGTCACCTGTTAACCTCATGACTGTTCAGCATCAAACTAAGACAAAAAGCATTTGCAAACCATAGCTCCCTCTTCTGGTTGTGTCTGGAGTCCCACCACATATTCTCACTGCGTGGTTTTCATTCGTGCAGAACCTAAATGACAGGAACCCATCGCTGGAGGGAGAGGAGGAGGTGGCTGTGGGGGGTAGAGAAGGAGGGGGCGGAGAAGGAGGAAGAGGAGGAGGAGTAGGAGCAGAGGACGATATGTTCTTTGTTCAGGTCCACGAAGTTTCCCCAGAGCAGCCTCACACTGTGATCAGGGCCCCGCGCTACAGCACAGCCCAGGACATCATACAGCAGGTGAGCAGAGTCCACCTGACAAATCCAACTTTCTTAAAGTGGCCTCGATTCAGTTTCTCACGCGCTCTCTTGTCTGTCCGGCCAGACCTTGTCAAAGGCCAAGTACTCCTTCAGTATCCTATGCAATCCCAATCCGTTCGACTACGTCCTGATGGAGGAAGTGACCAAGGACACCGGCTCCAAGAAGCCCTCCACCGCCAAGCCCCTCCAGCGGGTGCTACTCGACCACGAGTGCGTCTACCAAGCTCAGAGCCGCTGGCGCGGGGCGGGAAGGTTCATTCTTAAACTGAAAGAGCAGATAGCTCTAAACATGGTAACTGATTTACAGTGACAGAGACTTTCCTCTGAGCATGTGTCGCCTTTCTGCTTTGTGCTTAATTAATGTCGCCGTGTGCTCGTCATTGTATTTTAACACCCACCTGTTGGATTGTTTGTGCTTTTTAACGTGTCCCAGCTTCCCTTGTGTGTAACCATTGTGGTTGGTTTTGCTCTGTGCTTTTGTGATTAACTGTGTTTTATCTGTCTTGTCTCTAATATTTATATGTTGTATGTCAGTATTTATTATATTTCATCCTTTTGCACTTGAGCACTTTTGAGCCGACATGTCTGTAAATAAGAATGTTTTAATAAGCTGCCTTGTTTAATAAAAGTAAAATGACCATTTCATTTTAGTTCCTTTCTTTTTAATGAAAGCGAGCAATTGGAAAACGTCATGTTTTGTAGAAACAAAACCGGATGCAAATTTCTGCCAAATGTCCCCTCTGTATTTCAGTGGCGAATACATCTCTGCTTTCAGGTGCGGGAAGACAAAAAGAAGGTCATGTCCTTCGCCAGCGAGCTGAAGAAGTTGACCAGTCGCGGGCGCAGCATGACGACCGGCGGCGGGGCGGACGGCGCCGCCCAGAGTAAGGATGATAGAGCTGCATGCTGTGTGGCTCTGACAGAGCTGCAGGAGTGAGGCTCCGTTGCTGTCTGTGCATGGGGAGGCAACCGAGGTACCGTATGTTGTCTCTAACACCTCTAACGTCACTAAAGGGTCACGATGTAACCGTCACAAATCTAGAGTAGAATTTGGAGGATTTTTTTTGAAGTCCAGGGAGTGCATGAGACCCTCGCTCTTCCTCTCAAGGAAAAAAGAAAGTCAGTCATTTGTAAGAATTAGGTTCATGAAATCTAGCACATGGTCTTCCTTTCTGCATATTAATATAATGTAATAATACCTCTTTCTTGGGATCACTCACACGCGTGTTTGCGCTGTGGAATGCCAGAGTAACCGCTCATTTCAACACGGTGTGTGTATCTAACAAACACTCCTGGTTAGCGCTCACTCCTGGACTTGTGTGTGCGTGGAACGTTTGAGATGTACTTTAAACTCTGTTAGAATACATTGTTTAAATTCTTCCATCCACCTTTTTTAGCAGCAACATTTCCTCTGCTGTATTTAACAGGGGTGAGACTTTACCGGGTGTTCGTCTGTGATCCTTTGCAGGGTATCTGTCTGCAGGTCTGAAGGCGTGGGTGGCAGAGGGCAGGTTGGGCGCAGGGAGGCTCCTGCAGGCCACCACGGCCGCCTCCTCCTCCTCCTTCGGGGGGCAACTCCTCCTGCCCACCCGCTCTCTGTCCCCACCGGCCTGGAAGCTTCACCTCCTCAGGAACTGGAAGATCCACAAATGAAGTCGGAAAGAGGGAGACTTTGGTTGATGACTTGTGAAGGTGCATGAAGGCGAGGCGAATCGGCGAGGAGTCCGACCGCGCCACGTGTTGGTTGCGCAGGACGGGATCCAATGGGTCCGTTGACCAATGCTCGGCCCCTGTGTCAGAAATCACCTTACAGCCGCCGTGGTCATGTTGGGGCAGGTATCTCTGGCTCTTCTTGGTCCATTGGCTGCCAGAGGCAGCTGCTGATCTCATATATAAGTATATAAATATGTGTATATATATATATATCATTGGGTATGTGATCAGGGACAGAAGGTATTCCTTCTCTTACTAACAGAGCAAGGAGCGCTTCCTTAAGTCACATTCAAAGAATGAAAAATTGATTAAAAGGATGAAATGGCCTCTTGATTGAATGGCTTTAGTGGAAGACAATTATCTTTAATTAAGTGTCTCAGCACCATATCATGTGTCTGGGTAGTGAACTATTCCGCCCAGATGAAGCACAGAGCAGGCGGAGGGAGATGTGCTTGTAGAAATGGAAGGAGAGGTCCGCTAAGGTTCTTCTCTCTTTCTCAGGTAAGGGCATCGTGAAGGACCCTGACAAGCTGGCTTGTTTGGTTCTTTTCTTACTGTTCCACTTTCACAGTACTGTAAGGTCACACTTTGAGCATCGCTCTTAGGAACAACGCTGAAGTGCGCGACACATATTCAGACTTTGTTGGACACTATTGTCGTTAGCGTAAAGGTGACGATACTTCAGAACCGCATTTTAAAGCAATGTAGCTGTTCCATATTCAATGTGAAACAATGTTTTACGCATGTGTAGAAAAAGTTATCTTATGTGTGTTATCTTAGAATGTTGCAAAACTGCGTCTAGCTTCTGCTCATTTTGTGTCAACAAGTTTTTTGCATGGACAGTATTTTATTAATTCAAACTTTCTTAAAGACTAATAAGACACATTGATAGTCAATCCCATTGAGGAATGCAATGCAGCAAAGTTGCATTTTAAAACCTTTTGTTAAAGAAAAGAAGTGAAAGTTAAAAAAAATATATATATATATTTTGGACCTTCGCACCAAACTTTGGATTTTGGTACTCGAGAATTTAAGTAACTCGTGAGGCTTAATACTGGCGTGCATTTCCCCTCCAAAATGAATAAATAACGAGTACCAATGCTTCATGTGGAAAAATAGCAAAAATATTCCCCCTTTAGAATGAATCAATGGAGATTTTAGCACTACGGTACTTTGGAGAAAAACGTTCTTCAAACAGCATTTTGCACGTTTTTCTTCTTTTGTCATTTCTGAGACGGTGGAATTATTATTTTTTCATTATTATAATGATCATTGTATTTATTACATTTTGGTTTGGTCTCCGTTGAACATTTTGTTTTGAGAAAAGCGCAAGATAAATGTTTGGATGTTTTATGTAAGTTTTTATCCATTTCAAATGAGATCTTGAGGTGTCATTTTAAATTCCACACACGAAAATTATTGGACTGAATTGGACTCTTTTGTTTATCAGCCTAGATTTAGTGTCCTTAATTGTAAATGCTGTATCTTCATAGATGACTAGTATTGATTAATTAATTCATTAATCAGTAAAGACTAAAGACTTTTCTTTATTTCTACAGCATATATTTAATGCTCATTTACTAAACCTGATTGATCTGGGACCACTTTCCCCCATTTCTGTGTTATAATTGTATATATATTTTGACAATGCTGAGATGATTTTTTTATCTTCAAGACATAGTTTGGGTTTATTCTGCATTTTGGTTATTAAAACATAGAAATTCCCATATTGTGTCATATTGATCCTCACCGATCCAAAACTCAATTTCCTTAATTAAAAATAAGGAAAATCTGTTTTTTCAGTTGTTGGGTTAAAAATGAATAATTCTGTTATAAAGAAAGTCTTTAAGTAAAACTTACTAGTACCAAGTAGTGATGTTTGAATTTTAGTGCAATAGTAAAGTTCTGTAACTAAGTTAACTAAGTTTTTGTTCTGAACAGAAAGTCATTCTTCTGTCAAATTGTGAACTTGTGAATCATCATGAGCTGAGTTCCTTGTTTTTCCTTCTTTTCAACCTCTGCACCTCATTTCTGAATGTAACATTTCTTTATGTGTTTAACCTGAGACAAATGTGTGTTTGGATGTTATTTATTTTAATGTGAAGCCCTGGTTGGCAGATATCTGTTGTTGTTGTTTATGTATAGTTTCTTGTAAGTAGTTTTTAAGGGTTTTTTAATTTATTTCAATATGGTAGATAGACTCTCCACTGCCCCGACTTTACTCACACTTAGCAAGAGACTTAAGGAAATATTTTACTTTTTATTTTGTGATTTATCAGATTTTTGTATTAGTCCAATCTGTAAAAATATGACGTATACGTTTGCTGACTGTGGGCTGTGATTTATCTTTAGCACACTGTTAATTCCATAATATGTGCAGCATATCCTTCAACATCCATTATCCGGCTGATGACAGGGCTGAACATTTCTATAGTTAATTGATTTTCTAATTGGATGAGAATTAGTGGACTTGTCTTGTACCAGGATCACAATAAAAAAGAAAAATACTCAACGGTGCTGAAACTGTGTGAATGTCTGCGCGTGCAGCGTCGGCTGCGGTCTTGGTTTATATCAAGGTCATTGTAGGAAACTGATATTATTTGCCCATAACAAGTTCTTACATGAGCTTATTAACATTAGCAGTGTTAGTAACGGCATCATGAACACGTTTATTATTAATTTACAAAAGTATTACTTTTTTTAAAACTTGATTTGACATAATATGCAATAATGTTTGCGCCAATCATTTTGATTCTGTCTCCACTCCCCCTACCTAGTGCCACCCTTTCAGAATAAAAGTCCCATTAGGTTAATCTTAACATCAAAACTAGTTTTTTTTCTTCTCCATTTAAATAATTATGCTCTTATTTTTAGTATCTATTGCTATGTAGTACTACAACTGTAATACTACTAGTACCGACGTATAATCATTTTATTGTGTAATGTGTAAAAGCCCACATAATGAATCCGCTTTGGGTTTTGGGCAAAATGCCCCCCTCACCATTATTTGCACTTGTGTCAGAGATTAATGAGCAGAGTTCATTCTGCCGTCTCCTCCAATAAAGCACAGTGGACTCAGGAGTCAAAGACATAATCCGCTTATTCAGTTGAATCAATAACGGCGTCCTTCTTTCCAGGGAGTGAAATGTGACTCCACAGTTAACTAATGCCTGGTATTAAATATCACTGCCGGTGTGGTACACTCCATTGACTTCCCTAATGCAGAATCATGCAGTCATTTAATTAAATGTGAACCTTTCAGAAGTTGGTAATTTTGCAGCTTGACGGCCGAGCTTCTTTAAATGGACTAATTCACTCTAACGTGGTCAGTTGAATAAGTTCCCACACCTTTATGATGTGAGTGATGAACTAAGGATTCCAAGTCTGCCATTAAACTTTTCTAAATCGATCCATTCCAAAAGTTCGACAAAGAACATCCATGCAGTATTAATGAATGAAATCATCTTTTATTTGAACGTTTGCCAAGCAACTTGACACCAATAAAAAGGCAGGTTTGAACAACACAAGACGTCATGTGTCAATGCAAAGTGACCAGAAATTTTGATACAATCAGCAGCCATTATGTGAATGAAACGAGTGTAGCTCCACTTGGTCGTTGAAAGGGCCGTAAAAAGTTCAGACTTTTCCTTCCATCAGCATTTCTTAGCAAAGTAGAAATATAACGCGTCCTCTCATTCTAGGTCTAGTATTACAAAGGGGCTGCAGCTGTGCGATCGGTCGGGCTTAAGGGATGCTCTGTTGGGCATATTGAGCAGTTATGAAAAGATCGCTTTAAAAGGTGGAGTCAGCAATTCCAATCCAATATACTCTTTTTGTTTAAATGTGAGCGGGGAGAAAGGCCATAAAGAGAAAGGCAGTGAGCACACAGTTAATCTAAGAGGGAGGATTCGTTTTCTCGATCATCTGTCTTTAAATTTAAACCAACCCTAAATGTATTTACTTCAGTCTGTACGTAAGGCGTCATACATCTCGTCCAAATTCACTTCCAGCGCCACAATTTGCTAATTTCAGCTTCTATCGGAGAGCCGATCCGTTGATTAGATGCCGTTTAATTGGATTTGGAGCGTCCCCCATTAGCTCCCCAACTAATGGACAGAGGAGACGTCAGAGCGCCGGGATGATGTCGGCGGCGAGGAGCCGGCGGTCACAGTTTAGTCATGGGTATGTGGAGGCTGTTCCACGGGCCCATCCACAGCTCCCCCTCGTCCGACTGCGTCCTGTCGCCCGGACACTCCGGCGGCTCCCCCTCCACCAGTCCGCCGTCCTCCTCCTCCTCCTCCTCCTCCTCCCCCCCGCCGCCGCCGCCGGCGTCGTCCACCCGCGACTCGTCTTCGCCTCCCCCCGGCTCGTCTCTTTCTACCTTCAGCGGGTTCGACCTGGAGGCCCCGCCGCCGGGGCCCGCGTTGCCCTCGCCCGTCGACCCCGACGACGCCCCGGAGCGGAGCGCGCTCGGCGTTCTGCGGCCGTCCGCGTCGGAGAAAGAGGAGGTGGCCGAGGTCCGGAAGGTGCGCAGCGCGTTGCGCCCGCCGCCGCCCGCCGCTGTTCTGCGGCTGCTCAGGGGCGCCATTTCCTCCAGCGTGGCGGGCCATTTTGTCCAATTTTTTAAAGTGCTTGGCCAGCCGCGAGCTGAAGACGGGGGACGGGAGTTTGAGGTTGTCGTGCGCGTGGGGGCCGCCGGCGCCACATTCCGCGCGGCGGGTGCGGATGACGGAGCCGTTCTGGGCCACGTAGACGCCGCCGTTGACATTGGCGTGACCGTCGAGCGTGGAGGGCAAGTGGCCGCGCTGCGTCTCCGGCGCGCTGTCCTCGCCGGTGGAGCTGGTCTCGTACTCCCGGTCCGCCGGCGGCTTGATCCGGCGTTTCCTGTTGCCTTGCTGGAAATCACAAAAGAAAGGAGTCCGGCGGTGAGACGCATGAAGGCTTTCAAATGAGAGCGCTGAGCGAGAAAAAGGGTCACTGGAATATTGTAAAGCAACTACTTTTCCTTGACTTATGCTAATGGGCATTTTGGGCTGACAATGACCCAAGTACCTTTTTCCTGCGGACCACTGGAGGTCAGAAGAAACAACATCTTCCACTAATGTTTGGGGTCGTGTCAGCGCTAATATTTCCGGACTATTTCCGTTTTTTTACCTGCAAGGTGTTAAAAATAATTAAATAAATAAATAAAAAATAAAAATCACCGCAAAAACACAACAAACATTTAGTAGGAATCATGAGATGCTCATCGATTTGCAAAAGGGCAGCAAAAAAAAAAAAGCTTTATAACACCTTTATGTCATGTGAGAGAAAACACACACACACACTTGGGAAAAAGAATGTGTACATAGTGTAACCCTCAGTTTCCATATTCAACCCTGATTGTGCAGAATAAACATTACCTTCACTCTTGCGCAGAAAACATCTTTTTTTTTTTTTTATACAATACAGGAAAAAATAAATGACTAATGCAAGAAGCTTGAGCCGCACAATGAACGCGACACAGAATAACAATCTAGAGCTGCAGATGCGAATGAGCAGCTGGAATTGGAGCTTCGACAGCCGGACAACCGAGTCGGCGCAGAAATAAACTTCCACGAGGGTACGAGGAGAGACGTTCAGAGACGCGGAGGGACAACAAGAAGAGACGAGAAGACTGCTTGGAAAAAGGCAAAGAGACACGTGAAGATAAACGCTGAGCAGAAACAAATCAGGCGATTGAAACTCCTGTGAAGGGAAATCACAGCAAACGGGGGAAAAGAGAGAGAGAGTTTAAGTAGCTAAAACCACCCAGGTAATGAATCCACGCTCACGCCAGGCATCTTACTTAGTGGCAAAGAACTGCATCTTGGGTAGCCAAGGGCTCCGTCTGCATTTTCAATCCGCGGATTCATTTTCCCTCCGGATATTGCTCCTCCTCCTCCTCCTCCTCCCCTTTCCCGCCACGGCCGCTGCTCCTCTCCTCCCCCTCGGCGTCCTCCATGATGGCCGACAAGTCGTCCGAGGCGTCCGTCGCGCCGCGGTCCGACGGGACGAGGTGCTCCGCCGGTTCTCCGCCCGCCTCCTCTCCGTCGCCGTCTTCCTCTACCGCCGCGCGGGAAGAGCGCTGGCGCCCGGCCGTCTGTGGCCTGCAACCGCTGAGCGCCGGACCTGAACACCTCACGCCCTCAGAGTCCGTCTCTCGTCCGCGTGCGCTGCGACCGCCGATGCCGGCGCTCCCCTTTGAGCGCCGTCTGCTCCACTCGTCCGTCCTTCCATCGCCCCCCTGCGGCCCCGACTCCTCCGCTCGCCTTCCGCGCTCTGGCTCCGTGTCCGCGCCAGGGCCTCCCTCGTCCTTCCCCGTCTCTTCGCCGGACTCCGTCTCGGTCTCGTCGCGGTCGGATGAGGTGTGGCTGCTGGCACCGGAGGGGCTCCGGCTGCCGCTTCCTGCTCCCGAGCGGCAGCGTTGACATTTCCCTCCTCTCCTCCGCCACACCTCGGTGGAGCTATTCCCGTCCTCCGACTCGCTCTCCCACCTCGTCCTCCTCGGCTCCCGAGCGACTCTTTCGCACAGTGACGCGGAAACGCTCAAATCTCCCAGGGAGCCGTACATCTCCCTGCCGCTCTCTCCTCCTCCGGGCCGGTTTTCGCCGCCGTCACTCCGCTCCTCGTTTCCCACCCTGGCGGCTCCCCGGAGCCTTCTGGCGAGAGAGATGAGGCCGAGGGCCTCGCTCAGCCTTTGTTTCTCCGCCTGGGCTTCAGAAGACGTCTGGAAATAACTCCCGCCGCCGGGCGGGCCGCCATCCAGGCCGGGGAAGTGCCCGGGCAGCTCTCCCCGACGCTCTGGCCCGGTGCCGCCTCCTCTTTCAGCAGCGCCTCTCGCGCCATTGTGGCTCGTTCGCCGTGCCTCCGTCGCTCCTCCGTCCGCCCTCCTCGCCGTCCCTTCATCTCTCCTCCCCCGTCCGCTCCCTCCATTCTCAACTGCCCATCCTGCTCCCCCGCCCTCTCTTCCCTCCCGTCTTTCCCCCCCTCCTCCCGTCGCTGTCACAGGCCCGACTCTGGCTTTGTTCCAGGGCGGGTGGAAGGCCGGAGGTCGTCCGGGCGCTTTGCCAGCAGAGGGCAGCATCATGGCTTTCAAACCAGCGGCGGCGCTCCAGCTCCTGGGCTTCGCGCTCCCGGCGGCCGGAGCCCGTGGCGGTGGCTGTCGGGGAGGGCGGGGCTGCAGGTACGCGGGGCACGAGGCTAGTCTACCGCCTAGAAACCGCCTCATCGCCTGTTGTCACGATGATGTTGATCCAAAACGGGAAAAAGGACAATTAGGAGAGAAAACAACACAAACATAACAAAGTGCCTCAACTACTCAGCAAAAATGCACTTTTTTTTTTGAGTGCTTTCGCTGCATCGACCCTCAGTTCCAAAAACGCCGCCGTGAGCACTGATTTTTTCTCTTCACGCTCCCCGGGAGCCCGATTCTGTTTGCGTTTTCTCGCCGCTTACCTTTCCGTCAGACTCGGGGGGGCTGTAGTAGAAGCTGCCGTTGTCGTCAACAACCCCCTCTCCGTATTCGTCGTAAAGGCCGGACGGGGGGATCAGTTTCCTGAGACTTCCGTACTGAGGAAGGTCATCCCGGGGACGAGAGGGGGGGGGGGGGGGGGGTGTTACAGTTGAGCAATGAGAAGGTGCACAGAGCAGAAACGGCAAATTTTTTGGGCTTTTTGTTTTATTTGTTTGCCTTTTGTGTTATGTGTTAACTTTTAATAAGTTGGGTTTTTGTACAAAAGACGACTTAGTCATAAAAGGGGCGTTTTGTTGCCAGGGGACTTTTTGTTAACAGAAAAAACAAAGGAAAAAACCCCCCCTCCCCCCCTGGCCCCCCCCCCCCCCCCCGACACTGTCGGACTCAACCGGCCTCGTGGAATTACCAAGTCTTTTGGAACGTTCTCCTTGAAACCGCCCCCGTGTGATTAAAGTAAGACGTCTCGGTTCTGCCCCGGAGTCGCGCAGGAAAGGTGTCCCGTTTAATCACTTTGCTCACAGTCAGCCGACGGGAGAACTCGCCCCGCTATTACGTTAAGTACCCAAGTAATAAACAAATGGAAGGGAGCGAGTGGATGACTGATGCGTCTGCGTGAGAAGGAGGGCACGGGGGGGGGGGGGGGGGAGCAGGATGAGCATACGTGTTGCAGTTCTAATCCTTCCAGCGTGGCTTCTGCTAATTCAATGACCCAACCTTCCGTCAAAGGCCGCTCGTGATGTCACGGCCATTAACTCGCAGATGTGAACCAAACTGAGCCGCACAGTCGAGTTAAAGACCACAGTAACTCTCTGCTTGGAGTGGCTTTTTATCGTCTCCCCTTTCCTTTCCTTTCCTCCTCCTCTCCATCCCTCCACTAGGAGACACTCGTGGGCTGAGGAATCAAGTTCAATGTTGCCAAAATCACAGGAAGAACGATTTGATGGGGTTTCAGCGGCTGCGTGTTTCGCACTATGGGAAGACCTCGAACTTTGACCTTGAACTACGAGTTGCTCTTGAATGGCGTCCCTTAGATCTTCTTGGCCAGGAACACTTGAGAACTGCTTCAGCACAAAACCGCCATTAAAACCGCAAAACTTTCTTCAATGCTGTTTGTTTTTTGTGAAAATGAAAGAAAAGAGATTCAACGTTTTAAGTGTTTTGTTCTGTTATTCGTCTGCTTCTGGTCACGCCGCTCATCCCCCACGCCAGTGACAGTTTTAGATGAGCTAGTATTTTACTCTTGACTACAGGGCAACATGAATTTGGCTTGTTTTTTTGGGGTTGTTTTTCTTTTTTTTACAGAAATGCATCAAAACCTGTGCAACAAATGGTTGAAGTTATTTTCAGCATCTGTAAAATCCCATCAGAATCATGCCAACGGCAGATGGCTGCATTCCCGCACGCAGAGCAAATCCCATTTAGCTCTCATCCTTTGAAGACGTGTGGAGGAAGAGGTCCGAAGGTCATGAAGCGAAATGAATTAGCAAAGCCGCGTGGAAGTAAATTGTGGATCTCTCGAACACAAAAAACCCGGCCCGTCCGCTTCCCGAGCGGCGGCTTAAAGCGTTTGTCTTTGGAAAAAAAATCCTGCAGTATTTATTTACAACATTGATTTATAACCGAGTCCCGTTGGACCCCCAAAGACTTCCTGTACGCGTAGCGGCGTTGGAGGTGAGTCTGTTCTCTCCCACGGGCGGCTGCAGAATCGCGCGTGTGTGTGTGTGTGTGTGTGTGTGTGTGTGCAGGAAGAAAAAAAAAAAGGGGCAACAGAGCATTTCCTAGTGAGTGAGTGAATGCGACTGCCACGGGGGGATTTATGTGCGTGTCTGCCGCTGTGCATTTGTGTGCGAGTTGTGTGTGTAAAATCAAGTTTCCGGGAGTCTGCGGCTAAAATGATAAGAATCACACAATGCATCACAGATGGAAGGCAGGGTTTCAACATAACACACATGCACACACACACACGCACACGCACGCACGCACGCACGCACGCACACATACACAGACACACACGTTAACATGCACACACCTGGGGAGGATGCAACAGGTCCTCAGGGATGTTGTTCATGAATGCTTTGATTCAATGTGTGTGTGTGTGTGCTATTTCTATAAACAATTCACGCACATACATTTAACCACCTGCACGCACACACACACACACACACACACACACGCAGGAACAAAACCCCTTTTCAGAAACTCAAGAACATATTAAACACACGAGTGGTTGGTATGATTCGTGTCACCAGGGTCGATGCAGCTGCCACGAGCTTCTTCCACATAAGGAGCTTAACCGCTCAGCTCGCACGCTACGCTGCTCAGGAGCTTGCGTGTGTCATTGCTCTCTATAATGCATCACGGAAAACACAGAATCCTATAAAACGAAAAGGGGAGGGATTGACGTAATTGTTCATCCACCACCGGCAGTTCGGACTTCACAAGATGTGAGAATAACTGCAGAGGGAGCGAGAATCATGATATCGATACAGATCTATTCGATCAGACGTGAAAAAAATGGAAATTGGAGGGAACTTGTGGTTCGTTGTAAAGCACGTGAACGACACAGTTGCATGTACGTGTGTGTGTGTAGGCTGCGCGTACGAACCCGTGATCATAGTTGTAATAGTCCTGTGTGTAGTAGTCCTGGCCGGGGTCGATGCCGGACTCCATCGATAACTCCTGTCACACCAACAAACTGTTTATCAGTGGCTTCCCAACACAGACACACGACAGAGACACTCGCCTATTAACCCACGACCCCGTCTCTACTAACACATCCTTCGTTGGGGGGGGGGGGTTGTGACTTACAGAGACACACACAGATCCACACACTCAGGCGGTAAAGAGGTATTCAGAGAAATGAGACGGAGTACCTCTGGTCTGAGCAGAGACGGCCGGAGGAGTTGTTGTGTCTGCTGGGAAGAAAGACACGCGGCGAACAACAACAACAACACACATTGAGGAAGTTAGGAAGTAAAGTAAACTCAGTCCTCGATGCTTCTGATTTAACGGCGCAGAATGCAGAGAATCCCTTGTTTTATACAGAATAAATACTCGTAACATCACCAAAGCTTTGGAGGATGTTAAACAATAAATATCTGATAAAGTTGTGCAAAGGATTGACGGTATTCTGCAGCTTCAAAGGCCAGAATTCAAAAGGATTGGTTGACTTTTTATTATGCTCTTTCTGGTGGTTTAAAATGCACCATCAGTGGATTGCAGACGGTCACACACACACACACACACACACACACACACACACACACACACACACACACACACACACACACACTGAGCACTAATTATGCTCCACCTCCATTGCATCAAACAGAAAAGAAGCAGAGCATCGAGAGTAAAAGATAATGACACACATGCAAGTACAGAGCAGGGGGATCAGAGAAAGACACCCACCTCGTGTCGTCCATATGCGCGTCTGAAAGATCAAAGGGGGAAACAGAAACAGCTGAATTACCACAAAGGAAAACTGTCATTACGCATTTTCCTTCTGATGTGGTTTTAAGACACGTCAGCACTTTGCTGTGCATTTTCCTCCCTGCGCCATAAATGGCTCGTTGGAATGAAGACCCAGATGGAAGTAGCCGCTGGAACCGTTGAGGAAGAAAGCAGGAACACGAAAAGGAGGGTGACTGCGTGGACGCGCTGGGTGCATTTTGAGTGACGGATGGACGGGGAGGTTCATACAGTAGAGATACACACGCATGTACAACACATTGGTTGAAGCTTCGCAGCACCTGACCAGAGTGCTGAAGAGTTGGACAGCTGATTAAAAGAAGGTTTTATCTGTATTTACATTTTCAAGTTTGGACTAAATCCAAATATTCTTGGCTAAATTGGGTTAAATGGGAAAGTTGAGCCAATCATTTGCTGGTTCTTAATAGTTTGACATTTTCTGTACGTAAGATTGTCATCAAACGACACTTTCAGTCTCGTTCCCGAAAGGACCAACTATTCCTTCCAGACCTGTTCTTCATCTTGCAACATATCAGATGAGGTCCGCCCGGCGGCTACATTGACCAAACAAGCTCGCTGGTGTTTTTCGGTGCAGTCAAGTCTTATCTCCTCCGATGGAAACCGTAAAACGCAGGTGGAAACAACCGCTGAGAGAAACAGTGAGGGAGTAGAAGAGAAAGGATGAACAATGCTGCGATTAGAATGAAAAAAAAACTAAGATGCAAATACAAAGAAATCAGAAAAACAGGCGACAATCTCTGGGGTCCATGCATCTTAACTACGTAGCCGGCAGGATGTATTGTCATCTGAAGCCGAGGTAATGAGCTGGCAAAATGAAGACGTATTACAGACCAACAAATTGTGACTTTTAGAGGACACGTCGGACACAACATGGGGCACACACACACACACACACACACAGATTGTTAAACCGGTTGAGCATTTCATTGGATAACAGAGGAAATATAATTGTTGCTTCTTGAATATGGACGGACACGCAGTTCAGGGAGAAATTGTAGCCTTTGGTTCAGCAACAAAGTTCAGCTTTGAACAAACGAGTGAGCTTTAAAAGGACGAGATTATGGGGCTAAATGAAAGCGTTGAAGGACGCATCGACAGACACGTCATGGGACGGATTGATCGTGTTAAACGGGCGTACAAATGGAGGGATTATAGGATTAATAGCTGGGGTGAAATGAATGACTTTCGGACGCTTTCCCACTCCTCCACTCATTTGACCTCCTCCTGCCTGCTCTGCTCACTTGTGGCGCCCATCCGGTACGACACACAGGAGGTCAGACGGGCTTTCAATGAGACTAACAGGTCTGTGGGGGGGGGTGAGCGCGGACACGTGCTTTCGGGTAAGGGGGTCAGTGACAGGAGGTCCTCAGACCTGCGCCTTTAAAACCTGCACAGTAATCGGGACGGCGCTGTTGTGTTGCCCGGGTCCCAGGTCTTAAACACGTACGATGCAAGTTGTAACACGCATGATGGACTCTTTAGGGTTTAGAGAGTTACCGCTTAACAGGTCACACGCGTGATGAAACGCGGTCGTCTTTGCTGCATCTCGAAGCTATTTGCTGCTTCGATGAACACATTTCCCACCATCATCTTTTGCCGCGGCGAGGATCAGAACCTGTGACTTTACAATTAAACGCCGGCCTGCTCTCTCGCCGGGCCGCGCTTCTCCGGTCGGATTCAATTAGACGCGAATACTCCCAAAGACGTCAATGGACGTCTGATCTGCGAATGCCTGAGACTAAAGCGCCGTCCGCCGCCGCTTGCCGATGATCACGTTCCTGTTTGATCAGGATTGAAGAAGAGAGACGACCGACAGGAGGACGGACGTTCTCATTACGTCGTCACTAGATAACCACAGATCACGACCAACTGTGTCTGTTTGATTGGGCTTCACGTCACGAATTTGATCCGACGTCCTGGAGATGATCATCAGTGTCACGCTGGTCTTCTGCGGTTCTGTCTCTTCGTGATGACAAAACGCGTCCGGCGACAACTCGATTAAACTGCTTCCGGCTGCCGGAGCAACAATCTACCCAGGCTTTGATTATAATTAAGACTCTTTAAAAGGCAGCGATTCAAAGGCGATCACTTCTTTTCACATCTGGTTTAACCGACACACACAAGCAGTCGCAGATGACATCCTCTGTGAGGGAGTGTTCGACGTGGAGGAAAGTGACAAGATTTGATGTGCAAAGACACAATTCTACATCAAGAAAGCGGCAAAGTGTCACATGATCTGCTTGATCGACATTTTCACGAGTCGTTTTATTAAACTCGTAAAGGATGTTGACATCTGACACGTGAGGAATTCTGCGCCGTAGTGCTAAAGAGCAACAAAAGCTTACAGAGGGGATATTTTGTGTTAAGTTAATTTTAGTGTATTGTTTTTGGATGAGTGGACTGCAGTGGGTTTGTGACCTTCGTTAAAAACATCTTTTTTGTGGCGTCGGTGGAACATTTAACATTAGTCAGTTCATTTTAAGGGACAATGATCGCCAAATCAAATCTTTGATACCCGGCGTCAGCGCCGCATTTTTATTGACAGGAAAGTTTTTTTTTTTTGCATTTTTAGAATAATTATCACCCCAAGACACTGAAAAAGACTTTTAATGAGAAAAAACTTTTGGTAAAAGAAGCAAAAAAAACCCATAGAAAAAAAACTATCATTTTTTCTACCGCTATGCAACAACTCAATGTAGCCTTTTATTCATAAAACAAAATCAAATGTGAATGGAAAAACGCTCTAGTAGTACAATGTAGTTTCTAGGATACAGCGTTGTGAGCTGGGATCAAATAAAACAAAGATGGAAAGACAGAAACAGATGGATGCATAACGGTGTTTGTGTTTCAGCATCAGGTTACAAGGTATTAAAGTATTGATGAAACAGAGTATAAAACAGAACGTGACACCGATGATTTCACGGGTTGTAGCCCTCTAACAGGGAAATACTATGCACGCTAAAAAAGGAATTCATTAAAAGGATCCTTCAATCCAAGTTGGATTTCCTACATCTAGAATCAACTAGTCAGGATGAAAGTCACCCAGGAGGCCTTTTGCTACCTTGAGTCACTATATCAGCTCAGCAGCTCCATCTGCAGCTATTGAAGCCGATTGCCCACAAACTAAAATAAAAACAGGTCTTAGAAATGTTGTTTAAGTGAAAAAATTACATAATGGCAGCAGCAGATGCATTTAAAGAAGTACTGCTTGAATTCCATTTTGTACGCCAGGTTCAATGTCCGATTTAAAAGGACCTCCTCATCCTTCCAGTCAAAGGGAAGTAAAGTAGTAACACAATAACCGAGGGCGGGAAGCCCGTTCCAGCTGTTACTCCACCCGATCCTTCAGGGCTATGCGGGATGTGACCACACTTTCACCTCCTCCTACTCCGTTTCTGTTCACAATAAGAACATTAATGAGGAGAAACTTTCTTCTACCCACAGAATTTATACCGAGCCAAGTATTTTTTTTCCTGGCGTGGAAAACAGGAAGTGAAGTCCGGAGGAGCACCGCTGCAGCGTGTTATGGGATCACCGTGTCATCACCGCCAGCCAATGAGCTATTTTGAGCGTCCCTTGACGACTCGGCGGCACCTACGCAACCATGTTAAGACCCCCTCCCCCACCTCCTCCCCCCCCACCTCCTCTGTGTGCTTTCCACATCATAAAGGCCAAGGCTAGAGCATTGAAGGCTGAGAGGGGAAGCGTTTCTCGAGCTCCTCCACGATGGAGTTCATGTTCGGCTTGGGTTGATTCTGCGGAGGTGGAGGCGGAGGATCCTCCCCTTCGCCTCCCACTCCTTCTCTACCTCCCTCTCCCCCCTCGCCTCCCCCCTCCGCCGCTACCGCAAATGCATCCAAGGAGTCGAGAGAATCTATGGAGCCTCTGGCCCTCATCCCCGTTTTGAGGGGCATCTGCTTGCGGTCTATCTGGCTGAACATGTTGGCCACCGACTTCTCGATGTCCGCGATGTTCTGGATGTTCTTCAAGATCCCTTTCAGCTCCTTTCGGGGAGCGTCGGGCTCCGCGGGGAGGAGCGGCGGCGGCGGCGGCCGGAGGGACACGGGCCGCAGGGCCGGTGCCTCCGAGAGCGACGGCAGGACAAAGGTGGACGGACGCAGGAGCGAGGGCGACAAGGGGGGAGGCAGAGGGGGAGGCGGAGGAGGGGGAGGAAGTGGAGGAGGCGGGGGAGGGGGAGGGGGAGTCTCCCCTCCCTGTGCCGGTGGAGTGAGATAAAGCGGGAGGTGGAGGCGGCGGGGAGGAAGGGTGGCGTGGAGGAGGCGATGATGGGGATAGAGGAGCAGATGTGGGCGGAGGAGGCGGCGGGGAGGGAGGCGGCGGCGGGGGGGTTGACGGAGGATCAGGGATGAAGTCGAAGTGGACCTGAAGGCTTTCTCGCGTGCCCTGCTTCGTGGTTAAATTGGCCCCGAAGCGCCGCAGTACCGGAGGAGTCGGCTTGTGACTCGGCGGCGGCGTCCCGCCGTCGCTCTGGGTGACGATGATGCTCGGAGGACCTTCTTTGGCCGGAGCGCTGTGGGGGGGGGTTTGCTTGTGATGCGGAGGAGACTCCGGGTAAATAGAGAGGACGATGTCAGGCGACAAAGATCCCCGCGACTCGACGCTTTGCCTTTGCCTCATTTCCTGCAGCGCCTGTTGCTCAAATTGTCTGGCTTGTTCTTTGACCGTCAGCTTGGGCTCCAGACTCGGGCTTCCCATGAAGTCTGAATCCAACCCGCGGTCGAATCCTGAATCCAGGCCCGCGTCTTTGCTCTCCCTAAACTCGGCCTTCAGAAGCTCCAGCTCCCACTGGACGGGGTCCATAACCACCTGCCGCCTTAAAGTGTCGTACGCGTCTCTCCGATGCAACCTGGACGGGAGAGTCCAGCTGTGTCCACCTCCGGATCCCCATCCGCTGTCACTGCCACTGTACCCCCCGAGACCCCCGTCTCCCCCGGGGGAGCTGAGCCTGAGCCAGGCCTCTCGAATGCCCTTCCTGCACGGGGAGAAACTGCCCAGCAGGTCTCTCCTCCTCTGGCTTCTGCCGAGAGTTGCCGGGCTGCTCAAAGTCCCGTCCTCGTGGTAGATGGGGTTTTTGATGGTCAGGGGGTTTTCGTCAGAAAGGAAGGTTATGTTGGATTCAGACTTTGGCCGGTTATTGAGAACGCCCCCGTTGGCGACGCACTGGCGGTGGGCAGCGATCGCTCGGGTGGCGAAGTCCGAGAGCAGACGCTGGCGGTCGCTCTCGTCCGAGCTGCCGCCGTTCCCGCCAGCGTGGTTTGACCGGCTGGCGCGTGCGTGCGCGGGAGACAGTTTGAAAAGAAGAAAGACGGAATGAGGAGAGGGATAATAAAAGAGGAGGGTAAAGCGAATTGGAAAGATGCAATCAAAGCTATTTTTAATGGAAGAGAGAGAGAGAGAGAGAGAGAGAGAGATGGCAACTGAATTAGATTTAAATCGAGAGCAGAGAGGTTAAATAATGCTTTATAAATGAGTGACAACACACAGATACATGAAGAACGGTAGAATAGCGGCTAAAACAATGAAACTCTAGAGCCTTTTGGTCAATGAAATGAAAAGAGACTACTCCTAATGAGGAGGTAAATGAGGACGGGGATGAAGGGAAATTGAAAAGGATTCTTGCAAGAGGTGACGACATTTACTGTCAGTGCTGTTTTTAGAGGGAGCGCTAAGGAATGCAAATACATCGTATGTGATCTAAGACGCTACGGCATCACGACTACAGCCGACGGCACATCTGTCGGGGCGGGACAACAAGGCGGTGCCACGCAGCGTGTGAGAGAGTGTGCAGATTTCCTTCCAACAAAAGGGTCATCGTTCCCTCCTTCGCGGTGGAAGGTGCATTCCATCCGTGAAGTCTCGTTGCCGTGGACAATCTGCAGACTCTCAGCCCCTAAACGGCACACGGAGGGCTGATCCTACGCCGGGCAAACCATCGTAACTTCAACCAGAGTTCTAATGCATGGTCGATCAGACACAGCGACACCGATCTACCAAGTCACAACTCACCCTGCGCGTGAAACAAGAGCAAACAGCGACAAGGACGGGACACGAACACAAAAATACCGCCGGCGTCCTACTCACTTTTGTCTGCCAGTGGTGGATAAAAGATGGATGGATCAGAGGAAGAACAGACCAGTCAACAGGAGGACAAGCAAAGTAAAGTGTCTGCTGATCAGTTGTATACGGAGACGGTTTTATTTTTTTCAACAAGTGCAATAGTTTTGATATTTGATATTAACAGACTGCAGTGTGAAATTATGATTTCATCTTGTTGATGTTAGGTTTTTAAATAAAAGCTTTGAATACTATCACAGAAATCTAAAAAGAATAGATACAAAAGAAATCTTTTTGATCTAAATTCTACCACTAGACGGGGTTAAGCTGCTTTCCTCCATTTTAAACTGTATGTGAGTTTTCCTGGAAACCATAAATAGAAATTCAGTTTGGTCGATAGGAGGCATATTGTGCACATCTAGATGTTGCTAGATGTTTAAGATTGTTACAAAGCCGAAGTGATGACGGCGTTGCTAAATAACATGCCTTTCAATTTAACTTCATTTAATGTGCTGCTAATAATACGGTATGTTAAATTCATCCCGGCTAATTGAAAAGCACCATTAAAACCGAGCCTGTCAAGAGAACCCTCAGATGTAACACCAAAGTAGATCAAGTATTGCCTCAAAACCTTTCTGCTGAGCAGTTGTATTACTTACCTTAATTAGGAAAGTGCAAACTTTTCTAGGTTTTTATACTCGCACACTCACACGTCAACACACACATACTCACAAGCCACACAAAAGACCTTCCCAACCACAATTAAACATGCTCTGCAGCTTATCAATAGAATTAATTATCGCCTAGGGGGGTCTTTAGAAATTACGGGCTGCATTTATTTCAATTATCTCATATCCAAGTTCATTTCCGAACACATTTTACAGCGGATCATTTTTGCTGGTTAGTGTGTGCGCGCACAAACACACACACACACACACACACACACACGCGGAAATCCCTTGTTGTCATTTGAAGATAGTTCCTACCATCTTCCGAATGAATTGCTCTCACGTTAATAGGAGTCGGGACGCATATCAAGGACACACAGGCAGCCGGCGATGCATGCAATGCTGATAGGAGTTCCTCTCAACGCTCCGGTGAGGAATTATGAATAACAATGTGTGTATTGCCTTCAGTAAGTGTATGCATGTAGCCTTGACGACTTTCAGTCTTCAGTTTAAACCGACACGTCATACCAGAACCAATTATAGTATAAATTAAACTGAATTTGCGAGCAGATACACATTAGATGGGGGAGCTACAGGAAGTAATGAAGAGAATGTGACTAAATAATTCAACTTTTTTGAGTCTGCACTTTAAGGAGTTGAGACATAATTTAGAGAGTAAAAATAATTTTACATTATCATTAAAAAGCTTTTTATTGCCTCTAGTTGCTGAGCATGATTTACCGCCTCGAGACTAGGAATTCTTTTGGTGGAGACTCAAAAGGAATCACTTTGCTTCCAAAGCAAACATGTATAAACTCACGATGAAATCTACCACGAAGGCGTTGAAGACACTCTGCGAGGAGTCCTGTTTTCACAGAGGTATCGAAAGCCGCTTCGGTCGATGGAAATCTGGAAGTGAACGTGAGAGTGCTGCACTCAAACTCGACTGAGATTCACTCCGTCTTTTGTACGGCCAGGATATTAGTATGCATTACAGGCGGCAAACCGACAAGGACGGAGCCGCACGGCGCTGAACTCTGTGAAGATAAAATGGCAGTTTATCTGCCGCCGTTAATGCATTCAGAAATCAGAGCTTTGTTTGGTGCGAGTTCCACAACGTCGTGCCCACGTAGTGTCAGTTCCTGCGCCCTGCGCAGAATGTGAAATTAGAATGAATAAATGAGAGTCTGCAGGACACAAAGAAGACACGTGCTTTGGGCCGCACGCGTTACCCTCATGCGTTCCCCTTAGGGCCTCCCGGACTCTCTCATTAGTAAGCCACAGGTGCCATAGCAACAGCCTCGACAACAACCCCCTCCGCTGATGACTGACAGACGTGCGAACAAATCAATGATTTGCGGTGCATTGTTTATGTTTGTGCATTGGGTTAGGCGATAATGCGTGAGACCGAACATGTTCAATATTTATGGTGTAATTTCAGTTAAGGTCACTGTTTAATCAATAAGAATCTTCTGTCCTGCCCATATTTCTTTAATGGTGATGATTCGTATCTGAGGAGATGAACGTGTGTGTTCGGATTCCACAAAACGAAAAGGCACAAGGTAAAAGTCGGAGGTTTAAAAAGCCTTTCGTTTTGGCTCATGAACATAAATGCCACTTTCGCACTTCACTCACATGGCGTTGTCACCCAGCTCCTCGTACAGGTTGTTGGCGGTCCCCCCCGCGGGTTTGCCTGTCGGCAGTGCCATCTGGATACGGGCTGTTTTGGCACACTCTGCTTGGCGCCTGGACACGGCACAGATGAAACCCGGGGTCAGTAATCAAAAGATGGAAAAAGCAGCGGTGAAAGGTTCATGACCTGTGCAGGGGAGCACGAATCTGGTACGTCCAGCCTCCATCAGAAGATTTGTTCTTAAAAAACCCTCATCTGGACTGCTCATTTATTTGTGTATGTTTTACAGTAGAGTACAGTGTGTGTGTGTGTGTGTGTGTGTTTTTGGTTTCAAGCCATCGCTTGATGGTCCATGAGGTTGACATTTGTGTTTTCAGTAAAATGTCTGATGAACGGCAGTTTATTTGTCATCATCGGGTAAAAACGCCCAAATAATCACTCAGATAGAGACATTTGTGTCCCTTAATTCTCCAAAATTCTTGTGCTGTCGGTATTAGATGCTTTCATTATCTATACAAAGGACTTGTGGAATGAGACAACAAGCTGTCACTGTGGTTAATGTTCTGCTCACGTACGTCGTAAATCATTAAGATGTTAATCTGTGGTGTGCGTAAGCAGCTGGCATTGGTACGTACACACACACACACACACACACACACATATTCTATTCTGTTTTGGACATGTACTGATTCCACGTTCCTCCCTTATACATTTGTCTGATTGTCTGCTGTCCTTCCTCTTTCACCGCCCCTCACGGATCTCCCCCTTGTTATTATTCAATGAAAGTCCAGACATGAATCCACAGCCAGAGGCTTTTAAGACGGCATGAGAATGTGGAAGCAGGACTCACTCTTTGAATCTGGCGAGGACGGATGCAGCGGGCGGCAGAAAGAGACAGAGAGAAATATTAGTCGCCATTTGAAGCATAAATCACTCGTTAGCCCGGTTAATGCGTAGAATTTTACAATTGGTACAGTTGGTCTTCATTACATTCATTTAGCAGAAGGGACCGGGGGATTATTTTGCTGATGATTACTTTCTGTTTTTCTTTAATGAAATCCTCGCTCTGTTGTTACCTATATGTATTTAAGTACGGATTAAACGAATGTCCTTTCAACAGCCCAACACATTATTAGAATTGACACAGTGGGACAAGCTGCCATTCTGAATCACCTGGACAAGTGAGTGGCCCGGGTGATGGAATGATAACCGGATAAAAGAGACGTGGGAAAGATTTATCTCGTTTCCGAGGACAATCCTCCTGTCTTAGACCAAACTGTTTTGAGGACCTGCATTTGAACATTAGAATTTAGTTTCTTCAGTTCACCAAACGTTGCATAAATGAGAGGAACGCCTAGCTCACAAATACAGTAGGGATGGAACGGATTTAATAGCGGCCGGTGGGGTTTACTCAATCTAACAAGTCATGTGCAGGAATAAACATGAACATCCGGTGAGAATAGGAAGTACGTAAACTTTTAAAAGTTGATCCAAGTATCACTTAACTGAGATTTGTCTTTGTTTCATATTTCATTTGGACCAAACCAAATATGTGGAGTAAGAAGCCAAGACTGTGTTGTTTGCCTTGTTACCAATGAGCTTGCTTTTTTCTGATGAATTAACAAGGAAATGAACTTAGTCTTTGTAGGATCAGATAACGGTTGCTTTTGGTCTTTTTTTGTGAGATTTGTTGCTCAATAAAATGTTTAAAATATCGTCAACACGAGCCAATCAAAAGGACAATACAGTCCATGTTGTCCCTGATCAGTGTGCCATGTTAACACCAAAAAAATAAAAAAGCTAACTTACTGTTTGTAGGTGATAATGACAACCAGTATGGCGGGAACACAGCAGATAATGATAATAACTGCCAGCGCCAACAGTGCCCCCTCCGTGTAGCCGACAGCCTGCACAGCTTTCCTCACACTGGTCACCACTTCGGGGGTCCGGATCTCCAGGATCCGTCCTCCAGGAGGAAGGAAGGGCTGGAACTCCTTGTTGATATCCAGGAGTTTACCGTCGAGAAACCTTTAGGAGAGAACGGGGGCGAGGGTGACGTCGCCGTAACACCAGAGCAGTACTCCGAATATCTGCGGCCCTTTCATGACACCATGCGTGTTTTGGAGAGCTGCCCTGTTGCTTTACATCGACCTGTCGGCAAAGATCTTACTTGTAGAGCTCCTGCCTGGAAACGGCCCTATTTGTCAGCGGGTCGATGGCGTAAATCATGAGGTCCGACTTGGTGTAGTCCTCCTGCTCCGTTCCATCGGCATGGCGATGGGGCCCGATGGTTTCCACGACAACCTTGGCTCCCGGAATCTGCTCCTGGACGTAGCGCTCCAAAATACTACGGATCAAGAGATCATTTGTTCCAAAACTACTTGTACATATACAAAAAGACTCCTCTTGGTTTTCATTCTCTCAACCAGACAGGGAAATATTGATTTGTGTCCCCACAGAAACACCTACTCAGTGCTCACAGCGAGTAGTGCGCATGTGTCTGTGTGCGCCGAACTGACAAAAAAGTACACGCGTGTGTCCATGTAGCAAAAAGAAAAAGCACCGCCAGTCCCTGAGCAGCACTCCATTAAGAAAAGGCACTCCAGCTGTGCAAAGGTTATGTTTTTATGACAATAGTACCTTGACACAATATAACCTGATTTAAACCGTATTGTATGACAGCCGAGCATTTCTTTTTTTATTGATTTGGGAAAGCACCTTTCTGCAAAGCGCAGACATTTTCAATTAGTGTTCACGTTGGCTTCATGGCGCAGAATGTGGGGAGGCAACAGGTGGAAGATTACATCAGGGGAAAAGTATCTTTACAAACATTTTCTGGGACGATTCTGCTTTCTTTCCCATTGTGATATTGGAATTCTTTCTAAGAATTACAAATGACTGCATACACAAACATTGTTGTTAACAAATAATAGTGCTATAAAATCCAAGTGTTAATGAATTACAGTATAATAATACACGTAAAACCTCAAAATATACTTATTCTATAACCACAGCGTGGTCTATTTAAAATGATTTATTTCATCCTCTGTAATTGAAACGATAGATTCTCGTCATTTAAGGCACATGAATGATATAATGCTATAAATAATGAATTCATATTTCAAAGGAAAACAAAAAAACATTCAGTTTTATAAATTACCTCAGGAGCTTGTCTTTGTTTTTCTCCACGTAAGTAGGAGGGACGTTTGATACAACCACCTGCATGTCCAGCTGGTTCACGACTGACACCTGAACAACACAAATGCAAACATAACTAAGTTTAGGAACTACACGCTGAAAAAAAAGCCTTCTGGGTTGTAAATTATTTTACTAGACCGTATCAGATGGAAGCTCCACCAGTGAAATACAAGTTTAAATTGGAAAAGAAAACATTTCCAACTATGCTGCGAGCCTGTGTCTACTGCTCAAGGCCATTTTGGACAACACATAAATCACAATTCATTCAAAGCTATTAAATTTGTCTCATGGGAAGTTATTTAAGACAACACCAGTATTGGCAATAAATGAGCATAAACATACACACCACTATCTCCGCCTTGCTGCTGTGTCCTTGACCGTAGTTGTCCGTGGCAACCACCTCAAACTTAAAATACGACCGCCTCATGTTGCGGTACATGATCGCCGTCTTCACCACGCCGCTGAAAGGTTCGATGATGAATCCATCTTTTCCATCTTTGGTGTCTTTACCAGCGGGAGGGGCGATGATTAGCCGGTACATCATGGAACTGTAGTTACCGGTGTCTTTGTCCAGGGCCTGTAAAATGAGCCAAATAAGCGCCACGCCACAGTGTCACTAATCTCATCGCCGCTGTCACACCACCACCACCACCATCATCATCATCATCGTCATTATACATCACGATGAAATCCTTCGGACGAAGGTCAATGACAGCGAGAGTGACAGAAAACCCCCGTCCGTCTTCCCAGCATCAACATGATCTATTCTACGCTCTGTGATGACTATCGTCCTCCTCGTGGTTTGAGCGGCTGATGGCGATGCTGCAGAACGCGCGGTTATTATTCATTGATTCGGGACTTCGCGTCGCGTCCCTCTCGTCTTTGTCACCCACCAAAGGCCACGCGTTGCCGTCATTTCCTTCTGTTGTGTCGCTGTCTTATGCAGGACTCGTCAGCAGGGGAAGTGGTGCTTTGAGCTTCACGCCGTCGTCTATTTATCTGTTCTGTCATTTTGGCTAACAATCAATTCTCGCCCGGGTTCACACACACACGCACACACACACACACACACACACACACACATGCAAACCACGCGTCCAGACACACGCACACGCACTCAGACGGACATTAATTTATTGCCTGGTCTTTACAAGAAGGGCGAAGAGTACGGACTGCAGAAACCCACCACATCAAACTTATTGTTGTGATGGCAAGAAACAAAATAACGGCATGAGAATAAGGAAAAGGGAAACATGAAACAGAAAAAGAAAAGGGAAACATGGTGGCGTGCTTATAGAAACACGAGGGAATAAGGGAGGACTGAGGAAAGAATACATGCACAATCTATTCTCTCTGTTGTTACTTGCAGTGGCACAGTTCTGATAACCTTTCAGCAATACATCAATACCTGCAGTGAGTGCGGAGTGCAGAGCTGGTTGTATTCTACTGCAGTTGGAAGGAGCTGTGTTCAAACTCCACGTGCTTACAAATGCAAACCCGTTGGTGGAAAGTGGAAAGGTAACAAAATGAATTCTGGTATTAAAATATCCACAAAAATACGTTTGTTTCTCCCAGAGAGAGGATTTTTTACGAGCGTTTCAAAGCACTCTTACCAAACAAATAATCCATGTTTACGGTCCATAAATAGTTTTACATTTAAGGGTACATAAATACCCTATGCATAAATATCAATATCTGGATTCCTAATGCTCTGCTGAGCCGCATTTTATTATTGGTTAGTCTTCAAAACTCGTTATTTAAACTTGGTAAATTCTGCTTGTGCATCGGCCAAGACGGGAGCAGTGACAAACGACTGTGACAGCATTTAAGGAATTGGTTCGAAGAACGGTGTCTTTGTCTTTGAAGGGACCGCGGGGTGGTTTGCCGATCTCAGGCTCATCTGCAGTCTAATCAATATCTGTGTTCTGGCCTCCTCTGAGGAAAAAAACCCCCACTGGGCTCGCCGTGCATGAAGCAATACCCGGTAAAACTAATTCAAAAAAACATACATGCCTGAGGCAGATGAGCTGGAATTAGCTGTACTTTAATGAAACAATCCATATGAATTTTCATTTCCTTTCATTTCTCAAACTTTCTCACTCCCTCTTTCATCCGAATGTCAGCAAATGTGTCGCAAGCATCCCTGTCCATCTTTATGCCCCCCCCCCTGCCATCTATTGATCCACCCATGAATCATGCATGTCTTCCCTGCTTTCTTCTCTAAGGCCAGTTCGTCTCTCCGCGGGACGCCCGGCTCCCCTTATCTGAGCATCGATCTTCTCTCTCGCTTCCAATCTCCTGATCCGTCCCCTCTCCCTGTGCCGATGGAGACTACTAGCGGACTATTCGTTTTTCTTGTCGGTCCGTTAAAGTATTTAAAGGGGTCAGAAGACTGCAGAGCCGGTTACTGTAAACCCGCTTCAGCTCGAGACCACCGAGAATCAACATGCAAAACTACCAGCCGCAGGTGTTTGCAGCAGAGGAATCATTATCTGACACACCGGATTTGGAGAAAAACCCATTTTCTACGCTTCTGGAAGTGTAATTTTGAATACGAGTCTTTGTCGCATGCTCTCCCTCGTTCTCTCATCTTTCCTGTCTCTCTCTCTCTCTGTGCAGCAGGAATGTCTAAGAATCATCTTAAAAACTGTAATAAAATATTAAAGCACATACTTTTCTGCCAGAGTCTCTTGTGGCATCCAGGCTCATTAAAACATATTGCTGCTCCTCAGATTGAAGCTGGGAGCTCTGTGACCTATTTTGGGTCCTAAAAGGTATTTTAATAACGCGAGAGTCGCTTGAGTTGTTTACAGTGACATGAAATACTCCCGTGTTTGGATGAAGAAAAAAAAAAAAAATGAAGGGAAACAAAAGAGATGTGTCAATTTACAGAGAGACAGAGGCACATGTCAACTGAGAAATACTTAACAGTCTTACGTCTTACTTCCTGGATTGAGTGTGATCTACATTCAAATGAAACAACACATGCGCCTTTCTGGGAGAAACGGAATTTTAAGCGAGGATTGAGGCCATCAGAGAAGGACAGGTAAAAGTGGTTGTGGGATATGGGGGCGCCTGCGTATCTGTACCTGTATTTTCAAGATGGAGGTGAAGGTTTTAGCGTCCTCCGTGACCCCTCCGATGTAGAGCGATCTGGTGAAAACCGGCGGGTGGTCGTTCTCATCGTGGATGTCGATCACCACCTTTGCCGTGTTGGCTGGGACACACAAACACACCCGAACGTTTCAAACAAACATCTCATGGAACTGTCATGGCGATTGTCATGATGGGAAATATGATCACCCCCAGCAGTTTATTGTTCAGTTTATTGTTCAAATCTACAAGCGTTTAATGGGAGGCGCCGTTGAAAAGGGTCCGCAATAAAAAATAAAAAAAACCTGTGCATCTCGAGGAGCGATGGGTTTATTTTCCTGCTTCTGCATCGACGTCACTGAGCTCTAAACAGGGACGCCGTGTCCGTCCAGCCTGGGAAACGTGTCAAAGAGCAAGCAAAAGATCTTTTGCATTCGTTTTGAGCTACGATTGAATATGTTTTGACCACCTTCTGTTCTGAACCGCCGCCACACATTGGCACGAAAAAGCCACATCAGCCCACGGTTGTAGACACGCCATATTCAGGGGGAAAAAAAGGCTCGGCTGCTGGTGATTTCTCTGCTTGTAAGTGATAATGTTGTTAACGGCGCTCCTGCCGTCCGCGGTCGGTAACGGTTGGCCGGCGTCAAAAGAGTTCTAAGCTATTTAGAAGAAGATGAGCAGGGGAACCGGTAACGGTGAAAACACTGGTTTCAAATATCATCCATTCATCACAACATTCAACCACAGTAACTTAAAAAAGCGGCAGTGTGAGATGGTGAATAATCTGCCCGAATTATAGAAAAAAAGTGTTTCTGATTAACACATCGTTAGAATCGCGTCAATTGTTGCTTGATTAAAATGTTAAAAAATTAAATTAAATTAAATCAAAAATCCAATGAAGTTAAACTAGTAAACAAAATTAAAGATAAAATGCAAAAGCCCAGAAGCTGAACCTCATTTTAAAGGAGCGTTTTTGAAAAGCGGAGAAGGTAAAAAGAGAGAAATACCAGGAGAGAAAAGCAGGAAGAAGCAAAATACCAATCACATTCATTTTCACTTTAGTTTTCATTTCAATTAAAATAAATCAATTAAAATCTTGTTTGGTCTTTTCTTCCACATGCAACTGTTGTATGGATTCAAATGAGGAAAGTGCATAAACAAAAAAATATGAAAGACTGGAATACTTTTGGGCTGTGCTACAATAACAACAGGTTCACAACCTGCACAAATCATTCTGTGTTTGGGTATCTGGGGAAAAGCTGCGGCTTCATGAATCAAATCTACAATCTTACAAACCGCACCTAAGCTTAATTTGTTCACTACGATGGGTGAAATCTTTTTTTCTCGATATCTCAAGAGTTAAATCTGAAACATTACATAATTGAATATCGGCAGGACCTGTGAGACAAAAATTAACAAGAAAATGAAGAAAAAACAGGATTTTAAAAGAGCAACAGTGAACGAGCAGGTGTAGCCTACAGGTTTGGGAGACACCTGAGAGAGAGGAAAAGCCTTATTGAAACAACAGCAGCGGAGGCCCAGAATTACATTCCAAGACATAACTGTAAAGACGAGGTGAAGAGTTGAGGAGAGCAAACAGAAGAGAGATCTTCAGAGAGAATGAGGCTGTGAGTGCCGGAGCGGGAGAGAGACAAGTGCACGGTGCAAAAGTTAAACCCTAAAGCCTTTAGCATGTGTAGAATGACGGAGAAGAAACTCCGCGCCGATGCCACCCGCTGTGAAATGTTGGTTCGTAAACGCAAACACGCACTCACTCTTGGAGGGAACCCGGAGGTTAGAGGACACCACCCTCATGGAGTCCGCCTCCACCCGCAGGACGTGGGAGGAGTTGGCCTCGTAGTCCAGCGGCTTGGCTGTGGAGATCACTCCTGTCGTTTCATTCAATTCAAACTCGCCTGAGGGAAAAAACAAAAAGGGAGAGAGGGTGAGTATTTCATTATCAGATTTACCAACCTGTGTACGGGCGCCACACGGGAGGGAAGTACACTCGCCTCCCTGGTTGCCTTCGATGATGGAGTAGACGATAGTTTGATTGACAGCAGCCGCCATGATGGTCCCCACCGCGGTTCCAACGGCAGCCTCCTCGCTCACTCGCGGGAACCTGGAAACGCATCAGTCAGTCAATGTCAACGCACATGAGCACATGAATTATGTACGTGCAGGCTGAGGGCCCGCTCGCTCGCCAGGATCCACGGCGACCCGGCGAGTCGTGCACGACTGGGCGTTAACTGTTAATATCTGCCAGAACACTTTCCCAGTTCTCCCCTGGTGGCGACAGCCGGCAGGTAGGGCGTGTAAACACTATCTCATCTTTCATCGATGCGACTCCTGTGATCGGATGTTTCGCTTGTCATCCGTGTCCTCGTTTATCTGCCCACACTCGTCACCCGAATGCAACACGTCTGATCGGATGCATTCAAAGACGCGGCAGTAAATCCATAGCTAATTCTCCCTGCGGTGTCAGTCTGACTGTTTTTATTAAAGAACAGCTGTTAACACATTTTCCGTTGTTTTTTTTTACCATAAGTAATATTGTTATTGAAAAGCTTTTATTTTGAAGCAAACAAATCACCAAATGTTTGGTTTTATCAGCAGTAACTGAACCGACTGAGACAGCAGGTTTCATCTGTGCTCCGGTGCCAGTTCTCCTCCTTTCTTCGCCTGAGGAGAGGGACTCCCGTGTGAAGGGAAGATGACGCCAAACCTACGTTTGATAAATGGTCCAGATTGGGCCCACATGCTGACCACATCTGTCTCTAGCTCACAGCGAGCCTGGCCACCTCGCCATGTGGTCCGGATGCTGCGATCCAGGACCGATCCCTGAACACTCAATGCATCCTGGTTTAAACGGATGACTGAAATGCACTGAATAACTTCATAAATACAACATTTGCTTTGGAAAAGAAGACAAAATAACTCTCAATCTGTGAATTATTCAACGCCCCCCAAAAAAGGTGAGTAAAGCCCATCATCATTTTGTAATAACAGTCTATTGATCAACTACCAGATTATTGTATTATATTAGAAACATGCCCGGTCCGCTGCTCCGTCTACAGTGTCCATTTTCTTGTGAGCAGGGTGTCTGACAGACCCCCCCCCCCCATTAGTGGCCACATGCTCCCTCGTGCCATGTGGTCGGCAGTTTTTCCTGCTTACAACCCTGATTTCATCAGAGTCTGGCAGCTCTCAAATTCCCAGCAGATTTGGCTGCATTCAAAAAAAAAAACAACAGTCCGGTCATTAGGCCAAACCTTCTAACGCGGGCTAACGACTGGCCCTGCGTGATGAGTGGGGAGCTGCGGTGAGGGGGGGGGGGGGGGGGGGGGGAGCAGAGAAAGGGGGGCGGTTTGTGTGTGGATGCCAACTGCACCAACACGAGGAGACGCTTGGACGAACCATTAGAGGAGAAGCGCAGGTGTTACCTTTAAAAAAAGATCTCCGTGCGCCTCTGTTTGGGGCAGCCAGAGCTAGAATGCACCGTAACAGACCCCCTAAGACATGTCTCTCCATTTACTTGTCTTCTCGGGAGGGGGGGGAGGGGGGGGGGGCTTAATTGGTCTGCTGTGCACTTCCATCCCCTCTCCACCTTTAAAGTTTCATGGTCAGAATCCTGAAAACCCTCCAGCACAAAACTTTGTGGTCAGAGTCAAGAGTCAAACTTGCGTCAATAAAGAACATTCTTTATATCAGACAGTAAATAAAACACACACACACACCTTTATTTCTAAATGACATAAATAGATTGTTAAAAATGATCTACTATCATATCTTACAGAGCAGAATAAGAAGGTACAAGTGACCACTGGATGGGCCCGAGCACATTCACAGATGCAGAGTACGGATAAACAGACACACCTGCACACACACACACACACACACTCACACACACACACGCACACGGCTCATCATCGAGCCCTTATCTCCCCTCCCGTGCTCTCTAATCATTACTGTCCTAACTCAGCAAGCTGGGCGGATGCTGATAACAGAAACGCACACACACACATGCGTACAAGCATGTACTGCTGCTTTACTCGTGCTTTAATTCATTCGCTGAAGGAACACACACACACACACACACACACACACACAGAGCACATGATCAAGCTGAGTGTAGTCTATAGCGTATGAGCGTAACAGAACAGTGGGAGTGCTCAGTGTTTGAGCATCGTGAGGGGAAAGACAGAACTACGCAGAGGTCGGCAGTGAAAGCCTCCTTTCTGTGTGTCTTTCCCCTTATAGACATTTGTTCATCCCACTCATTGTCCCCCCCCCCCCCCCCTCCGCTTTTCAGCTCGTCTCGTCTCAGATGTGTGCGATGCATCTCTCTGTCATCGTTCTTTCCCTTCAAAACACGTCTCATTTTTACTTCTCTCCATCTCTCTACTGGAATTCGGGTTCCCTTTGTCGGTGGTTCTTTGTCAAAACCTAATTACAACGCCCCCGGCGCCGAGCAGCACCATTGGTCGCTTTGGGTTCTGGCATCTCATTCCCTTAGCAGGTGCTATATGACATACTGTACTCGAGGCCTTGCCTGGAAGGCAGCAAAGACAACTGAAATGGTTTGAAAATTAGCCAACATCAACAACATCTCATTAGCCAACATCGTTATCTTTATATAATCTGTTTACACTATGAAACCTTGTACCGTGCGCTCGATATTTCAGTCACCGTGCAGCTTTCCTGTAATGGAAATCAAGAAGTGCATTGCAGTGTGTGCCTGTACATGACAGGTTTGGTCCAAAATGTCAACACCTTACCCACTTTACTCCATTAAGACATTTCTTTGCATATCAATGAGAGATACATTCATGAATCAAAGATCCAGCGACCTTTACGGGAATTTTAAAACGTAATAAATGAATATTCAAGGTATAAATGTGTGTATCTCCCAAAGACGCCATCGAGGTGGGACCTTTCAGGTCCAGTATGCAAAGGGTTGACACCCGTTAAGACCTCTGCTTCCCAGAGGGTCTCTGATTGACTTGCATTGGGAGACTGTGGCACGAGGGGTCATAACTGCCGGCAGTAATAACCTTCGAGTACTGGCTGGAGCTCTGGAGGTTTTTTGTCTTCTCCCGCTGTGGCCCCCTTTTTCAGGACTGAAAAGCAATTTTCAGTCCACGCGGCCCGTGTACTTTCAAGAGCCCGTAGAGGCGTGCTGGTAAAAACGGCTCAAACTGTTTTCCGATGAGGCAGGTGCTGCAATTTTACAACGCCGAACTATTTCAAATTAGGTTTTCCGAATCGCCGCTTTCAGGCCCCCCTTTTGCAAAACGTCTGCTCACCGGGCCGGAGTTAAAATCCAAATTGGTGATTTGATTACAGATTCCAGGACATAATTGTAACTTCTCCACTTTTACTACATTTATTATTTCTGCTCAGCAGGGTTTGAATAATCAAAACAGATTTTCTGTACCTTCTCTAAACCAACATTGCTCCCTTTTAACTCTCTGCCCGGTTTCTCACCATTTTGCTTTTCAGTCTTGTTGCAATTGTCAGCTGACAGCTGAACGGGTTAGCATCTCTCAAACAACCTGACTGCAGCCCTGTTGATGTACTAATACATAATATATATGCGAAATAGAGCAGGGAGGGGAAAGAACGGCCAGTATACACAAGGGCTTTTTGAGGGAAAAGGAGGGACTCGAGATGTACGGTGCCAAATGGAGATGACACACGAGCATAGAAAGAAAGAGGGAGGAAACAGATGATACGGCGAATGGGGAGAGACAATATGTTGAGTGCTTGAGTTTGTTGTGCAAAATACGCTGTGAGGAGAGAGAGCGCATCTTGTGGAATTACATGTCTGAGAGAGTCTGTCAACTGACAGCGTCTCGTTCTCTTAAATAACATCCGAAACTAGACGCCCAAGTCCGACGGAAAAATTGGCACTCAGCATTCCTGCTGAAGTCGTCATATTGAACCTTGAGGATGACACTTTAATCCAACTGTTCCTGCGATAGTTAATGAGTGTGAGAAAAGATGCTGATGCCGACGTCCCGCAGTGCTGTGGGGCGGAAGCAGGTGCGGGGGGGACTTTGATGAAAGAAAATGATCATTTTAGTAATGATAGAAACATTTGTGGGAGCGTTTTTTTTTTATTTTCAGGCCTCGAGCTTCAACAGCAACAACTGTTTTAAAAGAAATGTGTTTGATTCTAGAGGGTTTAACAACTCGGCTGTAGTCCAGCTGTGTGCCAGTTTTCTACTTTTGTAGACGTTTTACAGAAACATTGGTTTATAGTTTGAGTGTGACCGTAATTTTGTGTGAGAGAGGTCTTGATTCCTGCTAGTTATCAATAAGAAGTCTATTCCCGGAACCGCCCGAGCGTTCATCCTGCAGCCATTTCTTATCAGAAGCATGACAGCACAAAGCAACAGCATTGTTCAAAAAGATACTGGTCCTTTTTGCTCAGATGCTGCCTGCTGTAGTCTTTTGGCCGTCCTCTTTACGTTCCTCTCGAATAGATCGTTATGTCAGAAACTGCCGAGAGGCTGAGCAGGAGGAAGAATATCTCTTTTTAAAACGAAAAAAACTATTTTACTGACTGAGGGTCAGTCAGTTATGTATCCTAAAGATGCTACTTCTTTTTCAATGAGTTTGATTTCCAAGGAGTTGTTACCATCACTTTTTTTCTGATATGCAGCACGCGCAGCGTTTTATGCTTCCATGGGCTGGAATCATCCTTTCCATCGATCACTGCTGACATCGGGCGGATGGAACATGCCGTCCACAAACCCAGCGCTTCTCCATCGCAGTCTCAGTACCTGCTTGTCTCCTTCGTTCGTCTCAAGCACCTTCAACCTGCCGCTTTAAAGAAGTGTCTGCCGTACCGCCTGTCTGTCAGCCACCTGTTGGCTCTCCTTTCCCTCGCCTCGCCCTTCTACTGTGGCTTCTCTCTCGTGTCGCCTCTCCCCTCTTTTTACTTTCGCTCCGCGTGCCAGAACTGCTTTTATCTGCCATCCTCCAGCTCCTCAGTCTCTCTCTGTGTGTGTCATCCGTTGGATGGATTGGATGCCACAGTCGCCGGGAGCACTCACTCCATGTGCGCGTTCCTGTTTGTACGAACCAACAAAGCGCGGTAACCTTCGACTGTATCGGCTGGACGGACGCCGGATTTATGGGGACGCGCGTCGGATGAGCTTGTTTGGACGTCGGTCTCGCGTCAAAAGTGCGCATGGGCCTCTTGCACTTTAGGTGGGTGTGATTTAGCGGTTCACATCAGTTCACATCACAAATGCACGGGAAGGAAAAACATATGCAAATGCAGCAAAGATCACTACATTTATAAAGCAATTCCACACCTTTTTCTCTTCTTCACATTTGCTTAATCCAGTGCTAAAATCTCTATACATTCAAATGATTAGATCGATGAAGAGGTTTATTTACCAGCCGTGCGCGTCGGTCAGATAAGTGTTGTCAAGGAGACGCAACAACAATCGTTGCTGTTCTTATGAAAGGTCAATCCAGACTAATATCCTCCTGCGCTCATGTCAAATCAGAGAATTGGGCTTTTGTCTTGTCAAAGGGAAAATTGACAGTTGTGGCTTCCAGCTGGCTGGTGGCGATACGATCTGTGACCTCGCGCCTGTGATTCCTGAACAGAGCCGCATCGGCGCCGAGAAGCCGATGCCGACTTTATCTAAATCTCCAGCCACGCTAAGAGGGTTTTATCTCCATCGCTGTAATGACGCAAGACAAAGCAACACATTGGCATTTTTGATCACACAATTTCTTGATGAGAAACAAAGCTTTGATGTTCATAACCGCTTTGGCTCTTAACCCCCCCCCTCTCTCTCTAATTAGATTAATTAACAAACTAACAGGCCATGGGGCATTTTGTTAGTGTGGGACCGGCATTAACACGCACGCTCACGTGCACACACACAGGCTGGAGAAGTAGTGGGAGGACTCCGGATAATCTTTGAGGAAGGCAATATTTTCTTTCAGTTCACTTGACGTCATGCTGATAATTGCCACTGGGTGCTGATAGCTATTTGTGCGCGTGTGACACCGACTGCATACTGATGTTGCAGGTGCAAGATGGTCAGAGAGAGAGAGAGAGAGAGAGAGAGAGAGAGAGAGAGAGACAGAGGGGGAGGGAATTTCTGCTGTGCAAACATTCAACGAACCTCATGGGCTCGTTAACTTTTTATAGTTGAGAAACCCGCAGAGCGAGCAAACAAAAGTCCACCTTTAAGTGCTTTTATGTTCGTAGCTCATCTCAACATACACACAAAGCAACAAAACTTTAAAATATAAATAAAAGTAAATAATAGTATATACATATATATGGCACAGTTTGGAAGATCCAAGTTCATGACACTGACGATTATAACAAGGCAAGCCGACAAAGTGCGTTGGTCGGCGGGAGCTTCCATCAACAAACGCTATCAAATGTCCAAGTTGTTTTGCGGTTGAATCGTTGGCACGCTCTGATTTTATTGTGTATGTATTGTCCTTCGGTTAACCTACAGTAAACTCAGCATATGTTTTTTTTTTTATCTTGCACGGCCTTCATGAATAAAGCCACAGACCGAGTGTGTAAGCATATCAAGATAAGGATTCATAAAGAAAGTTGTGTAGTATAATCTTTTAACAGTGTTTCCGTTAGTCTTTTTCATTAAAATAACTAATACAGGCTTGCTCATGGGTAGAGGCACATCTGTTGAAACCATAAAAAATCATTAAGCAGCATTAGTACAATTAGCTTTGATTAAATAAAGCTGGGATAATTGATTCAGAGCTGGTACGTACATTGTACTGTGACTGACTACAACGTGGAATTAGAAGAAGGAAATGTGCAGCCTCCCTTCGCGCTGCTCCAACAATCTACCGCCAGAAAATCTGATGCCAAGTGAAGATATACGAAGTTTCACTTCAACAAATACACTAAAATACAAACAAAATACACAGATTCAAACATGCAGACGGAAAGGCAAGTCTAAGCTTGAAGCTATCTTAGATATTCATAAATTCAGTATTATATGGCTGACATCTCTCTCTTGCCTCTAGCCGTTTCCCTCAAAATAGAAAAGCGTTTCACTGTGTTCTGTGGGAAGACAAACGATGACACCATGTACTTTTGTTAGTAATGGTGGGAAAATACTGTCTTGAAAATGTTATTGTATTACTAATAACTGGTAATAACTTTAAAACAAGCAAATGATCCAAAGACTGAGGCTGGATTGGATGCACGGCGCCTGGCGTGTTGGCTCTACGAAAGTCATATTGCATCACTACAGATGACTAAACACGTGCGTGTGAAACTGCGACATGCTTTCACTTGTGATAAAGGAACACGAGAGAAACAGGAAGGACTTGAAAATAAAAAACCAAACAAAAGAATGACACACAACAAATGCGAACCAGCACACGAGCCGTCTGAAAAAAGGTCGTTTTGTTTTGAGTGGAAAACGAGGTCCAACTATTGTCAGCAATTCTGACAAATATGGGAAAAGAAATACGACGTTTCGACCTCTGCTGCAATTTACATCTCAGCGGGATGACTCGTGTATTGTGCCTGACGGACAACTTAACAAGCAGGAAGGAGACCAATTATTTTCCCCTGTCATCGTTTGGTACAAATAGATGTATGAGGAGGCTGATAAGTAAACAGGGCGGCAGGAGCTGCGGGCTTTTAACAGTACATTAGGTGCAAGTGCAAAGTGGGGAAAAGGATGGCAGAAGGAGTAAATAAAAAACGTGTGTATGTATTTAATGAAAGAAGAAATGATACACAGCCCACTTTGAGAAACAGAGATAATAGCTGTAGATTACAGGCCAATTTCGCGTCTGTCTAAACAGCCAATTTCAGAGAGAAAACCTGAGGTGAACCGCCGACCTCATACAAGCAGCAGCAAGTGGAAAAGTTAAAATGATGATGTGAGAGCGTGTATCTGTCTTAATTTACTGTTTCACAGACATTAATCCAGCTGTAGAATAAGGAAATCTTATTTTGTTCGTGATTATTAGGGACTGTTTCTTCATGGCAATTTGTATATATGTATTCTAGTTTTTTAAATAGCTCTTCATCCATTCCATTAACATGGGCACAGTTGGCCATTTTTGGAAAAACAAACACATTAAAGCACGCAAAAGGAACTGAAAGGCCGGCCCAAAAAACACCGACTGGTGGACTCAACGTCTCTTTAAACTTGTTCTATATTCAGTCTCTGCTTCTTTCAGTGCTTTCCCTGCGGACGGGGAAAGGCATGCTGCTGTCCCTGGGACTTGACGCTACTCTGCATCATTTTTGGGGACTTTGAGTTCCGAGAATTATGAGAACGAAACTTGAAAATTTTTTTTGGAATCTCCACACACCAAAGCGCACACTTTGAGTTGTGCTGCAGACTGAATCGGGCGGGTAGAGACCAAGCTGTTCAGACTTCGCACCTTCTGTTCCTGCCGGCAGTCCCCGCAGCGTTGCTTTTGTTCGTTGAGGAAAGGTCGATCATGGCAGATTATTTTCATTGAAAGTTAAACATTCTGCTCCATATTTAAGCGCACCTGTGCTAATGCCATTCTTTAAAGAAGAAAAACAAATCCTCTGAATTAATCATAGTAGCAACTGGAAACCAGTTTGTCAGACAGTATTTTATGTTTTCATTTTCTTGTGTTTGAGTGAGATGAAGGACGACGCTTCGGACGCTGACGGAGCGTGTGATATCAGCCTGAACTACATTTGTGTTTTATCGGTAATTTGCAAAAAGTCATCGCTTCATTATTATCGTTATCAGACATTTGTGTGAAAACCTCATAACAACGGTGGCGGTTCGGCAAAAAAAAAAAAAAAAAAATTGACCTTTGACAACCTGATTGGAATGGCTTACTGAGATAGATGGAGAGAACGCTGCACAACTCGAAAACATAATGCCTCCAGCCGTGCCTGCCGCCGGTACGTAGACATAAAACACACTGCGTGTGTGTGTGTGTGTGTGTGCGTGTGTGTGTGTGTGCATTCACGCGTGGGTACCTGTATTCTTCCTGAGTGAACACGGGGATGACAGAGGGCTGAAGGACCGTGATCTCTACCAGAGTAGTGTTTTCCTTTACTGGCTCGCCATCATCGTAGGCCACCACCACCAGCTGTCAATCAAATGAGGGTTAAGACGGAGTCAGTAGATTTCCACGTGCTTGCTTTGCAGGACGAGAGATATCTGTTCACATCGGCTGTGCAGACAGCGGAGACAGCCAAACAAATGGATCAGCTAATGCGTGCCAGGCCGGGAATAAATCAAAATGAATGTCTTCGTTTTTGTTGCCCGCATTCTAAAGGCACATTATTTCCACGGGATGATTGTGCGTCCCTGCAGGGGTGCTCATATTTCCATATTATCCTTTCTTCTCCGTTTAATTGGAGGGGTAACTACTGTCAACCGGGCCCCAAAGGCGTCCCAATGAAGGCCGAATTAAAAAAATCAAGAAATCAAAATGTTGATCTCTCCACTGCCTTGTTTAGCCTGGAAATTGCTACTGATAATGCCATGCCCTTCATTATACAACTCACACTCCCATTCACGAATGTATAACTGCTGAAACCTTGTAGGAACATGTGGTAGTGAAAGGCTTTGCTCATTGGTGCAATGATTTTCTCTCTCAACTGCACTGATGGCGAAAATTACAAACTTGTTTCTAGACGTGCACACTTGCTTATGCATGCAAAGCTATTCCCTATGCATTTTATGAAAGTGCTCCTTGGTGGCATTATAGTATGATACAAGGAAAATCATCATTTTCTTTTGCAAAAATGATACCAGTTTATCTCAGTGATGATCCAAAAAATTGGACTGATACATTTAGTTTGAGCTAAACGAGGTAGAATCAGGCCCCTGAGTGACAATCCTTGTTGTGTTAATTAAAGCGCAGTGAAAAGATGAAATTAGAATGGTCCAAAACCCTATTGAGGACTGCAGATGGGAAAAGGCAATTTGAAACTGATAAGCCGCAGCGTTATATTTTGTACGGAGGATAAGGATTTATAAGAGTGCTCTGAACAAAGACACCGTTATGCTTTACAGATTATAAAAGGAAGTAGAATCTGCAGTAACAAAATGATCAAATTCATTTCCAAAGACGTAATTAATGTGTTGCAATCCCAAACCTCCACCAAACTAATCCCCAAAATAAAGCACAGCAGCGAAGGATGAAATAAATCTGCAGCAACCGTTGCTGCTTGTTCACTCCATAGCAGATGTGCTGGTTTTATATTTCAAATACTTTAAGTAAAAAAAGGACATTATTTAAAGTTATTGTGTATTTATATATATATATATATGGCATATTGATTGAAATGTGCACGGGCACACTCACGCTGAACTTGAGGTTGGGCTCTTCGTTGAGGTTAACTCTGGTTACAACGTTTCCCGTCTTTTCCTCCACGTCGAATATACTGGCCGAGTAGGAAAAGGCCTCCTGGTTGACTTTGTAGCGCACCAGACCTGCTGGGGTTCCCTGTGAGGAGAACAAGTACACTCAGATGAATGTCTTCCTGGAACACACACACACACACACACACACACACACACACACACACACACACACGCTTAGGACTTTTCACAATATATTCCAATAAAACCGTAGCGGAGTAATGACTGTTTAATGACTATTACAATATTTAATATCCAAAGCAAATTATTTCGAGCCTAAATGTCAAGACAGTGTGTCTCTGGCTGAGAAGAAATTCCAGTTCCAATACTGACACCTTGACTGATGTGTAATATATATACGTGTGTGTTATGGCGCTACATTATTTGAGCATTGGGAGCCTTTATACAACAAGGCCTTGAAATTGACCCAAGAGAGTCCGTCTTTATGCTCAGGCTTGAGGTCTGGATCAATCAAGCTGATGTAGTGAGACAGCAGGCGCGTTAGTCAAGGCGAGGAGGGACTTTTAAAGAGGATATGGGGAAACGTCGCCAGAGTGGAACATTTCATATGGAGAATAATTGATTTCTTCTTGAGAACTGCTCGGTAAATATCAAACTTCTGTTTTTCCGGTCTTCTTTAATATAAATATTCTTTTCGTGATTTACCAAATGCAAATCTACCAGTTGGTTGTTTCCTGTTCACGATAAAGATGAGAGCGATTTTTCTTCCACACCCGTCGCATTTCTGCGGCCAAACAAAAGTCAGTTTGACTCCGCAGAGCAGATTAAACCAGCCTATATTACAAAGATGTCTATTGTTAAAACCCCGATGGGGTTATAACTAAGTGCCACAAGAAAGAAAAAACTGTGAAAACACATGGAGAACACTCAGACAAGCATCGCTATCTTCCATTATTCCCCAACACAATTTTAGGAGCAAACCGAAAACGAGTTTGAATAGCAGCAGCTGGAAATGCTCACCGCGGGGTCAGAGTCATTGGCCGTCACCGTGGTTACGATGGTTCCCTTGAAAGCATTGGGGGCAACCAGGCCTCGGTACACTGACTGGCTGAATGCCGGAGAAAAGTCATTCATGTCCTGCAGCGAAACAAACACACGCACGCGCACACAGTGCGGCATTGCCGTTGTAATCATACGTAACATGGAGCTGTTTGGGGTTTTCTATGAAAGGACGAACATTTGTAAATACTAAAGTTGTTCCAAATAACTGGTGAATGATGGTGTTTTGCTCTCACTGACTTTCGCAAATGTATCTTCCTTCTCATTTCCACTTTCTCCCTACAGTCCCCAAAATGACTAAACCGGGCTCCCTCTTCATTGGCTGCGGAACATCTGTTCTCCCCAAACAGCTGCTCACAGCATCCACACCCAATCTCAGTAAAATAACCTTTAAGCCCACAACCAAATGCTAATATTTCTGTAATGAATGCAATAGGAGTTGTTTTTATTTTGGTTTTCGCCATCCAAAAGTCTTCCCAACACAATCAATTTAAGCTTTTTTTGAATGCCGTTTTTGAAATAATCAATTCAACTATTACACGTTTCCTTGGGATTTTCTGTCCCATAAAGAGAATGCGGGAAACACTGGCGGCGCCTCTCACCGTGATGGTGACGGTAACAGAGGCGAGTCCGGGGGGCATGCTTCCCCCCGCGTCCGCCGCCTCCACCGTGAAGGTGTACGCGCGCTCGGATTCACCCAGAGCCTCGTAGTCCAGCACTCTGAGGACCGACAGCGCTCCCGTCGCCGGGTCCACGCGAAACAGGCCGACGATCCCCTGGTCCGAGCCCCGCGTCCGGATTTGATATGTGAGGTTGGCGCCGAGGTCGGCGTCTGTCGCCTGCGGAGGGGGAGACGGGGGTCAAGGAGTGGAACGGAAAGCAATACGATCGGCGTGTGGAGTTGTGGCCGGGTGAACTGGTTTCATACTTGCCAGAAGGAACGTCTGCAACGCTGATTCCAGTCCTCCTCCTTTTTTTGATTTTAATAGCTAAAGATGGCTTATTTTCTTTTTCAGCTGTTTTGACCATTAAAACAATTCACTTTTTACTCCGACTCCACCCGCTGACTCACCTTTAGCTGCAATATGACCGTGTCTTCGGGGCTGTTCTCCGGCAGGCTGACGTTGTACGTTTGCTGGGTGAACACCGGGCTGTTATCGTCTACGTCCAGGACGCCGACGGACAGCGTCAACCTGGACCGCCGGGGGTCCACAGCGCCGTCCCAGGCCTCGACGATCAGATGGTAGTGACCTTTCACCTTGAAGGTGGAGGACGAGGATCACAGTCAAGCATCGACGCCGCGGGAAAACTGAAAAAAAAACGCAAACGCGTTGACCCCCTGACCTCTCTGTCCAGCGGCGCCGTGGTCGCGATCGCGCCCGTGGCGTTGATGCTGAACAGCGCCGGGTGGTTGACGAGCCGGTAATGCACCTGACCGCTGGCCCCGAGATCCGGGTCCGTCGCCTGGATACAGACAACGGAGAAAGATTTCCAGAAAAGCAATTAGAACGGAGCTAAAACTCATCAGTCTGTCATTGGAGCAAATCGTTCTCTGATTAAAAGTGAACTCCCTCTCAAGTCACCCTAAAAGAGTGTGAACGAAGCGTGCGCACGTACACAACAGGCCAACACTTTCAATCTCGGTAACGTTTACTGAGCTTTTCTTTCCGGGAAGAAGATAAATACATTTGCAAGAAAGTGAGTGAATGTGTTTGTCCTCGTGAGAGCGACACAAATGACTCACAAGAGACTCGTCAAACTCATTTCCAGCCCCGCAGTTTCGCTCGGGGCGCTTTGATCACATTTGGATGCGTCCACGTTTCATTTGAATCAGCTCTGACCTTTTCGACCTTGTACTTCTACGCAGTGCTCCTTTTTTAAATGTCTGCAGCGGGAGGTCGTAGTTCAATGCAAACACGGAAAAAAAAGATATGGACTCGCTGCGTCGCCGTCGCTCTCGTCTTTTCCAGTTTCACACTAAAATCCAAACCACCTTTAACATTAACATTACCCGCCGTCAGCATTTCACACTTAAAATGATTCTGTGGTTTAAATTTTCACTTGGTAAAAAAAGAAGTACTTATTTCCTTTGTTACGATTGATTCATGAAGCGAACAGCAGGACTGTGTGATTATCGTGTTGTCAGGCTGAGCGTGAGCAGTGAACACAATAAGTCATCAGGTTTTGCACTTTGTCGCCATGAATCATGTCACGGCCATGACGAGGATGTGACGTCAATGATGCTCAAAATATTTGACCGTGATCAAGCGTATAACTTGGCGGTGTCGGTTTAACATGCTTCTCTAGAGCTCATAACTCAATTGGTGATTATATTCCATTGGATCACTTCCTGCTGACCCATTTTTCCCTGTTTCCCCAATTTCGGATCATTAAACTTTCATCTTGTCTCACGCCGGAACTATTAGGATGCATAGAAAATAGGTTTCGTCTTGGCACTGTAACTGCAGATCGCCACAGAGGGGAATGAAGGCGTTTTTTTTTTGTGATTTGTGTTCTGTGGCTCATTGATTTCTGGTTGTAAAGCTGTACTATTAATTTAATGGAGCGTCGCGCTTCTGGGTGATTATCTTGGGCCGTTTGGAGAAGGAGGAGGCGAAGATTAAAACATATACACCGGAAGAGCGAAAGAGGGAATAAAAGGAAAGATACAAACAGTTTGTGAAGGTACAACCATGGGAGTTTAGTAAATATAGCATCTCATGGAAATGGAGATGTGTTGGCGTGTTTCCTTTCACATGTTTCCACACGGATTTGATTTGATTTTCTGAAACGTTTGATGTTTCACATTTGACGGGTAAACATCATTACACAGAAAACCTTAAATCAATTATTCATCTTGAAGTCAAACATATTTAAGTCTGCAGTTCCCGGAGACTTTTTCCTCCGTCCTTCCCCTTTCCCATCTTATCACATTTCTCTCATCATAACTACACTGCCACGTACTAAAAAGCCAGATTCACCATAGAGTCAACGACTCGGCTGCCTTAAATCTGCTGCACAGACAAAGAAAATTGTATGCAAAGATTCATCAATAGAGGTACAGTACCTGCAACTGAAACTAATTGACTCACTTAATATGTGACTTACTTACTATCAGTGTTGGAGCACGTTTCTTTGCTGCACCAAGACACCATCCAGTCAGATATCATCAGCGTGCGACTCTTTCTCAAACCAATATATACTGTAAACGCTGATTTGTAAAGAAAAGAAAAAAAAACACTTGCATTCCATATGCATTTGGTTTTCTTGGGTTAATTGTGTTTTGCTTAGTTTTATAGTCTGAGGATGAACTCAGACTATAAAACTATTGGCTCAAATCAAACCGATGGCGATACCACAACCAGATCCCGCGGCTATGTGGCTTATTCCTCCGCGGTTTCACCGTCGTTTTTTTTCTTTCTCCTTAACAGTCTTCTAACCATTTAAATCCCCTTAGAGAAAAAGAACAACATTTGCGACTAGTCTAAACGCCGAGCCGTTAATGGGAGGTTTTGAGTGCAGACAGCCGTGCTGTTGTGACAGGCGAGGGACCGACAGGCCGCATGTTTTTTTTAAATGCAGCTAAAAACCGAGGCAGACGATTTTCCCTGATTCATTCCCCTCTCCGAAGCTGCAAAGCGCACAAATCACTGAATTAATCTGCCGTACTGCAGCACTGTTGGAAAAAGCTCGAATCTCATTAAATGGCTGCCGTTGAGGGACTAAACAAAATGCTTGAGATTAAATATTTGATCTTTGAAGCTAAATGGCGTGCGCGTCACTACGGTTGGTGTGACGCTGCCCCCCTCCACTGATTCTCAAGGTCACATTGGCAACGATAAATAAAACAATTGCAGTTGAATCCCTTCTGGAGTCTTCTTTCTTCCACTGCATCGTTCAGATGAAGGGTTTCCTTTCCTTATTATCTTTGACCTCTAAATCTCTGATGGCCAAATGACCTCACTCTAAATGTATCCAGCCTTGCGCATATTTCACCTCTTTAAAATAAATAAGAGTCTCCCACTCATGCAAGTCGGATTGAGAATGCGTCTCTCTCTCTCTCTCTCTCTCTCTGTCTCTCCCATTTCTCTCGGCCACCCATGCATGTCTCTCCCTCTTCCTCCGCTCTTTCCATCTTTCTCCCACACAGCAGCATCAGAACACCCGGGTCGAGTCCATTCACTCCTCCGGGAGGACTCCTGCAGAGGCCGCTGGGGGAATCACGCCGTCTGTTTTGTTTTTGGAAAATATCCAAGGGTCCTTGAAAGATGGGAAGTTCAGGATTGGATCACCTTCGAGTGCCCTCTCTTGAGATCAGAGCGAGCTTTTGGATTTTGCATTTGGAACGTGTCCGAAAGTCTGTGGAAAACTTTGGTAATGCTCGGAACGAACAGGTCCTCTTTAAAGATACGGTTGGGGTGACGTGTTGGGAATAGCACCCCGCTGTCCAGACGGGAATTTAGCTTTTTACCCTGGAACCGTAGACACGGGGCGTCCGAGGGCCACATGTTCATCTCCGTACTCGTCCTGGTGTTTAAACCAAAAGAAGCCTGATTAACATTTAAAAGCCTGGCAAAGTGTCAGACTGATCGAAATAAACCGCCCTCCCCCCGACCCTGGTGTATAAAGGCTACGATAGAAGCCTGGAGCAAATCCAAGCAACCGAGTGAGCGTCTCCAAAGATCAGAGCCTATCAAAGTGTCGGATTTACCCCGTGACCCCCCCCCTCCCGGTCTGGGCGACACATGAGTCCGTTATCAGGTCTGGAACACGTCCAGGAGTCTTTGCGGTGGTTGGAGGAGAGGCCGGTGCTGATGCATCCCACACACTTCCCACTGCTCACTGGTCCACATTGGTTCATATTCACCACACAGACAATAGGATGGGATAGTGTGAGTTAAGGCAACAGCAGAATTCACCAAAACCTAAAGGACACGGCCACAAAGAAAAAAGGCCGAAAATCCTGATCTCGAAATGACTTCACGTCATCAATAAAAGTCTCCAGCTGCACAGTTGAAAGCACTTACGCTAAAACGGCTGCTTACACTTCAGTAAATAAGTAGTATAGAATTCTTCAAGCCTTCAATCTAAGCCTTAACTTTAATGCCGTGAAAATCCTTTTATCACCTCCCGTATTTCACCACAAACATTCAGCATTAATGTCATTTCGGGTGTTTTTTTGGGGGGAATTTGTTTTTCTCCCACTTTCCGTTTCACTGCTCTGTCAATTCTTCAGGCTGCTGATCTTCCCACCGAGCCGCATTAGGATGTCATCTTTACTGACTTCATCCGCCGGGCATTGGCTGATTTCGAACGATTATACTGTATAATATAAAGATGTTTTATTATATACACTATGAGTATTGTTATATAGGCCTATTTATGTTGACAGAATATTCACCAGGAAAATTAAAGACGTAATCAATAGGTCATTTGCGGTGAAATTTGATACAATCGTCTTGCATCCTGTCCACTAAGCTACACAGTTATGTGCCTGAACACTGGTCCCCGTTGTAAGAGATTGTAAGCACAGGCCTTAATTAGAGCCTGTGAGAATCTTGTTAAGATCTAGATAAGTTGTTATCAGAAATATTCATCCTCACCTGGACTCGTCCAACGTAGGCGTGGTCCCGCTCCTCCACGACGGTGAGGTTCACCGGCAGCGAAGGATCGAACAGCGGGTCGTTGTCGTTGACATCGGTCACCACGACGCTCACCGTCACAGTGGAGGTCTGCACACGGTAAAAGGGACTTGTTTAAAATCTGCATTTGTGAATATACGCTGGTGAATGTTTGGATTCATTAGAAAGGTAATTTCTGCCGTAAATATCAGCGCGTTTCACAAGGAAAGAGAGAAGCAGGTCAAAGGTCATCGATAATTTGGTTTGACTAGAGAGAGAGCAGGAGAGTGCGAGCGAGAAAGAAAGAGAGAGAGAGCAAAGATCTTTTTTTTGAAGATTGGAACTAGAAGGAAGTGGAAAATGGAGAAAAGCGAACGCATTTACAACAATGGGATGGAGAAAGACAATGTGTGTGTGTGTGTGTGTGTGTGTGAAGGAGAGGGACAATCACACAGTTGAGGTTGGCAGAGCGCACGGCGATGCAAGTAATTTGAGGTTAAGAGCTCACACTTGACAAAACAGTTTATCCGAATGCCAATACAAGTAAAACAGAACGGGCTCTGATAGAGTGAAAGGGAAGGCTGTGAGCAGACACACACACACACACACACACACACACACACACACACACACACACAGGGAAGATGAGACGGAGTAAGCCCCATTCTCCATCGGGGGCTTTAAGCAAATCATTTTTTCGATAACCTTACAGCTTAGAGTTTATTATCTATCTGATGTCGTGGGCAAATGCCAAAGTCTTACACACACCAAAATCTGGAGACACGATATTCTTAAAGGCTCAACGCGGGAAAAAGAGCCCTTTCAATCATCACTGATCACGTAGAAGTGTGCGGCGTAGGACGAAGCTACGGAAAGGGCATAGACGATCCCCCCCTAACAAATGGGAATAGAGCAAAGGAAAAGGAAAGGCAGACGGAATTTGGGGCATCCTCAATGAGCTCAGGAGGAGGAGGCGCTAACTTGAAAAAAAAAATGCGTACCGTTCCTTTAAGGTTTTACGACGCATTCTCTAACATGCAACATGCAAGCATCTTGTCAGATATCGTTCATGTTTATGTGACTTTTCATTGCACCATAGCAGTGTGTGAACGTTTTTGGTGGACCTGGACTGTCCTCTGGATTCGTCCCCACTTGCGCTGCCACTCACACAAACCCAGCGTCCCGTGTCAGGTATTGTAAAAACGTCCGCCTTATTCTCTCGGCGACTGAACAAACCATCAATACTGTAGCTTCTAATAGCAATTAACGGGAGTCACATGAGCTGATTGCCGCGTCCGGCGAAGCCCGGCGCCTTTGCAGTGGAGCTGTTGTTGCTGCACCAAGCTTGTAGGGCCCTCAATCTCTGGCACTATGATGGATCCACTGGCCAAATAGCCAATTAGGCACTTTGTAGTCTGACACTCTCGCGACGGGACATTTAATAATAGGGGACACAGACGTGTGCGCGCATACAAAGACAACCCAAGGCCGTTGAATGATGCTGATTAATGGGCCCGTATACGCGGGGGGGGGGACTAGACCCCAATCTTTTATTCTCGCTTTTCTTTTTCTTTTGTTGCCTAACTTCCCTTCTGTGTCTCTATGTTGCTCCCACCACTCCTCCCTCGCACACTTTCTCTTCCTTCTTCGAAATATGATTGAGTGTCAAGCAGAAAAATGTCCTTTTTAGTCTTTTTCTGACTCGCAGACCTTGGGGGCACAGAGATAATACACTAATTGTCAAGGTCCAGAGAGCAGTTGACTAAGTGTACGTGTTAAGACCCCCTTTATATAATTGCATATTAACAATTGTTAGGGGGGTAAGAGCCGGCCGAAGACCTCTCCCTATTCTCTGCACTCACACTCGTTCTCTCCTCCGTGTGTGAGTGTGTGTGTGTGTGTGTGTGTGTGTGTGTGTGGGAGAAGGTCGGAGTATTCAAGTCATCATTTTTCCGTCTCACAGGGACCTCAAACTTTGCCTTTTGCTTTACTTGACGCGTGGTGGGGGGGAGGGAAGGGGGGGGGGAGGTCTCGGCGACTAATGTTTCGATCTCGACTAACAGATGGATGACGAGAGAGAGAGAGAGAGAGAGAGAGAGAGAGAGAGAGAGAGAGAGAGAGAGAGGAGAAGCTAGAAAGGGATGACGTTTGGAAGCCAGAGTTAAGGAAAAAATGGATGGAGCAGGACTCCACCCGGCGCCTCCTTATCTCAGGTTTCCCCCCCCCCATGAGAGCAACTGAAGGTTCGACTTTAAAAAGAGGAAAGACGAGACGAACACAAACAGAGAGCGGTGGCGAGAACGACTTTAAGTAAGCGAGGAAGGGCACAAACAAAACACGACATTCTTAGACTACGAGGTCTCGTCCATTAAATCGGTTGAAGTCGGAAACACCAGATGGGACTCACTTGTAAAGATATTTCACTGTTGCTGTTTTTCATTTTGATTGGGATGGTTATTATGAGTACTGAATGAAAACCTATTAACTTATTTTCTGATGTCCCTCTTTTTACACGACGCCAAAGCCGATGTTCGGGTCCAGCCGTTAACACCTGTGCGGCAGAGCTCGATTTTCTTACCCCGTCTGGGTGTCCGTCGGAGGCCGTGACCACCAGTGAATAGTGATCCACGGACTCCCTGTCCAGGGGCTTGTCCAGCACCAAATACCCTGAACTGGAGGCAAAACACATAGGCATGAATCACAGAAAAACAGTGCAATAAAAGTGCAGCACACAAACAGCTGGGGGGTCCTAACTGTTATGAGAAGTTTCAGCTCATGATGAATAAATGGCCCACCGTGTTAATCAGTCTCACGCTGATACTTCCAGGCATTGTAAGCAGTTTGTATGCAAACTCTGGATCGAGGGGCAAATTTGGACACCCATTTATCTTCAAGGCAACACCACTTCGGAGAGAACACTTTTCAGAAGATTGCAAGCACTGATAACTGCTGCCTAAAAGCACCTTCTTTACCGATGACGCCTCATGCCTGTCACCTTGCCCATGCTGGTATTAAGGAATGCCCTCTCGGGTGCTGTTGCTGTACTGGCTTGGACACTAGCGTGTCATAAAAAATACTTTTTTAACTGAAATAGAATCTATATGCAAAATACTTAAGATACGCAAGATCAATACGGCTCATAAATAGAAACTTTATTTTATTCGATTGACCATTGGTAATAAAAAGGGTCTTACAATATACATGTATAGGTTTAATGGTAGATGGGAATTTCAATCAGATGGTTATAAAAATCAAGTAGAAAGATCAGCTTCTCGAATCATTTTCTTCAAACAAATACATGAATGTGAATTATTCATATAATCTCAAACTCAAATTATTGAGGACAATTCAATTCAATAGAAAATGTCATAACAGAAGATTTAAGGGCGGTGAATAATGCATCAGTCAAGAACCACTCTGCAAGTTAACTGAAGAAGTAGAATGACGGCTTGAGTGCAGCCGGAGACGTCTGACCGATCAAAAGCCAAAGCTTTGATCTCCACCTCATTGATGTACCATTTACTTGCTAAGTGAGGATTTGAATAATGTTTTAAGTGTTTTTAAGTCCCCCGTCTGCAATGCACATTTGTTCAAATATAATAACTTTGTGTGTGTGTGTGTGTGTGTGAGTGTACAGACACACTTTAAATGGTCTCCAGAGGGAAAGATCTGAAGCGCACTACAAAACTTTTTATGTATATTTATGGATGATTCATGAATAAATCAATGTCGGTGACACACACACACACACACACACACACACACACACACACACACACACACACACACACACACAGACACTTATTTTTCTCCTTCGCACCACATGTTTTGACACATTTTCCTCTTTTTGCTTACTGCTCTCCAACCAATCATCTGCTGCGACATGTGATGAGGCCCTAAAAATAAATCCCATTGTTCGAGATGAACCCAGGATAATTCAAACATATTCATGAACAAATGGTGATACACCCCCTAAAAGCTCATCACTGATCTTTGTAGTTCTGTATTAAGATAATCAGGAACCTCTGGCCATCCAACACCAGGCCTCTAGTGCACTGAACTGATTTCTCCATCCTGGGCCAATATGAGCTGACCGGCACGCTGAACAACTCATTTTAATCTTGTACCTAATATAGAAGACTCCTTTACTTGGTCCTTTTTCTTTTGTTCTTCGATCCTTTCTCCGGTATAACAAAAGCATTCTTAATGAGCAATAAATGAATAAATACAACATAATGTGATAATGTGAAGCCCTTCGTGCCCCGTGTGAAATAAGTTGGACTACTTTCAACCCGTTACACACGCAAACGTTACGTTGCCATGGTTACACCGTGTGCAAAAATCAGAGCGCAAATACACAAATGAAACTGTTAACGCCTTGTTTGCTAAATAAAGAAACTCCCCGGTCTTGATGAAACCTCTGAGTGTGTAATTGTACGCGTGAGCTTACTTCTGCTGCAGAGCAAAATGTCCGAAGGCGTCTCCTCTGAGGATTTTGTATGTGATGTGATCACTCTCCCGATCCACCGCCTGGTAATCAATGACAGAAACGTACGTTTACACACATCTCCATGAGAAAGGCCCAGCCCTGTATAATGCGTATGGTTGAGCGTGTAGGCAGTTAAGTTTTCATTTAATGAAAAACACGAATATATCTATCAACGTAGTGAATAAGCTGTAACCTTTGCACACCGTGTTTGAATTGTACACTGTTTGGAAACTCTTTGGCTCCCGAGCTTTTAAAGTAATGAAAAAAATAGTTCAAAGTGTTGAAGCGGAGGATGCACAGTTGAAAAAAAGCTCAAACAAATAGCTAACGCGCTGAAATAGGGTCCAACACATAATGACTACACGTTTGAGCCATTCAGCCGCCGCTTGAATGCCTTCAAACATCAGAGGTTCAATTGTGTGGAGCGACAATTTCATATCAATAATAGTGGAACAACATACAGCTCAAAAAACAATTTGGACGTTTGTGGTGTGGGTGGGGGGAGAAGTAGATAATTGACTTCATCTGTAAGGAGAGGTGGAGGTGAAAACCAGTGGTGCATAGTGTGTGTGTGTGTGTGTGTGTGTGTGTACCTGCAGATTGAGCAGCGTCGCTCCGGTCCTCATGGCTTCGCTGATCTCCAGATCGTATTGCTGTCGGGGGAAACGTGGGGGGCTCTGGTTGTTTGGGGGCAAAACTTCGATATAGACCGTGGTGATGGAGGATCTGACGAGAGGGAGGACGAGAAGAAGAGAATGGGCTGAAGCCAAGTGGAGAGATTACAGACAGATGACGGCCTGAAAGGGAGAAGCAGATAACAGAGGAGAGAGGGTGGAAGAGAAGAGCTGGAGGGCAGCACAAGAGGATCGTGGGTAAAGGCAGCGGTGTCAGGGCCGGCGAGCGGTCCGGGAAAGCGGTCGGACAGCTTTTGTTTCTTTGCACTCGATAAGAGTCAACAGCATATTGTGTCAATAACTCATTCACGTAGAGGCGGATCCACCTTTCTATCCCTTCGGATTAATACATTAAACCACGTCTGAATAGAGTGGCGTGTTGTATTACTCCTTCATAGCCTTCGACTTGGTTAAGAAACAGCCTCAAATTAGTACCAAAGCCTCTAAATGACATTGAGCGTCAGAAAGAGGACCTTCGATTCGGATATATGTCGATATTATAAGAGCTGTGCTTTTACTGCTCACCGCCCCGGAAGGTGTGCTTGTGGCCGCCGTGCCATCGAACACATAAACCTTTGCGTTCACGTTAGAATGTTACATCATCGAGGGGGGTTTGCGCGCACGTCTAGAACTGGATGTGCGAGTACGGTTAAAGATCAAGGAAATGTAAAACCAACGCCGTGTTTAAAAATGGATTCGAAAATTCTTTGGCATCAGAGGGAATATCAATGTTAATGTTGCACTGGGATGTTAAAGAGGTTTTGCAGATTCATTGGAAAGAGTTTATCGTTCACAAAGCAATGAAAGCAGGCGAACATGGAACCAGAGTACTTTCTGGGATCGTTTCACTCTGCGAAATGAAAGCGTTTACTTCGCCTGTGACGAATGTCTGTTCCTAATGAACATAACACGAATCTCAAAAACACATTGAGAGCTTAATGACCTCCGTTGACACAGCAGCTTATTTCCTTGTGTCAATTTTCGATTAGCTCGCTCAAAGTTGTCATGTCAGACGTTTTTTTCCTCTAATGGAGATAACAAGACACTGGCTGCAAATGAAAGGAGACTGAACCGGCATCTGGACACTAGCCGGACATCTGCGCCACCAATTATCAGATAATTCAAATCCTGGACGACAGCTTCCCAAAGGAACAACATTCAATAATTACTATAAAATAAAATTGGCATGACTTAATGTATCTTTGTAATATATACACAGCACTAAATTTGCATCAACTAATTAACTAATTCATTAATTAATAAACAACACCCAGCGCAGGTCAACACATGGAGTTTATCAAAAGAAAACAGGTCTTATGTGGTGTCAATGAACATCATCTGGATACAAATATTCTGTTAGTACCAGATGGCACCATTCTAGCCGCTTACTGCTTCTTAGTAATACATCTTAATTAGCTGGTCAGCAAAAGACCAATTATTCCAATTTCCCAGTTTCGACCGCACGTTGACACCCTGGATTTGGTTTGCTTTCACTCACCCTGATGTTCAGGGGAAGAAACCCGCTGGTTTCAGTTTGTCTCCCTGCTTGGCGAGAGAGCTCGTTTCAGCAGGGAGAGATTAACTCCACTGAAACTGGATCATCGACGGAAAAAGCCAAAGAAGCTCGGCTCCAAACAATAGCCCACAAAATCTGTTTACGTTCGCAACAATAAATGAATAAAAAGATAAAGGCTTGGAAAATGTAAGCTAGCAGAGGGAGAGAAAAACAGTTTTATATTTGAACAATTCAGATGGCTTTATGGATGAAAACAGCTGAGGGAGGGGAGATTATTCAACTGTGGTTTCTACCCTTCTTATTTCTACCCTCTTTTTCCACCCTAAAACTCGTTAGTCTACCAATGGTAGAGAGACTCTTCTTTCTCATTTAATATGCATCATCCACTTCACGGCCGTGGCTTCATAAAACCGTTTCAACACAAACCCACACACGTGAACGCACAGACATTAAGTAGCGCGACACATGCACGTTAAATTAGCTGAGCGCTTGGCGAGCAGCGGCCTGAAGCTCCTGCAGGTAATAAAACCATCGACGTGAATACTGAAACCGCAATGGTCCATCACAGTAGTTCACATATTTATATTAATACTGCTATTGGTCGGTTTTCATTTCCATACATCTTGAATTGTCCTTAAGTCATCTGTTCCTGCAAGACGAGGACTCCATGTTTACTTTGGGCTTCAGTGAGGTCAGTGGGGGTCAGTGGGGTCAGGGGGTCAGGGGGGTCAGGCAACAAAAAGTGTGTTTCATCAATGTATTTTTTTTTTTTGTGTGTGTAAAACAAAAAACGTTTTTAAATTGAATTATCCCACAGTTACAAATCCCGTTTTTAAGTCGACAATCAGGAACAACCTACTTCTGTTTCAGGGTTTGAGGGTTTTGAAGCGCTGCCGCAGGCGTCATGGCTACCGATAAAATAAGACGTTCAGGATGATAATAGTAATAAACATTAATAATAATGACTGTATCGTGGCTGCTTTTCGAACTGTTTTGAACCATTTTTTTAATTGCCTGTAATCGATTGTTGAACACTGCAACTTGCAAAACAATGACTTGTAACCAACCAAGCGGTAGTATTTTCCTACACGCCTCTTACGCCACGGTGCAGGACGCCTCATTTACCTCGATCTCTCTGCAGCTATTTATTTAAAATCTTATGCCGTCTAATCTGTTCTCGCCCTCCTTCTCTCTTACGCTAGCGTGAGATGAAAGAATAAATGACACCCGCGAGCCTTCACAGTTTCACAGTAGCTCGGGTGCATCTATGTAGGCCACAGAGAGCACCTCTAATCCCAATGAAACATGTGCGTCGAGCAGTCTTAAACAGTCGTAGGCCCCTTAGCATGTAGTCCTCTCCAATCGTTTCAAAAAACGTCACGGCGGTGGCCGCCGGGGGTTTTGGGGTCCTGACCCGCATAGTTTTAACAAATCAGGTAGACGAGATGGATATTGATTTGCTATGCGGGTTATGTTTTCAGATGAGATCAATTTTCTGTGGGCCAATCACTGGAAGCATCTCAAGCTGGTGCTGTGCACATTCTGTATTGATTTGGCAACTGCACAGCTGGAGTCATGTACGAGAGGGGAGACCACTTCAGCTTTTATGACAACTAAACATTGTTGGAGAGAGCAACATAATGCATTCGTGACCGAATGAATCAATCTGGGTTGATTTATTAAGACGCAGTAGATTGAGTCAGTTTTGGGTAACTCTGAGGACAAACCACAAGTCAACTGAGATGCGTACGTTTGAGTGGCAGAAATGCTCAGAGGCTTTAGAGCATTTCATTATATATATATATATATTATATATATATACATATATATTTTCAGTATTATATATATATATATATATATATATATATAATATGAGTATCAATATAAAATAGTAAATTTCAATATTTACCAGGTCAAAAGTTTTGATCATTTGAAAAGCAAACGTGAACCTGAAAGTTTTAGAATTTTTTTGAATAAAATATTTTTTTCACTTCACTTTAATTTTTGATATTCACTGTATTATATTTTCCAATAGAAGAATTAATCTTTTCAGTTTCAAAATGTTATTTTCTTAGTGTAACTTTCAGGTTGAACGTTTGACCTGGATTTGGCTCCATACCACTAGAGCTGTGCAAAGGATACAGCCGAGCTTCACACTGCGGGCATTAGAATCTGAGAAACGTGAGCGGGCGACACGTTGGACAGTAAAAGTCATGGGGTTGTGGAGACAGGATGGACGTAGCCAATCCAGATGGATTGCTGGTGACAAAGATCTAACGACGCTGGGTTTTGAAAAGTTTGAAAAGTAATCTGTGATGAAGAAGAAAATAAAGGTATGTCTAATTCTGCAGGATCATTTCCTCTTTTTATGACTCTGATGACTCTTTTAATCACACTGCCTTTGACGGCAATGTTTTATTCATGTTGCACAACTTTTATACAGCTTTCCCATAATGTAAAAGTGTCTGTCACCTCCATTCTACATCTGTGGAGCGAAATGTTCCAGTGGACGAACGGTTCGATTTGCTCACTTTCAGAGATATTACACGGTAATTGGCAAAATGAAACGTTCTAAATTGAACAGCTCTCTGCCAGACTACCTAATAAATATACAAAGAGCTAAAGGACGTTGGTGGCGGCAGCATTTCTCCTGAGATAACCCAAGTTGGGGAAAGTTTGTGAGTTGCTGAAAGTCACGGCTCATTGATTTAATCCACGGAGGAGAGGAGACTGGCAGGCGACGGAAAACAGGAAGCAGACGGATCAAAAAATATAGAAAATGTCACCACATCAGGTCAGTCCGTATCCTTTAGAATGCAGCAAGCCCAGAGGTCATTACACTTTGTGTCTTTAATGTCTGTGGCATTTACTTATCTTGATGGACGTCTGCATTTGCTAAAAATGGCCCTTTCTCTGAAATGCAGACAGTAGCCCATCATTTTCAGTCAAGGGGGTAACTAGCGGTGAAGCTTTTGTTCTCCTGTATCGCTGTATTCCGTGTTCTTCCGGCTCAGCTGAAAAGTGTGTGAACAGAGAAGGTTTGACGGTGCTGTAGAGCGCCTGACAAAAAGAGCTCGCCTGGGCTCTGGAGAGAGAAACTCTTACCTCCTCTGGGCCACGGGCCCGTTGTCCATGCCTTCCACAGTCAAAGCGTAACTCCGCCCAACGGCGAGCTCCACGCCGGGCGCGGCGGTAATGACCCCGGTGCTGTGAAAACAGTTCATGCGTTAAACCACTATGAACACTGTCACTGCAGGTGGTGCACGGACCACGTGGGCGACCTCTACACCGCTCGTGTCGTCCACCAGTGTGTCGCTTTTTTTTTTTATTTAGCAGAACTTAATTCATCATATTTCTTCTCAAAAAAGCCTTTGCATCCTCAAATGACTGCATTTAATCGGATAACCCTTTATGAACGCGCTTTACTTACCACCAACTCTCTGAAGACCAATTATTTCACTTTATTTCACTTCAACTGTGGCTATTTGTGCTGATCTTTGTGAATCGGACTCATTTGCATGAAAAAGGGGGCGATTTCCTCATATATAAATGTATAATACCTAATTTAACAACGCTATGAGCAGAACAATATTTGCTTATTTGGGTGCCTTTTACCCTTAGAGGGCTTTTAAGATCACACGGTTTATTTTTGTCTTGTTTGCATAGTCGCGCAGTCCCTTTTGTTAATTGGTTCCTGGGTGTGGAACCTAAACATTTTAATAATATAACAATGCAAGCGATATATTCACCTTTTGCCAATAAGGAAATGTCCCTGGTCGCCAGCTAAGATCCGGTAGGAGACCTGACCGTTGGGTCCTGCATCCGAGTCAATTGCTGCCAACTGGGGGGAGAAAAAATGAATTCATCATCCATATGACTTTTAATAAGAATATGGCAAACAATCAACTGTTGTAAATAAACAGTGTGCGTGTGTTTGGCAGTGCATACCTGCAACACAGTTTCTCCAGGCATCATATCAGTAAAGAGGTTGACATTATAAGAGACATTAGCAAAGGTTGGAGTGTTGTCGTTAGCGTCCATCACCGTTATTGTCACGGTAACCGGAATGCTCTGCTGGACTCCATCCGATGCTGAAAGCTGGAGGGACACACACGACCGGAGAAGAAAAACGACAGGAGCAAATAGACGTTACACAAGAAGCTACACTTTGAGGACTCTAGTTTCAAAGTTTACCTTCTTATCTTCATGCTGAACTAAGCTAACTGGCCTGCTGGCTAAGGAATATTCTTAAATGTACATGAGAGCCAATAATTGGATAACTCAATAATCAGCACGTAGAAGAAAGTATTTAGCTGTTTAGCTGCAAAATATGTTTTAAATTAAAATCTAAAAAAAATGTTAATGTCTCCCTGTTAGGGGTGATGTCATCATCTTGGTCTCCTCTCCCATCAAAGTAAAAACTAATGAAATGTGTCCATGTGAATAGTCCATCCATGATGCAGATCAACAGACGCCACAGAAGCTTCTTCACTGATAGCAATCTTCTCTGCCAAGAAGCTGATTGTCTCCTTTAAAATGAAAATCATCATCCAGGTCTCATAGCTCTCCCTCTCCCTCCCTCGGCGGTTTCATTTATCCTGCAAGGCTTTCATGGCGATTACTGTACACCTCCGCATTTCAATCAATACGCCGCTCTTTCTACTTTTCCCATATTTAACTTTCAAATAGACGCATGTACACACAAGGATGCATAAGATCACTCAATAAGCTGCTTTCACACACACACACACACACACACACACACGCACAATTACATCATGCCCAGACAGGCAGTAACAGGCTACTTTAAGTAACTAAACAACGCTGTCTATAAGGAACACCCAGACACTAAGCAATACCACATTGCATTCAAAATATAGTACGAAATGATTTACATCAAATTAAGTGGAAAGAAGTCAAAGGGAATTTACTCGTTGCAAAATTTCCCCTTTCAGAATAATGTAGATCCCATTATTGGAACAGAACTTGTGATGCGTTGATGTGTTTAATAATTTAATGTAGCACCTAGTAAATACCATTTCCTTATCAAGCATTTTTTAATGATATGTTGTATTATCAACTTTAATCTGCAAGGTAACCGAAGTTATCAAATAAATGTAATAGAGTAGAAAAAAACAGCAGTTTTTAGGGGACGGAAACAGCAAAGGAAAAGAGGGATATTAAGGCGGACGAGAACAAACAACCATAAAAAACATAAACATCGATGGAAAAAGGTAAGACAAAAGAGGGACATCAACCACCGTGAGACACATCTTCTATACTTATTTCTGCCTAATCCACCATAAAAAACAAAGCAAACATCTCCCCCTCGTTGTCTCTTCTCTTGCGGTACCTTTCACTCGGCGTTTCCCCTCCTCCATCTATGTTGACTTTTTCCGTCTTTCCATCCACCCCTTGCAATTTCTCCCCCCCCTCACTTTGTCTCACTCTCTCCTAGCTGGTTGAAGGTGTAGATTAAGCTTGAAACACCACTGACTTTGTGGAGCACTCTTCTCTCTCGCAATCTTTCCCCTCCTCTTATTTTCCCCTCCAGTTTGCACCTCTTCACAAGATTAGAATCCTCTGAACCGAAATATTTAAATGCATTCAGAAACGTATCCCCCCCCTACCCCCCTCCCTCCTCCCGCATACATATCGTATATAAAGCAAAGGCTCCAGCGTACCGTGAGTGTGTAGGAGTCCTGTGTCTCTCTGTCCAGCGGCTGCACCAGGGTGAGATATCGTCTGATTCCGCTGGCGGACACGGAGAAAACATCAGCGTAGGTGTCCAATGAGAACTGGAGTTGAGGGTCCCTCGTCTGTTGGAGGGAAAGGAAGAGGTTGAGGAGGACGCATTGAGGTCATTAAGTATTTTCTTTGAAAACCAAAAGAAGGGAACTCAGTAAAGTCCACCGGCACAACTAAAGCTGTGGCACGTTTACACGTGAAATGATGGCTGCTGAGCAACTTCATTTATTCAATCAAAGTGACGCGAATGTTAAGAAAGCAGTAATTATTGAGCTCTCTTGTTGAGGAATTATTATGTTTTCTAAATGAAAAAGGAAAACCAGCGTGAAGAAAGTGAACGAAGGAAAATGTTTCCACGCGGGAGAGCAAAGAAGTGCTCAGGCAGGAGGGCAACGAAAAAACAGCTCCAAGGTTTGCTCGACATAAAAACTCTCCTTAGAGGGCTGTGCGTGTGATGGAGAGGCAATACCCATCCAAGCCATTCGCACTGCTGTGTGTGTGTGTGTGAGCTCCTATTCCAGATAAGGCTGGCTCAGCAGGGCAGGGGGGGCTGATGATATTGTAACCACTGTGGATATTGAGTCATAAATAAACACACACACACACACAGTCATATGCACACACATAAATAAAAATGACGGATGGCACACATGAGCAATTAGGACTAATCATCATTGTTGGCACTTAATGCTGGAGGAAAGACCGGGGTTAGCAATATTTAAAATAACTCAACGTAAAATCAATCTCCACCAAACACACACAGAGTCTGAGGAACACACTGAAACACACACACATTACCCCCACTAAGCTCATTGCATGCTGTTGGGATCTTTTAGAAAGCGATGAACCAAAGCTTGCTTTTGTCAAAACGCCGATGCCACATCTTAAAACAAACTAAGCTCTTGGGAAAGCAGCGACGGTAACATGTACATTCTCACATCATCACTGACAGGCAATTGATCGACAGCGGACACAAAGAACGGCAGAAATGGACACATGGATGGTGGATTGGAACACTGTCACCATGCCGTGTCTTTTACACATTGATTTGATTGTGTTGGAGACTTTCGCTAAAAAGTTCCAAAGCGCCAGAATGTAAGGATATACCAGCACGGTATATATACGCCAACAGAAGACTACTAGAAACATAGCTCTGCAACTGTAACACGGTATATTAGACCTATGACCGTGCTTCCTGTGCCCATTAAAGCTGATTCCTCCGGACACGAGTATTAGTATACTTTAGTTCTCACCTCCTCCACGTCGTTATCCAGAGCAACGATGGCCAGCGGTGAAGAGAGGCTGGCGTTGGTCGCTATGGTGGTCCCCACTGGTGATGCTTCACTGACGTAGCCATGGTAACTAGCCTCCAGGAAGTAGGGCGCCTGGTTGTTCTCATCCAGGACTTCGATCTGGAGGTTGGCAAAAGCTGGCAAGGGGTGTCCGTTGTCCTGCTCTGCCTAAAGGGGAGGGAGAAAATGATGAGGAAGGACAAGGGCTGTGAAGTGTTGGTTTTTAACAGAAAAGGTATATACGACGAAAAGATTTGACCTTTCAGACTCATTCCCTTCTTATAGTCAGGAAAAGTTGAGCCAGAAACCCCCCCCAGCCTATGTCTTATGAATGGAATAGATAGAGTTATAAATCAAATTCCCCTCCAATAGCTTTTTTTTCTCCCACATCTTCCCTTCAAGTCTCTCCCTTTCCTTCCGAAGGCTTTTGGCTTTCTCCCCGTGTAGAAAGTCTATTACAGACCACATGCGGCAATTTCCCCCCCACGGTTAGAATCGTCGTTGTGGAACACAGTGTTCATTCCCGGCCTCCCGCTCGAATGTTCTTTCCCGTTTGCGTTCTATTCCTGTTCACCATTGTCATTTACATCTCATTCGTGTTGTCGTATTGCGCCCCTCAGTTCCTTCCTCCTCCTCTTGCCCGGATTCATTAGTTCATGCGGGATCAAACGGCTTCACCTTCCCAAAAGGGCACCGGGTGAAAGGAAAACCGTTTTAAGTTCCCGCGGTGCAGAACCTGATGCACGCCTGGATGTGTAATTCTATTAACAGCCTAATTGAGACAAAAAAAAAAAACATCTTCACACAGCACTGGATACCACTGGATAGCACTAATACCTTTGGAATTACTTGCACGTAATATGATCTCGAAAAAAACATTTTTTAATTGACCGAAAACCAGCATGCCGCTAATATATCAATTGAGGAAGAGCAGCTGGTCTTTATTTAAGATTGCGGATTTGCTGATTAACATCCTGATGGATATTTGGGGGTGTCGAGTGCAATGAAAAATAACCTGGTGGACGGTGCGGTTTCCATGACAAATGCACGCTGGGCAAAAGGAAGAATTAAGTTAAGGCTCCTCCTTTCTGCAGTTGCAGGTGTTTCTCACCTTGATAACCAGATCAAATCTGCGGTGGAGTTCTCTATCGATGGGCTTCAGTAACAGCAGCTCCGCCGTGGTCACGTTCAAGCTGAAGTATTCTGCATAGGACTCTGGTTTTCCTGAGAGAGAGAGAGAGAGAGAGAGAGAGAGAGAGAGAGAGAGAGAGAGAGAGAGAGAGAGAGAGAGAGAGAGAGAGCAAATAATAGGACGCAAAGAACACGGGGTTATGTGTGTGTGTGTGTGTGTGTGTGTGTGAGAGACACATCAGCAATTGTTTTAAAAATCAATACATGTTTATCTGCTGGGTGTCCACGGGCAGTATAAAGAATACAGGGAAGGGGGACGTGGGGGGACGGGGGGAGAGACTAGTGCACCCAGCTTTCTCATCCCTGCTCTCCACAGGTAGGAATGCACAAACACGCGCATAGAATGTTGCATTGCTCAGTCGGGGAAATCAAACTTTGATGAGCAGCAAACACAAGCGAATGTGCACACGGCAGAATAGTTATTCCCCCGATACGCGGCCCCTGAAGTCCGTGTGAGAGTGGTCGCATCACATCAATGTCCAACGTGGAACTTACGTTAAAATCCTGCTGTTGGTTTATAAAGCACTGAATGGTTCTAGCGGGTTTAATGTCTGTTTTTAAGATTTCAATTAATCCTCTTAATTATTTTTCAATTAGCTTTTCCTTTGTCTTATGTTTGGATGTTTTTTATGTGAAGCACTTTGAATTGCCTTGTTGTTGAAATGCGCTGAACCAATAAACTTTCCACAGGACGGCTCCTTTGTCCACAAATGAGGGAACTTGAAATATTATGTTCAATGAAATCATTTTTGTGACAGGATAATTACCTTCCATTATTTGGTCCGATGAACACCATTAGTATTAAAAACCTTGTTGAACATTAAAGCTTTCCTGCCTGACCATGCACTGCTTTTAATTCAACAACTTGGGGATGTTGTGGTTTCTTTTTGCCCTTTTGTTACACTGTCTCTCAAAATTACTACTGAGACGTTTTGTCTTAAAACTGGGATCTCACCAAATCAGTGTTCGGTGATGTTTGCACACGTTTACAGGCCAGGCGAGTTTATCGTCCGGCCAAACGTGTGGCCTTTCCGCCCAGTAGTGGTGAGAAATAATCTAAAGCCAAGAAAATATGAACCCACCGATGAGGAAGGAGTATAAAACCCCCGGCCGATCGGAGGGGGGTTGTAGGTTTCTGTCTTGGTCCACGGCTTGAATGGGCGGAGTCACATTGACAGGATTCACCTTATTCTGGAAGCAGAGCACAGGAGGACGTTAAAGTTGACATTTTTTACATTAGGACATGACCGCTGGATTTGAATTAAAAAAAAAAAGTAGTAATTAAGTTATTAAGAATAACGTTACCTAAACTATTTATTATTTTAACAGCGAGCTCCGATAATACCAGCAAAGGAAGAGAGAATTTAGGAATAGGGGAATTAGGAGAATCAGTTATGGGCAAAAGCAGATGTTGAATCCCACACAGCATGCATGCATGTGCACGCCCCCCAAAAAATGAACCGTCACATTCAATATAACGGGATGATAACACAGTAACAATCAGGAGCAATTTCTAATGTGCATATGCTATGCTGCTCCACTACGAGTGTGCAACCACATTACGTGCATTAGTGTAATATGCATTAGTAGATGGAAGCATCACATGGCTCCAAAACAAACACTAAAGCTATAAATGTCAAGCCAACACACCCAGGACACACACACGTGTGCGATGTACACAATAGTGTAACACACACCTGCTGTCATAGGCTATTTTATCACCGCACCAGCACTTAAAACCTACAAGCCGCCATGGAGCGACATCTCCTTGCCTGTCACCGAGAGAGGAGAGGAGGGCGACACAGACCGGTAGGATGTTGTGGGCGAGTAATGAAGTGTAAAAGAGGCTGTAGATATGTGGAAAGGAAATGAATCTGCCAGGAGTTGAGGGTAAACAGGGAGCTGAGGGAGATGTAAACCCAGCGAAGAAGACAGGAGGAAAGCCAGTCAGAGGTGTGATGTTAACAGTGACAATCATCCACAGCAAGAAAAGAGAAAAAAAAAACTGACATCTGTCTAAAAAGTACTTTCGCACATGTGAAAGAAAACAGCCTGCGTTTAATGTAAGGAGTTCTGAAATTAGACACGCCCCTCGTGTACCAACGCTTCGTGCCCACGCGTACGAACAAGCCGCACTGAGGTAAAAGAGCGGAAGCAGATGAAGAAGCCATGCGATATCACAGTTACTGAAAGTAATCCAATATGACATCGCATCTCCGGCTTCACACTCCATCCCAGCAGTTGTTAAACTCCTCGCTACATTACAATTACTGGCAGCGGGATCATTTCATCAGCAGCGGGAACATCTCGCGGTCTCCACTCGCAGGCCGTGTCGCAGAACAAGCACCAGTCGACACATGCAACTCAAATAACACACCCACTTCGCCGTGATGTGTGTACATTAAGGGGAGCCACGTTTACCAAACTCAGGTTTAGTAAGACCAGAACACGTGGACACCCCCCCCCCCCCTGGGCCTATACGCTGGATGACAGAAAACATGAAGGGCAGGTAGACGGCTTACCGGTGTGATGAGGAAGCTAATGAGCCGCAGGCAGGTGGCCGTCAGGAGAGCAGCGAGGGAAATCAATGGTGTAAGGGAAGACGCTCGGGGTCGCGGGAGACTCGCGGCGGCACGAGGTGCAAAGCTGCAGTCGGTGTTTTTGAGCAGCTGTAAAAAATAAAGTTGCAGCTTGTGTAACTCGAAGTCTTGGATGCTGTGCTGGTTGCTGGTGTTGCCGTGTGGGCCTTCACTTGCCACAGAAATACAAACTAAATCATTTGGTTTACTGCTCAATAATGTATTTTCCTCTCCCAGCTTTCCCCCTTTTTATGAGTGTTTCTGTGCGTTTGCTAACAGCGTCTTGCGTGTATGTGCGTGTATATGAGGGAGAGAGAGAGAGAGGTTTCTATACATCCCTCCATCCATGGCACAAACATAATATACATCCTCATTTCGGCGTCAGAGTGGTCATTTCGGATGGTTTAAAAGTGTCCATATAGCGCTGGCAGGGCGCCGGGGATAAAAAACACACACAGGCATTCAGAAAATTCAAGAAAAAGGCCACATGGACAGCTTTAATCAATCAAATCAGGCCCCTGAGAGGCTGCTGCTTTGAAAAAGATAAAAGTGCACTCAGGGAGACGTATCGAGACGTATCGTGCTGTTGGCATGAGTGCATTTATTCAAATGACCTCGGCTTGTTTAAGTACATGATTGCTTTTAAATAAAGCCTTGACACCTTCGGGTTGCATCTCACGAGCAGCGCGTCTCCCCGGCCGTCTTGCTCGTAGGCTGAATCTTTGGTCCTTTGGCTTTGCATGCCAACGACTGGCTGCCACGTCCTGTGCGGCTGAATTGCGTGCTGCTACGTCCTGATTACGTCCTCGTTAAATCCTCCATCTCAAAAGGTTTGTTTTTATTCCAACAGACCTTTTGACGGCAGACATGTTGCCTCGTCATAGCAGGAAACAACACAGGTGTGCCTGATCACATCTTTGCTCCGTTGGAGAAGGATGACGCAGCCGTGGTTAACTTTATCAAATATACGACTGCGCTTTTCCCGCGAGAATAGATGCCCGCGACCTTTAATGAACAGGCGCAGCTGTCTCATTCAAGGAGGGAAGACTAGAACGGAGAAGCCTCGGTTTGTTTTTTTCTTCTTACTACTCTGACGTCAGAAAAGTGGGGAAAAAAAGGAAGCATCTGGAGTCTGCAGCAGATGCGTATTGGGAGCGAATTGACATGTGAGGAGCAAGCTTACGCTTGATGCAACGTGTTTTATTCACCACTTCGGATTTAAAAACCTCTCAAGTATTTTCCCCAGCATAACATTTCCGTGGCTGACTTTTTTCCTCTCTCTTCTCTGCTCTTCGTTTTATTTCCTCCTCCATATCACCGCCCCCCCCTCCATCGTAAATCCTGTCCTTGTCTGCGTACACTTTTTAAAGGTGTAAAGTTGATTTATTCCTGTTGCTCCTTTCCTCTCCTGGCTTGTGGAAAAGCTGTGTGTGTGTTTCTGTGCACGTCTGTAAGTGTGTGTGTGTGTGTGTTTCTGTGCACGTCTGTAAGTGTGTGTGTGTGTGTGTGTTTCTGTGCACGTCTGTAAGTGTGTGTGTGTGTGTGTGATAAGGAGAGATACAAATACGTTTTAGGAGGGGAGAGAGTTCCATCAGTGTTTTTCAGAACAGGGGTGGGTTTTTCTCTTTTGGGCCACATGGAATACAGAAACACACACACACACACACATACACACTTTGGTGGACACATGCCCAAAGTGCAGGCCTCATACAGACACGTTATTCAACGTTTGACCGGTCAGAAGTCACGGTTTCTTCAAGGTCTACATGAGGTCCAAAGCATCCACACACACACACACACACACACACACTCACCGGTTGGGTTAGCTCCAGTACATTGGCCCTGTATGTGATGGGACTGCAGTCCCGGGTGTGTCCCACGAGGGTGCATGGTAGGAACATGGGGCCCAAGTCATCCCCGTCCAGTACGTCCACGGTGAGGGTGGTGGTGGCCGTGCGGCGCTCGCTGGGATAGGGGGCTCGGTCCTGGGTCACACAGAGAGAGATTTTCTTTTTAGGACGATACTGCACTTTCTTCTCCGGATATTTGTGTGTCTCCATCCTTCTAGTCTACGATTGGAGACGATCGTGCCGTAGTCCCGCTGAAAATTTCCAGAAATGTTGAATATGCCGGCATCTGCTTTGATCACCTTCCTTTCTATTCCCACTTCATCGGGGGCAGATGAACACCCCCCCCTAATGTGTTTATGAGAACTGTTCAAGTTCTTCGATCATAACAAATTAATGGAAACATATTTGTTGAAGAAGAAAAGTTGTTTTAATAAGAAAGAAAAGTGCAAAGTTGGATTTTCTAAAAAGAATTGTTTCCATTTTTAAGAATGAATTATGGCGATATGTTGATGAGACTAAAAAGATGAAGCACTCAAACCAAAGTCTCAACCTTTTCTCTTGCCCTCAATGACAAATGTGTAATCAAGTGATTAGAAAACTTTCAGTCTGTGTGAGTCGTGTGGGCGGACCCGTCTGCGCAGACAGAAATCACTCAAAATCAGCGCTGAAGACACAAAACACTGCAGTATAGCCGATGAAAAAGGTTTTCCTCTATTGAGCCCAAACGCCTTTTATAAGTCCAATCAAATGCAAAGAATTTTAATAAAATCCCTTTAGTTCCTATAAGGCAGCGCTCAAATACCACATTTCGTCAAGAATAGAATATTTGTTTCAGTGGGATTTCAAGACGTAAAGCCTAAAGACTTACAAAACATTAGAAACAGTGGTCTTAAAACCAGAAAACTGATTTAAAAACACCAAATTCACAAAAACCTACATTCCAGTGAAAGTATTTATGCTATGTAAAGGATTCAGAACATTAAAAAAACACACAAACACAAAAATGAAGGACCGTGACCGCGATGCACGCGCACATGCATAAATGAACGAAACACTAACGTCGCTGCACAACATTACGTTTTTATTCAAACAGAGACCTTCGCCACAACTAAAGCTGAAATAAATGTGTTTCAGAACGGCCAAGAATAGACAACAAGACCAAAGCTATTTGCAAACTTCTACTTTGTTCTCTCTTTTGTGAGAACGTTTTTTTATTCCCGCGTGTGTCTACGTGTTGATCTGCTATTGATGGTTTATCAGTCAACTACATACAGAGGCAGCTGCTCTGCACGTTCACAGAAAACAAGCCAATGCATCACAGTGGTCGATATAACCACTGGGTTTTTATTTCAAAATAATAAGAAACTCAGGGAATCAATGAGAGACTCAAGCTCTGTGCAATTGAACAATCAATGCAACTATCAAGATAGAACTACTGTTTCTTCTTCACGCTGTCTGTGTCAGTGTCTCGGCTTTCTGCCACCTCTTTTTGTCACTTTTAAATTGGAAGAAAAAAAGCAAAGAGGCATGAAAACCTGCTTAATGTTATTTACTCTTACACCTGATTGGAGTGTTACACTTTTTCTCTGGCAGTAAATAATCTCTGAAAACACGGCGCCTCGCTCACTCTCTTTTTGTTGTCGTTTGTCTTTAATAAGCAGGACAGCAGTTCATTTGAAGCTACGATTGATACGATAAAAGCCTCCACAGCTGCAGAAACAGTATTTTTTATTTTGCACGTATTCACACTCTTCACAAAATGACAATCATATTTATTCATATTTTCTTCCACCGATGAAAAATAGCGCATCACTTATTTTTCCACAGATTGGTTTGGAAGTAGCATTTAGATTGTGTGTCATGCCTGAAGAGTTTGACAAGCTCCCTTTGTCTCCCGTCCAGCCAGCAGCCGTTAGCACGTTAGCTTCTTATTTATCGAACAGACACAATGTGTCGTCGTTGCGTTCAGCGCAGCTAAGAATATATACATGTTCATTATATTCGCCGCCCCTCGATTATCAGTGGGCTAAAGTGAACATGTCAGTGCTTTCAAGCAAAACATAAATTCTGCAGTGTACTGAAGTGTACTTTTAATCCCGCCTTCGGGGTACATGGGCCTTTGGACGTATGGGTATTGGAAATCACTTTGTCAGAACTAACGTTTTCCTGCCGCTACATGAAACGTAAATAATACAATCAGCTGCTAAAGGAATGGCTGTCGTGCCTTAGATTGGATCCTGCAAACTTCTATCACCGTTACCCCCGGGAGGCAGTTTTCTTTTTTGCACGTTGAGTGAAATTCAACTTATAAACAGAACATAAAGGTCGCTGTGAAATGAAAGCGATTAACAGCATTAACACATCGATAAGGGTTCGTCTGTAGTTCCTTTCAGGCTGCGAGAGGGAGAGAGAGGACGTGGACGAAGTGGAGACGTGGAGGTAAATATTTAGAAAAAAAGAGACTTACATTGGCCTGTATGATGACCAGGTAGCGTGTGGTCTCCTCGTAGTTGAGTCTTTCTTTGAGAACTACTGAGCCAAATAGTGTCAGAGGGATGTCAAACGTTCTGTTGGTTGTCTGAAACACACACACACACACACACACACACACACACACACACACACACACAGACATTGCAAGCATGGTGAAATAAATCAAATAGGCATGCAACTGGGTGTTATTGAGGAATATGGCGTCATAAAAAAAAGGAAGATTGCACATTTGAGAATAAAGCTGTCTATCATGAAATAAAAATGAGGTTTTCTAAAACATTTTCTACGACATTTTCTATTTAATAAGTAAAGTTCTAACAACATTTTAATTCATTAATATACTTTCCGCCATTTCTAGATTTGAGGGTTTATTTCATAATTATTTGTTTAATATTAAACACTTTAGAGATCCACATCATCATACCAACACAGATTTATAAGAAAATTGATTTGACGGATGCTAGATATCATCACTTGACGCAATAATTAACTTCTCTAAATCTTTATAGCAATGTCTTTGCAACAAATCTGTCTAAGAAACCAGTGCTGAAACATAGCGTACAAGATTTCAGGAGATTATTTATTACACACGGAGAACAGAGGAATATTTTGTCCAAAACTTGCTACGATTCAAATTTGGACAACAAAATCCCCCAAAAAACATAAAGCAAATGTGCATTGCTCTTTATTTTCTACCTACCGGGTCCTCGGGGTTGTACTGGATGGTGTACTCTATCTGTCCATTGGGACCGTCGTCGATGTCTTTGGCCCCGTTGTTCGCCGAGAAACCGGAGAAGATGGTGGTTCCCACTGGCGTCAGCTGGAAAAACACGGCGCAGGGAGGGAGGGACGTCAGCACCTCTTCCCTCTTTGCACTACATGACGTCAGACACTCAAACACTTCACGCGCGCCCGGCCACGCGGGACGCCGATGCCCCACCGCCGCTACCGAACAAACGGAAAGTGACACGTTCGTTCTGCTCAAATGGGGCCTGAGAGGGAAGATCGGCGCGTAAGTGTTGGTGCGCTTTCCCTCGCTGTGCAAATGAAGCACAGGCGGCGTGTTTTGTCTGACTTTGCGTTTGTCTGCAGTCTGGGACTCTTAATCTGTGTTACCGCTGTGCGTGTTTGCTGCACCCCGTTGCCCCAACGCGTTGACGTTTAAAGGCTGAAAGAAGTGTTGAAAACCAAATACTCGCTTATTACGTCACCAATTCCATCCAATGTGAGTGAGCTTTCTGATTTGTTCTCACTTAAATACGTACTGTTAGATCATATTAATATAAAAAAACGTATTAACAGATTGTTATAATGTGAAAAATTGACATTTAGAAAGCTGCTGCTTTAAATTCTTACCACAGCACACGAAAGGAAGAACTTTTCCCGCCATAAATTGCCACCCTGTTTTTTTTTTTTTTTATCCCTGACCCTCAGGAGCCGTGATCACGTGTCAAAACTAATCTCCAGACGCTACGGGAAACATTCACGATTGAGTTCAATTAAGCTGCCGCAGCAATGATTCGTTGCGTCGTATCCCTCAACGAGGTTATCGCTGCCTCCCACGGATCCAACAGCGGTCTTCAGAAGGTCTCCGGCTGTCACTTTGCCACTCGTGGGGCCCCGGCTCTAATGAAACGACTCCAGACTTTGGCGCCGGTGCCAACTAATGAAATCAGCCACAAGGATTCCCTCGTGCGGGGAGGCGGTGAATCATAGACTGTGTCCCAGACGCTCTTATAAATAACCACGTTTCCTCTCTGCGTGTCTTAATCTGTCACTTTCCTCCCTTTCACTCAACAACCAGTCAGCGAAAGACAAGTAAGAGCCGCTACGATGATTGAGCTGGATTTAACGCCTGATTCCCTCTGTCAATATTAAGTTTAGTGCGATGGGCGCTTGGAGATGTGGGGGCAAGCTAGAGTGAATTACACGTAGCTGTCGGACTAATGAACAGACTTGCAGTTAAATCTTAATCATCGGCCACATCAGAGTAGATTAATTTCTTTTTAAAACGTACGACCACAAAACTAACCACATCCACCTTTCCCCCGGCAAAGAAATCATGTATTAGAGTTTTGTTATGACGCATCTCCTAAATTGTATGGCGGACGTTGAAGTGAGCGGAGGGAATTTTTTTTTTTTTCAGGGGGAGTAATGAGAAACCGCAGCGCTGGGAGAGGAGGTCCGGTGGAGGAGGAGGAGGAGGAAGAGGAGGACGACAGACAGCCGGAAATATATCGAGTGTGGCAGAGGAAAGGTGGGCCGGTGGAGGAAAGGCGACATAATGAAGAGCTGGGAGTGGTGAGGGGGCACAGAGGGAGAGAGGCAGCAAAAAAAAAAAAAAAAAAAGGAGGAAGGGAGGGAGGCCGAGAGAGAAAAGGAGCTGGAGGAGACGGATTGACTTGGACGGGCCGCGGCGTTCTGTATAATGAGATACTCCACCGGGTCCGCCAGCGGGCTGCAGGCATCCGTGTCCAGTTTTCAGTCCGTACCTCCTCTAGTTAAATGCGGCTCCCCCACACTCTGGATGACACCCCAACTGTGGGTTTTGGCACCTTAAAGACCATTCTGGAAGACTCAAACCGCCCGAAGTCTCCGCAACATTAGCGTGACAGCCAAACGCAATGGACAAGACTATTCCAGGGGTATTTTTATTCGGAATGCATCGGTGCAACAGCAGGGTGAAGGGTCATTGTTTGCGTGTCTTTTACCTCGTTGACGGCGACGTAGTATCGCGGCTGTTGGAAATACGGCGCGTTGTCGTTGCGGTCTCGGACGACGATGCGGACTTCGTGCAAAATAACCGTGCCGACCAGCTCGTTGGTGCACTGCACCTGAACCACGATGGAGTGGATGTACGAGGGCGGCTGGGAGAGAGCAGAAAGCAGAGGAACACGTCAAATCCACGGATACAGCGGCAACAAATAATTAACCAGGAAATAAATAAATGAAGCAATTGAACACCAGACTGCCAGCCTCTTGTTTTTTAACAGACTTTAGCTGAATGCTAAGAATATTTAAAATAGCAAAAGCTGGAATAAATGAAAGTTTGATTCCAACCAATTCGTCAGTAAAAGTAAACTAAGACGCGAGCAGCTGAAACAACATCACATTAATAAGTAAGTATCTGTGACACAACGGATTCAATCCATCAGGCAATTGGGAGCAAAATAGTTCTGAAAATTATTCAGAAGCCAAAACTTTTTCCGGTTCTCACGTCTCGGTCCAGAACACGTCCGGTGCTGTTGAGGTAAAGGGCTTGCTTGGACGGGTCAAGGATCACCCAGTAGTCGTGGTTATCCCTCAGCGACAGAGAGATGGTTCTCCCCGGACCCTCGGCCACGCCATTTATCTGCATGTTTTCCACCAACAGCGTTCCTGGGATAAAAAACCCAAACAAAGTACATGCATTCAAATAATGGGTTTAAATCTGCTTTCATCGGGCGAGAAGAAGGAGCCGGGCCTGTTCTTCGTCGCATGGAATCAACTGCGGTGCACGCCTGGAAATTGCACGTAGGGCGAATCGATGGAGACACACAAACAGAAGGGAGAGAATGAGAGAGAGAGGACAGAGCCTGTAGAAGTCAAATTAAGTTGAGGCGGACCAGAAGTTCCTGGAATATTAAATGATAAAAAGACAAGAACTGTGGCAATGAAGCGATTGGGGAATGAAGAGAGGAGATTACCAGGGACGCGACACGCGGCGTGAAGGGGGACCGTCTGCTGCGTTTTATCTCTCCATTAACGGAAAGCCAGAAGACGAAGTAGCAGAGACGAGCAACGAGTCAGAGAGGAGAATAAGTAAAAAGGCAGACGGAGAATCAGACGTCTGCGTCCAATAGGAACCTCCTGACTTTATTGGTGACTGACAGAGTGAATTAAAGCCGCGGCCCGGCTGCCAAGCGCTTAAATGTTCCACGTCTAAGTGTTTCTGTTGTTCCCTGTCATGTGTTTCAACCAGATTCATGAACTAATGCTTTGTCGTAGAGGAGCATTTTATTAAAACAAAGGGAAATATTAAAACTGGAAAGCCGCAAAACGGTGGTGAGGAAGAAAAAGAAATAAAGATTTAATTGTTTAAGATGGGTTCGAGAGACCCGTTACCAGGCCAACCAGGCGTTGTTAATAAATAAATACCAGAACGCTTCTTCACCACATCAGTTGACGTCGCGGAGACAAATGTTCATTTACACCCTTCCGTAAACATACAACTACACAAACACACAAACACACACACACGGAGCGATCTCATATCTGATCTGCCGGATAGAAATTTGGGTCACGGCCTTCTGCGCTACCATGGAAACCGTGTGAAACGCCTCGCTTTGATTTGCTGATGTCAAATAGACGGGGAAATATAACGAAATTGGTTTCTGTACACGAGCAATGGGACCGAAAAATAGAATTCATTAGGCGGGTTTAATTTCATGCTATATTTCTTTAGCTACTTCTCAGTGATTTTTTTTTTCTGCTTGTCTTGCAAAACGACAAAGAACCTCCGGTGGGGGGGGGGGGAGGGGGGGTGAAGGAAGAGACAGACAGTGCCGACACCTCGTGTAACTACGTTAACTCCGTAGACCATGTAATAGAAATGTGACCTCACTGCACGGGATGTGTGAGTATATACGGCACTCAGCAGCACCTTATTAAATTGACCCGAGTGTTACAGCATACGGGCAGAAGGGCGTGAAGCAGTGTGTGTGTGTGTGTGTGTGTGTGTGTGTGCGTCAGGACAGAAACGCAAAGACAAGGAGCTGCCTGCACGCCGAGCAATCAGAGAGCTGAAGGGAAGGAGAGAGAGACGGCAAAGCAAAGCGAGGGGAGAAAGATTGGGTTGAGCGAGAGGCTGAGAGGACGAAACATTAAAGACAAGATCGAGAAAATGAGCATCGTGGCGGCACATTAATAGAATTTTTACAGGACATTGGCTCAACTGAATGTGGCGACAGGTGCGAACGCGAAAAGTAATCGCCACGTCCCCCCCGCTGCTCTGCAGCAGGAGGGGTCTATTGTTTCGCAGCCTTTTAACGTTAGTATTTCACTGCTCATGGAAGTTTCATGATTCTCTGTTGTTGTTTTTTATGCACACGTGTCATTTTGAACATGCATTTTGGGCAGATATCGCTTTCTGGTCTATCTATGTGCATATAATAAATATTGGATTTGACTCGTTACATGTGGTCAAGCAGGAAAGCAGAGCGTATTCACAGCAGCACACGTGTCAGAGCAGTAAGCAAAGAAAAAAAAACAATTCTGCATGCCGTCGTAGCCTGTAATATTTGCTAAATGGATTGTGTTATTGTGTACATCGTGAAGACCCCTGTGGATATTCTGATATCTCCACTAAATGAGTGTGCGCTTGTAAGTATGTGTGTCTGCCCTGCTCGCTTTCCCACATCAATCCACATAATAATGCATTTACTTCGTATTATTAGATTCAAAGCCCTAATTTAAATATTATCTTCTTTTATAACATTTCCCTGAGGAAAAAAGAAATCCCTCCCCTCCCTTCCTTCCTCCCCCCTCCTTTTCTTTCCTCAAGTCTCTCTCTCTTCTTTGCACAGACCAACTAAAGATAATCAGCCTAAAACAAGATCCTCCATTCAATTGTAACAGTATTGCACACCCACGGAGCAATACACATACATCCATACGGAAGTATTTTTAACAGTGTGTATGTGTACATTATTAGATTATATCAGACAGGACATACACACATGCGTGTCTACGTATACACACACACACGGTCAAGCGTCCATGCAAAACATGGAATTAAAAATATAAGATAAACCAAATCTATTGAAAAGTGTGTTATTGTCACATGTGCAGATATAATGCACACATGCGTTCAGCATTATGAGAAGAAGATCTATTTTCTATTAGACCGCAGAAAAAGGATGTTTATACGCAACCACACACGTCTGCACTCAGACAGACTGCAGGCTCGGTGTTGGCTCACATTCTAGGACACTAATTAGCACAGAAAGTCTTAAACATTTTAAAGCCCACTCCAGAGACAAGAACACACTGAAAGTGCTTCCTTTGGTATTCAGATCAAACGGTTCAGAAAACTCTGGCTGACTCTTTATTTTTTATTTTTTATTATTGTCCATCTTTCAGGGAAAAATAGAAGCGAAGCGATTTGTCTGAAATATTCAAATTAGCAGTACAACTCCAACAGATGTCCGGCATCCAAAGGCAGCATTTTCGTTTTGCTTTGGAAGCAACTAGACCCTGACTAACGTTGCCGTTGTCCTGTTTGTTTGAACCTTTGAAACACCCGAAATGATGTTATATGTGTCGCGTAGGGGACGGCTTCCTGGTTTGTGTGCACTGACTTCCTACCGAGCAGCCGGGAGAGACTCCAGGTGAAAGGAGTAAACATGTTTGCTCATCTTTGGAAATAGCCGGGGTAGTTGCTCCTGTCTTTAGGCTGTAAGCAAAGCTGACTGGCTGCTGACGTAGAATGACCTCGTGTCTTATCTTCTGGGACAGAGAGCCGGCCACGGACCTGCTGATGGGTAATAATAACAGCTTAATACTTTACCGTTGGGGCTTTCTTCATCTATGGCCACGATGGTAGCAGGAGGACCCGAGCGGGACAGTTTACATTCTGGGAGGATTAAAAGAAACAGAACATTTGTAGTTAGCGTTAGCTACCTCGCAAGGCTCCACTTCTTTAAATCCGTTAAGAAATATGGGTGATTGTGCTTGATGAATCTTTTAATGCTGCTGCAATCACTCTGTCCGTGTCCATCTTTGGAGAGGAACTGGACCCTGAAGAGCGGCAACGGCAACTACCGAGAGGAGCCAAGGGGGGGGACGAAAGGATTGAGCTGTGAGGGGTTAACGGAGAGGGGATGGAAATGGAGTCTGAACTGACCGGACACGCTGGAAACTGGAATTTCACAGGTAAAGGCAGACACAAATAATTAAAAAAAAAAGCACATGAAGGAAAAGCAAAAACTTGCGACTATCTTGCACGGGCAAATACGTCTGTTGGGTTGATTGAAAAATGAGCCAAGAAGTCGTATGATTTGAGGTGATGTGGAAGAAGAAGGGGGAGACACAACGTGGTAGTGAGGGGAGGATAGCAAACCGTTAAAAACATCCCTGCAGGGTCAGCGAGGGTTAACAAACACGAGCGGTGACTCGACAGACTGAATGAAGAAAGAGCAGATAGTTCTTACCCTCATATTGCCAGTCTGCGGATAGAGACATCCCATCAGGAAGGAGAGAGGAGGGAGGCAGCAGCCAAAAGGAGGATAGTAAGGGAAGGAAAAGGAGAAGAGAAGAATCACAAAGGATGAGAATTAACCTTCAGGGCAACAAAATGACAGAGAAAGAAGGGGAAGAGTCGAAATTTGAAATGCACTACGTGAGTGCGAAGTTTGGGGCAAAATAGAGTTGTAGAGATCAATAATGCTCTGGGAGGTGCGCTTGTTTGCATGTACGGTACACAAACGGTGTTCTTGTCTCCAGGAGCTTTTTCACCTCCCTTCAAAGCCGCGCCACACTGTACTAACTTGAGCTGCGGGAACACTGCCCCTTTTTTTTTTTTAAGGGGGGGGATTCTCCTTCATCCCAATGTCCATGCAGGGATACAGAAAATACCAGAGCACCAACATTCACAGGACAGCGTGACACGATTGTAAGTCCCTGCAGGGAGGCTGGGAGCCGACTATTGGCTCTCCTAGAAAAAAGGACTTCATGGAAGGATGATCGCGCTTTCCTTCCCTCCATCTGTCCTCCCCTCTGCAGTGAAACATCACTGCTGGGTGGAAGCATGTATTACCTCGGGATTCATTGGTAATATATCTTGTTTCCCGATTAGCGACGAGTCGGATGGCCAAATTGATCAGAGCGATCAGTAGGACTTGGTGGCATTCAGATATGGAGATCGACCTGCAGTTAAAGTAACAACAACCGGTGCGCCGACCAACGTGAACCCTCCATTAGCTCTGCAGCCACATGCATGAGCGAGATCTTTAACCTGTCCCTCTCCCGAGGCAATCCCCTCCGTTTAGCGATGCAGGTAGATGCATGAGCCAAGGAACAACAGTCGCTATAGTTGCATTACACTCCACCAGCTGGCGTGTTTGTTTGCGCGTGTGTCCGCCGACAGCAGATGACAGATGCGTATCCCCTGCTTGAATGCCTTTTTATCCTTCGCTGTAAGCCGATGCCCCTCATTCATTACTAACCAGCCATTTGTCCTCCGCGGGGCATCGATGTCTCGTTCTCTACACTCTGTTTCTTCCCTCCTCCGTCTCTCCTTATCTGCATCCTTCTCTCGACCTGTCAGGCTGGGTAATGCGCCTTTAAAGTTATGTTTCCCTCCGTCTGCGTATCAATTCAAAGAACTTGTCGTCACTTCTTTCAAGGGGAATCTTGATTTAAAACAAGCACGCGGATATATTTGCACAGAAGTGTAACCAGGGAGTTGAAATGACAAAGCTTTTTTTTTAGGTTTTAGTGTCTAAATGTTTAAACCTAAATGTAACGCGTACTCGCGCCAACTCTCAAAAGTGTACATGAGCCTTTCTTTCTTCGTTTTCGTACTTCTCTTTCTGTAGCCACTCACTTATCTTTGATAAGAGGGCAGTTGCAGCTCTTTTCTGGAGGAAATAATCACTGAAATGACTTTGCGCATGAGCAAGTGAAAAAAAATCAATTCATGGCAGGTTTCCGTCGAGATGATGAAAAAAGCCCCAAGGAGAACTGTGTGAAGGGAAGGAGAGGAAGAGCAGTCTCGCTGTGGACTACATAATAAATAAATAAAAAGACATTGAAATATGCTCCCTTTGTTCAGACAATATTACAAGCAGATAACGAGAAAAGCTCCCTGTTGAGATTTATCATCCATCAGACACCTCCTTATCTAAACCTGTTTTAAAAAAAAAATCAATATAGGTCTTGTTTACTATTCAAATGCTGTCCATGAGACGTTGGCAGGTGAAATAAGCAGGTAAGGGTTTCCAAAGGGTGGCAGGAAAGAAAAGTCTCATAAAGTGGACACAGAAAGGGACAAAGACTGTAGATAAAGACCAGAGCAATCGCACCGAGATTCAAACCGGGGTTGAGCTCGTTGGAAACCGCACACAGCTTGGCTTCTGTCTCCATAATACCACACGCACACACGCACGCACAGACACACACGTTGCTTAGGTAACATCTCTTCACGACACGCGTTACACAGTTGACACAATCGAGTCCATATTGAGTGTCTGCGCTCGCACACGCACATGCTCGCGTTACCATTAAATATACACGCTAAGACTGTGAGTCAGGAGAATATCTGGGCAACAGTTTGTGTGTCTGCGTGTGTGTTGAGCATCCAGTGATCCTACGTGTAATGAGTCACTGGGCCGAACACAAACGGAACAAACGTTGGCTTTAATGCTTCATGCTCAGAGGAGCGTCGGACAGACAGTTTTCCTCCACTTACGTCTTCAAGACGAGCTAAGCTTATGAAATGAAGGCTGGATGTGTTGCAAAATATCATTATTTCCTGTAATATTGGTGGAAGTTATTTGGTTATATAGATCTTCTCTCCACTCTACTCCAGTTTAATTCATCTGCCAAATAAAAACACAACACACAGTAAACAAAGTTTTGTTTTTTCCATATTGATTCATATCATTTTGGCTACAAGACAAAACATTTGCAACAAAAGACTTTAAAAGCGAGCGTGGATCTGGAAGTCACACAAAGAGCGATAACTGATTAATGCTTTGAGGATAAACAACGTCCACATCTGGTCTTCTATCCTGATGAAGACGCTAATGATGTCTCTCTAGACCTCTATTGGAATGTATTTAATGCGTTTAAAATGTTGATGCTAAATATGCTAAGTAAAGCAATTGAACACAGTCAGAAAAGTTTGGGCAAGTTGAAGCCGCTTTCTCTACAAATGGTGATGGTGAAGAACGCCACGGGCATCGGACCCGTCGCATCCGCGCAAGAGTTAAGCGGGTCGATAGACGCCGTGCTTTTCAAAACCTGTTAAAAAAGCTTTTTAATCATGCTTTTGTTTCTGTGCCATATTGGGAAAGCGTGCTCAAGTTGTACTTGACTGCACCCTGCTTGTTACCATCTGTTAAATAGTCGCTTGGCTCCCCTGCCTGGAGTCAGGACTAAGATTGGCAAATAGAGTGATGGTGAACTCCAAAAATACACTGAAACAATATGTGGAGAAAAAAAAAAGCAGAGGAAACAACACAGGAAAAAATAAAGTGGTGTCAAGAGACCTCATTGTTGATCAGGTTTCTGAAAAGAGAGAAGAGTTTGACGAGGCTGCTTCCGCTGTTGATTGATGGATGTGGCGCGCTCTCACAAAATGCCAAAGTGAACAGCAAACTGTTCACTCCTGTGAGCGAGACTGACAACCCATGTGCAAGGATGGAAGAGTAGCTACACTTTAACATGCATGACATGTCGTTTTTAATGAAAAAACAAGGCGTTTGTAAAACAGGGCATCGCAACCCGCAAAAACACGCGTTGGGAGTTTTGTTAAATGCAAAATGAATGAGGATGAATGGCGTCACAGCGACCTAACTTCGTGAACCATATGTGTTGCACTGTGTGTGTGGGTGTGTATTCAGTATTCCACAGGGTCTGTAAGTCAATTACAAATGAGGCCTTTTTGATTGAACTCAATTACCAATGCAAAGAGCCCCTTTAAGATCATTTACTTATTAAAAGCACGTTATTAAAACTGTGCAAACATAAAAGTTGAAACAAGGGGTGGAGCCCGTGACTTCTGTCGGGCTTCCGAGCCGACGCCCGGGTGTCTTTTCCCACGAGGGTTTTCACTGACTGACGAAAATATACTACAAGTATACTACTTCTTTCAAACACGAGAGGTAGTAAAAGGGCTGAAATACAGGAGCTGTCGGAAAGGGTTTTTTTTTTTCCCTCTAAAAGTTCTTGTGTGTCATGTCTTTTTTTGAGCTTCCATCAGCTTGTACACCAATCCGCCCCCCCCCCCCCCCCCTTTTCTCCCTGGGGGCCGAATCCCCTGCGTCTTCCCTCTGCTACGTGGCCCGCCCGCCGTTCATCCCTCACCATTTTATCCCTCCCTCTATGCTTCTGGAACCCCCACCCCCCCCAACCCCATCCATCCCGGGAGGACAGAGGAGCTACAGGATGGGAACAAAAACCAGAGAAGTGAGAGGAGAACGTTCAAGGGGACAGAGAAGAGAAAAAGAAAAACGAGGGAATGTTGGATGGAGGAAGGATTGGAAGAAAAAAAGGAGGAAGAGGGGGAAGAAAAGGGGGACGAAGGGGGGTTCCGTGAGGAGAAGAAGTAAAAAGGAAAAGAGGACACATGGTGCACTTGTGGTAAATTGATGCGGTCTCTGGAGAAAACCGAATTGTAAAGCGGGTCGTTTACATCAACTCACACACACTCAGCACACCAACACGGTGCCCAGGGTCGTGGGGATCAGCACTCTTGTCACCGTGCCGGCGGATCCACTACCCCCGACTCTCTGTCTACGTCTCAGTCCGTCCCGGCCCGAGAGGGGCTGAACGCAGCTGACAGCGGTTGTTGTTGTAATCAGATGGTAGTTGTTTTGAGGAGTAAAGTCCTCCTCAGCAGCCCCCCCCCATCCCCCAGAATGCTGCTGTGGGAGCCGGCATCTGTAGGATCCTGTTGTCTGCGGGTGAATCCTGGTGTCGGACTTTTCTTTGGACGAGATAAGGAAGTAAAGAAGATTTTAAAAAGGAATTGGGTGACATTTTGGGGGATGTCATGTCTGCGGCGGAGACAGAGCGACGTTTTAAAGACACACAATCGTAAAAATCTGCAGTTCAAGGGGCCATTTTGACCTCAGTCACCCTTTAGTGCAGCGCAGGAGCCAGGAGGCATTTAGAAGAGCAGGAGGAAAGAGAGTCCAAAGTGAAAAGAATCCACCGACCGACACGTCTAAAGCTCGTCAATGTCATCTTTGCTTAATCCCATAAACAAAGATGCAACAATGTTCTGTCATTTTTAGAGGGGGCCACAGCAATGCAGGATTATATGCAGCCGAACTCATGAACAAGTTTGTGCGATGCTGCAGATAATGTCGACGGAGAAGCTGTTTAGTCTAGAAATGATTACAACATCCAAATGCCCCAAAATCATTTATTTTTCTATGACAAAGCAAATGAACCAACTTGCATCAATATTGAAGCCATAAAAGAAAAGTACAGGGGAAGAAGCGGCAATTAATATAAGCGGGGAAAAGTTCCAGTGGCGAAGAAATAACGAGAAATTCCTGTCTGCTTCAGCCCGAAATCAGCTAATGAGAAGACATAAAAGACGGAAAGGACAAAGAAAAAGAAACAAAGGGAGGGATGAAGTGGTGACAGACGGCAGAGACGTTGACTTTGAGTGGAAAAAGAACCCCCTCTAACAACAAAGGAAAGCAGCAATAAATATTAAAATCACCTTGAAAACTCCAACTCCAACCGCACCTGCTGACACGCGCACAAAACATACCATAAATCTGCCCCGCTGACACAAGCGGAGTGTGGCATATTCGTCAGGAGCGCACGCGCTGTCATCCTCCATCACGCGGACGTCCGCCGGGTCACAAACACCTGCGCTGTGTAATAGAGTCCAGTAGCGGAAGAGGACAGTACCTCAAATGAGTGCTTAAACGTTTTTTTTTTTTTTATTGCGTTATTTTTTTTAATCGCCACATTCATACACACACACGTGGAAAGGTGACCGTTCTCGGCGTTTTAGGGGCTGAAAGGCGCCCAGGGAGCAACTTGGGGTTCAGTGTCTGTCTCAAGGACACTTTGACACTCAGGATAAGAGCAAAGGGATCAAACCTGTGGTTAAAAAAACGCGGAGCCACAGCGGCCATTCTGCTCAAGAGCTGTGTGCAAAAGGTCACGTCAATTTAGTCTCTGAACACACAATTTGTATAAACCTCCATTTACCACTCGGTGGTAAAGGGCCGCTGAGGAGGGGTTTGGTTCATTTGCACGAAGCCAGAGACCTTTTTGAGCATCTCGCTATCTGTAAGTATGATAAAGTACGGTGGCCCCTTGTTTGGCAAATGATTTTGCTCACTGCAGCTGTGCCACATAATCACAGGCACATTATCGTGCGCGCACACACACACACACACACACACACACACACACACACGCGCACATACAAACCAGCGCACAGCTCCTGTTGTCGTGCAGCATCTCTTCCAGACAATCAGACCGGTGCAAAGGAAAACGTTCACAGCGGCACAGACACAGAGGTGACGCACACATGGCGACACTCACAGCTCATTTCTCAATTGTCTCCATGTCGCCCGTCGTGTTCACGTTGGCAGATTACTTACATTCAATTAAAAAACGAGGTGGCGGCGCAGAATGAATCCACAGTCAAGAGTCAAGAGCAGGAATGCGCCGGATCCGAGGTTCTGTAAGATCCGTCGGCTACTTTGCGTGCCAGCGACAACAGCAGGGAGTGAGCCAAACTGGACTAACTAATGAGCATCAGACGTTGTGTTCTTAATTGGTGTTTTGCGATTGTCGAATAAAACCCAACAGGACTCAATGGGTTCCGGATGCTAAAGTTTCAGCTCAGATTTGTGTTGTCTCACACCCTAATTAAAAATATACTGGTACCCTCGTCACTCATGGAACCCCCCAAAAAAAAAGAAACGTAGTCTACTGTACCTTGGGACCCGGGCTAATTAAAGCACACCACAACCGTTGTCACGCCTTGTCCAAACAGCTAAAATCAACCGCGCGTCCTCGGACTGGAGCTCATTAAAAACGCAGCCGTATTGTTGAGGGGGACCCACGCGGAACAACATATTGTCCGTCACACCCGGACTCCCCCGGCTCATTAAAACAAACTATTCTTGTAGCGTAAGTATACCTGCCAGGATGTGACCTGCAAAGCTGTTCCTGAGACCCGGGTCAGGTCAGTTTTACAGGTGCATTCAAATGCAGGTCGACGTTGTGGAGAAAAACAAGCGAGCCGGATGATTCTGGGTCCGTCAGACGCCGGGTTCTCCTTTCTGCCTTTTTGCACGGGAGCGAATGCACTCACAGTCATCCACCTTTGGCTGCACAGCCTTGTCAGCTAAATGCCAACCAGATAAATGGCGAGGACGGAGAGTTAAATGGAAAATAAATAATTCCGACAAATCGAGCTAAAAGTTTTATGCTGAGCTCTTCCCTCGGTGATGACTTCATTTCTGTGTGAAAGAATCCGTACTCATTGGGAAGGGAGTGTGTAGCCGCTGAAACGCTAAGCATAAGTGTGGCGTCGTACAGCTGGTATGGAACCAAAACAGCATTAATGCAAATGCAAATATCTCACGAGGGAACTTGATTCAACTTTAAGTTATGAAACCGAAAAAACGACAATGGCAGAATGAGCGGCTGAGAAAGAGAGAGAATCAGAACTGCCTTTACCTTCTGTATCCTGGCTGAGACAGGTGGACAGCAGCAGCAGCAGCAGATAAAGGACTCCCGTTCCCACCAGGCTCCGGCATTTGACCCGGCCCCTCGACAATCGGCCCATTAGGTGCGCTCCAACCATCTTCACCAGCGCGCTTCACCCAAGCATCCAGCTGCAGAGAAAGGAGGAGAGCACATGAACACAGGCCACCCGCAATCGCTCACTCCAATCTTTTAGCAAGAAATCTTTTTAAAACTTTGCTTCATTGTCTGCAAGCTTTGATAGGTCTTTGTGCTTTTGCAACCAAGTAGGTGATAGTTTCACTGGGGGAGGGGGTTTGGCACCACAAAGGTACCTGTAGAAACCTGTGGATGACAATTGAGGAGGAAATATATGCTCTGTGGTGGCGACAAACACCCTTTCAGGTTGTGCAGAAAGATGCAATACAAGAGAGAGTGAGGGAAATACATGGAGCAGATATAATACATAATAAATCCTTACATTTTAAGGTCAAGTCTTGGTTGTTTGGGTTATGGTCAAGGTCAGGGGAGGAGGAGGAGGAGGATTAGTCAGAAGCCATTATGGTTAGGCTTAAGTTGCAACTAAATTATTGTAAGTCGATTTTATGTCCTTTAAAGCCCAAAAGTAGCAACGCCACGACTTTGTGTGTGTGTGTGCTGGTGTTTGTGCGTGTGTGTGTGTGCTTAGGTTGAGAGTAATTACATTTCATGGAGAGAGGATGTAGCGCTGAAGGGGAAATAGGTTTCTTTGAAGTTCTCAATCAAAGACCCATTTGGGTGCCGTCTGAGTCCGTATGTGTACGTGTCTATAATTTGCTCTTTGATTGCTTTGTGCAGTGCGGCACGAACCCACCTAGCCATCGATACTGCCCACAAGACACTTAAACGCACAAACATTCAAAGAGAGATGACCTGCAAGAGGAAACTGAGCCACAAGGATGGTGTTGGTCTGGTCACGTCGCGTGCGGTAGGACACACTTCTCTCCAGCCACAATCTTCCCAGTCAGCCGGGGATTTAATTGCACAGATTAGCTTATTTAACCTCTGTCTTCCCGACCGACTCAATGGCCCTTTGTGTGCACCGTGTACACACAATTAGCACAGAGCAGAACAGTATACTGATGCAGAATGATTATGACGAGGAACTGACTGCTAAAGCGTGTCTCTGAACAGGTGCATTCATTGTTTAGCTGCTGTAGCTAAACATCACTAGTAGGAGACGTTCGTCAACAGTGTTTGCTCTTATTTTAGAATTTATTTTTAAAAAGCAACAAAATGACCTGAAGATTTACCGAGTCTGTGCCAAACTACGGATGTTAGCATGCGCAGCTAACTAGCTTGTAGTATGGCAGTAACAAATTGTGCTTTCCAGTGGGGCCAAGTTGTTAGTTTAATAGAGACACAAAACAGCTCCTTCTCTTCTTGATTTGGAGAAGTTTACATTCATATTTTTGTCTTTCATTTACCAATGAAAGACTGAAATAAATATATTTGTCTCTTTTAGAAGACCGGTTAAACAGCAAAGCACGAATTTCACCACCGTGTTGCCCGCTTCACTTTTTCGATAGATCGTCCGAAGCATCCGAGTGACTGAATGACATTTCAACTACACTTTTGTTTAGTTTACAATACTTTTAAACTCTTTAATCAGGATTTTAGCAAAGCAACTTTTTGACTTAATCAATGGTGCAAGCTCGATATCAACTGATTAAATCCCCTAGCAACACTTAATGAAGCTTAGGCGAAAATTCAGTCAGGAAGACGGGACAGGCTGTGCCGTTCCCTGGTGGCCTCCTCTCTCCCTGGGGGGGCACGGCCAGCTGATTGGGGGCGGGGTCGGGTAGTATCAGACGTTACCGTAAACCAATCGCATTGGGGCAGGCAAACGTTAAAAACTGTTCTCTCTTTTGCTGTCAGTTGTCATTTCAGGACGCTCCAAAGGTGACCCGCCACCAGCCCTGACACCTCCAATCTACAGCAGAACCCGGCATAGCAGGAGAGTTATGCAACTTGGGCTCCACCACCACCAGTGTCTGGACTCCCAAAGAGGGGGATATTGTCAGGGTATTGCGGGGAGTTTAATAGTCAAAAGCAAAAGCAAAAGGCCAAGGGGCAAAAACACACAGGAACCAGGGGAAAAACGGGAGACAGGAACTACAAACATCCACGACGAAAAAAACAAGGACATGCGTGGCAAAAGACAATGACGCGACAAGTGACAACAGACACACATGGTTTAAATACACTAGGGAGGTGCAGGTGATTGGACACAGGTGGAAACTATTAGACGATCACAGGGGATGATGGGACAAGGCAGGAAGTGAAGTTACCCGGGGACACGAGTGGCAGAAAACTACAAAATATAACAGGAAGTGAACCACACCGTGACAGATATGCCTCGTCTCGGCTCGAGATCCCGGCCCCGGGTCTATCCTGCGGCAGGATGGAGTCCAAGCCCCTAACAACTTATTATACCTGTTATAATAAAGCATTGTTCAAATTTCAACAAGTCTCTCCGGATTGAATTATTACTGTCAAGAAAAGAGGTAATTCATCGCCTGATTAACCAGAAATTGTCCTGCAAAATTAGTCAGGATCCGCAACGGTAATCAAACGAATGGCATGTTCACTCTTCACGATAGTGCTACTGACAATATTCTTTATTCTTCAAAAAGAAGATTATTCTAAATAGGACCTTATCTTAAAGCTGCTCTTATTCAGAAACAACGACACGAGATGCTCCCCCCGTCTCACGCAAAACGTTTAAATAGAGCTGATTTCGGGAGTACCGCTGGCAGAGATTACCGTGAGTCAGATTACCATCGCCCTGTGAATGGAGATGGAGTTGGCTGACAGCGGGAACATAATTGTAGTACGGAGGTAGAAATCCAGCCGTCACAGGAGCTCCAGGGCGGCTTTATTTATAGGGACACACTTCGGGCTCACAATGCCACAGTGCTGCTCCTAACCAACCTTATTGAGTTTAACAAATCAAACTGTGGCGCTTCAATCCGTGCATAACGACGTGCGCAGGTCGACTTGCGATCGAGATGTAGATCAATTCGAAAACCTCTCTGAGTCCGTAATGTTCGCCCCGTTCTAGCAGTGTTTCAATAAGGCTAGTATGTATGTGTGAGTATGAGTCTCCAGGCGACTAATCTCCGCATGGATCCCCCGGGAGTCATATTGAGATATTGGCAAGAGAATGTCTGAGCTTGCTCCAGGGCCGCAAAAGGCAGACTCTCAAATCCGTCACACTTTATGAAATAAACTATATTATGCAGTTTGCATTTTTGCGACGGCAAAACTGTTTTTTTTTAATCAATCTATCAAAGATTTTGGTTGAAAAGGGTAAAAAAAAAAAAAAAAAGGTTAGTGTTTCAAAATGCTCTGTCAACCCTTTGTTTGACATCAAGCCACCCGAACACTAAAGACTCAATCCTGACAAACGGGAAATATCAAACAGACTGTCGGACAGACCATCCTCAAATGCAAAGCCAGATGGGTTTTGGACATTGATGAATAGAAAAAGAGCTACAGCCGTTTTCATAATTGAGATCAGACAAAAACATTTTTTGCTTTTATTCAGAAGGTCACACATCCTATTTTAGATCAATGCAGCTTTGTTAACCAAATAACATTGGTGTATGAAAAAGGGAACGGCCCCAAATTCCAGCATCCCTCAAGTAAGACGAGACCTGGAGGTCAAAAGACAAAAGACACACAGATACAGAACTTCAGTGTCCTCTAATGCCAACCTCACCAACCCTAATAGCCTAAACCTAATAGTAGGGAAAAAGCAGGCAGGACTTTCACTGAAAGCTGGTTTTAATCCATTCATTTGGAACAGATTGGAGTTTACTGCTGCTTTTCTTCCTCTTTTTATATTCTCATGAACTACGAACCAGAAACAAAGCAACCCGAGAAAAACGATCTACTTATCAAATCCAGGGGAAGAGATGGAGATAACGACAAGCAGACAGGTTAGATTACTATATCATAATAACAGAAGATATTAAGATAGAGAAATTGAATTGGGTTGTAACTCATTATAAAGTAAAGTCCTGATAATGTTGATAAGGTGTCCCGATATCGTGTATGTTCACTTCTCCAAATTGAGATGCCTAAACTCCATGATTATTAGCAGAATGTGTAATGTTTGCATGTTTCACCCACAGTGTAATTTGCTGATAGAGACATCAACAATGAAAGAGGCATTAAAAAGAGACAATGTTGGTGCTATCAGGCGTAATTGTGTTATTGGATTAAAATCATGGCAATAGTCACTTTCTGCGTCGAGGCATATTTCCATTTTTCATAGAGTTTTATTTTGACATGAACTTGATCTGCTAGAATGACTTGATTCTGGGGCGCTGAATCAGGGCACCGACTTTTCGTGCCATCCCGTCAAACTAAGAAATACTCACTGGAAGCATTTTTGCATTATAATTGCATTTCAAGGTACCATTAGCCACACTTGAATTGTCAGTGCCAGTGCTACAGGCCCCCATATTGTTAACAGGCGTGCTTTAACGCAGGGGCGCAGTCGGTATAAAGGTTTTATTTTTAGAGGTGCTGTGCTGAATATGTGTATGCGTTGCATCACATTTTTTGCTAAAAGCCTCATCTTCATCTGCGTCCCCCTGGCAGGGTCGGCCCGTGATGCAACGAAAGATTAAACATTAACAGAAAGTTGCAGTTTATTAAGACAGTTCGGATCAAAACAAACGTCATTAATAATGAACTACACATAACACAGTGATCGGCCCACAAACCAAAGCGCCAGTTTCCTTAAGAATACTGGAATGAAAAGCAAACTTAGCAGAGGAAGAATTTTAAAGGAAATAAAATGATAAATAATACAGATAATATTTAACAGTTTGATGGGGGGGTTTTAACAGGGCCCTGTGATCACAACTTAGACCCGCAGACCCTGATTGTGAGAGAGTGCGTGTTGGTCTGAATCGTCGGCATATGTTTATTTCTCTGGTAGTCGGCCGTGCTGTAAGCGTCAGTCACCAGGAGGGAGTGCATCAGGGCGGAAGGCGATTCTCCTCCGACAGAACTTCACAAAGTTTTATTCCTCCAGAGAGGAGAGAAAATACACCCGACAAAGAGAGAGAGAGAGAGACTCACTCAAAGGAAATGGGGA